ATTATAATCAGTTGATGAATCAGTAATGAAAATATTCTTGGCAGCAGTCAATAAAACTAAACTGGTGTATGCAGCAGTTATATTCCCCTCATTATAAGATAGCTGTTGGCAAGATTATAAATATAGCAACTCATGGTGCAGAATTTAGCAGCGTGATTCATAACAAAACTGATAACAGAAAACATCTTATTATTTAATGACTTTCAAATAGCCAATTATTTCTCTTTTAGAATTGATTTTTATGGTTTTAGTCATTTCTTAAAGAAAGTACTCCATGTCCTTGACCTAAAGTACATAGCTGAACTGCTTACCAACCAGCACACAGCCTCAGATCCTCAGGCAGGAACCTCCTTGACATTCCCACCTCAAACTGAGACACCAAACGCAGACTGAGCATTTGTTGTTTGAGCTCCTCGACAGTGGAACAACCTGCCTGAGGATCTAGGATTAGGTGCATTATTATCTTCTTTTAAATCACCTCTGAAGACATCGTTTTTCACCAAAAGGGCTTCTTGAAATGTCTGCATTACATTTATGGTGTTTTATTTGTTAACCCTTAAACTAATTTCCCTGATTTCTTTCCATCGTTTTTAATTGTGTCAAGTTGTTCCTCCTTAATTCAGCTGTTGTTTCAGTTGTTTCCTATTGCAGTAATTATGGCCTGCATTACTGCATACTCTAATATAAGGATTCTGATTTATTTTGATGAATAAACTTGTTAAATTACCATAATCTGTCTGTGGAACTACTTCTAAATAACCCACACAAGAGCTCAGGCTGTGCAGTTATTCTGTATTCAAACAGAAAACATCGACCATCAGATACCTTATCAAAATAAGACAGCTGGCAGAGTGTGAGAGTGAAGGAGGGAACCTCCCTTCCCACATGCTGATGATAATTAAACATGTGATTTCTGCACAGAGCTGTGAGTTCTTCCATCCAGACCAACACCACAGCCACAGTACCCTGCACTCTACATAACCCTGTGTCTCCTGAACTCTGAGGCTTATCCCCGGTTATCCAATCATTTCTTAAGTTACTGCTGCTCTTTATGACACTAGGCTGGTGGGACATCTTGACATGTGAGCTTTTAACAGTCGCGCCAGACTTAAATTAAAGTGTTTGTGTTAAGATGAACAGTAACATTTCCTGCAGGTGATTTAAGTCCTGCATTAACAAGCCTAAATGTTATACTGTATAGATATTAACATCAAAATGACTTGTTTTCCTATTTAGAGTGCATATTACTTACACAATACCAAAGCATTTAGAGACAGAGCTGTCTCTACGGCATCAAAATAATTATAATAATAACACTAATGATGGTAATTCTAACAATGATAATACAAATGAAGAAAGTGCTTTTAGAAAAATTGAAACTTTAATTTTTTTAATCACTGACATGTTTAATATAAAAGCATTACCAACAATATATCTCAAACATGTATATGAGCTGTTATTTTCTCAGCAAGGTTTAATCTATAATTCATTTTTTAGAGGTTTCTGATGAGAAAAGGGCAAAAGGAAAAATCAAAGGTGTTGAATTGACTTTCTGTTGATGAGACAATAATGCAGTTTCACCTTACTTATTCAGCCTAACAGGTGATAAACAGGTGATACTGACATACTCTAGAGATGCCCATAAGACCGCACAACTGCATGTTGTCTTCTCTGAAGGCTGATTGTGAGCTCATCTGTCTGGGATATTATTGAGTTTTTCTATCATCAGGTGACTGTTAAACAGGCTAGCCACTACACTTCTATCATTAACCAGCTGTCTTAGGCCATTAATACATGCCCTGATAGTTTGTATAGCAATAGCTAGTTGTTTCTTTAGCACAGTATATTTACTCAAGTACTTTGCTTGACTTCGAGTTAAAAGTAAAATCTTTTAATTTATAATATAGACTTCCTTTCAACTAACATTTAGAGTAAAGTGTTGCATTTCCAAATTATGTCCAAATCTGGTTCCTTTATAGATCAGAATTTAAAAGCAAATTAGACTAACAGGAGAATCTTCATCCTAAACTAATTTCTACTCTAGGTAAAGCCTTATTATCAACTTGGCCTTCTAAAGTTACTGCTTACTAAAGCTGGAGCTTTTATTATGTAAATATGGATGGTTATCATGCAAATTTGATTTATTAAAACACTGTTTCTAGTCTGATTCACCATTGAATCTGGTAGTGAATGATAATTCATTAAGAACTTGTATTGATTTAACATTTTCTATTACTCTATGAAATTGTTATTTCTTGAAATATTAGAGCAAATAAACTTAAATAATTAAATAATTAAATTAAAATATTTAAAATAAAAATCTATGGGCCACTGTCAAACTACATCACCTCCAATTACATAAATATTTGATAACTATGACGACAGTCTATGTGCTTAATGAGCAGGTGTAGTTTGGCAGGAACATGCCCAGCAGGGGGGTCAGGAATGACATGGACTCTACTGAACTGTGCCATCACAACATCATAGACTAGGAATGGTCAGGCTGTAAGTGGCTTTCTTTGTGTTTGAATGTAGCACATTTTCTTTTGTTTGTACTTAGATTGAAGAAAAAAACCTCACTCATCCAATTTATAAAAGGTGTGAAAGTGAGAAATCAGTCTATCAAAACTGCAAGCACATTCCTGCACACTGTTTGACGGTCAAAAATATATTTATTGACAGTGTTTCCTCATAGAAACGTTACATTAAATCAGTGAATTAAGAGAAACATCTTTTTCAGTCCATAAAGAATTAAGCTTGTAAGTGTTATATGTTGCCATTCAATTGTATTTTTTTAAGTTGTAAATTAAACACAAGAGTGTATCAATACTTCTTTTCAGTGGTAGTTCAAAGAGCTGGGTACATGTCAGATATTTCATTTATTGGTAGATATCCATCTTACTTATTTTAGTGACTTTTAACATGGATGTCTACTTAAGAAACCTTTTATTGAAACATCCAAGTTTTATTAAATTCGATGATTTTAGTTTCAGTTTTTTTCACATTACCAGACTTCACTGCAGGAACCCAGCACTGTGGCAGCAGATATCTGTGCTGAGCTGGAGAGCCTACTGGATGTATTTTCACTTAGTTTTTAAAGTAGCTCTTCAATGATAGTAAAGAGCTGTTTGAGGCCTAAAAGAGCTGTTTTCTTGCTGAGTCAAAAGACCTTGATGGCTGAAAAAGGGCCTGAATTTCCATCAGTCTGATTATTTACCCGGTAAAAAAGAAAGATCTATAGCCTGCTCTTACATGATAAGATGGATGTTTGATAAAAAAAACCTTTGTAGATTTGAAGTAATCCATGCATCTTTATGGATAATGTGTTTGAATTCAATATTTTACTGGACTTGGATTGTGGTGACCCTCTATATTACACTGGGGGTACCATTGGGCTGTCAACGGTTTTAATGATGATGTTACTGTAAACCACTGTCAATTTTGATCAGACCTAATGGTCTGACTTTTATTTAATCCTTAAGGGGTAAACAAATGTTTAAGGTCAACAGAATAACATTTTCAATTAACTGTTCCCACCTCTGGTGACTAAAATAATTATAAAGCTGCAACAGATTAATTTATTCACAATCATGAATAAAGACCATTTGTTCATATTTAAGTTGACAGCATGCCAGAAATGAGCTGCAAAGTTGATGAGCTGATAGTTCCTGTTTTTTTAAGCTTTATTTACTAACACTAGGGCTGGACGATAAAGGAAAAGGTTTATCACAATATATTTTTATCATATCAGTCGATATTGATATATATCACGATATAAAGAAATCACTTGTCAATCTTAAATGTTCCCTGTTAATCTTAAATGAAATGTAACACCGACAGTGCCGTCGGCTTCACGTGTTAAAGTGCTGTGGTTGCGTGTAGCTGCAGCCTGCTACTACACAGTTGTTTGCTACTTGGTTCTAATTCAGCACGATTGTTTCAGTGCGCAGCAGACTCAGAGCAACTCCCCTTTTCATTGGCTATTTGTATTCATGCGAAAGCAAACCCAACTTTTATAACTTTTATACAGCTAAAACTTGCACAATTCAAGCTTAAAGGTCCTTACACACCGGGGCCAACGCGAATATAGAACGTGAAATTACGAAATATTCAGAGGAGAATTTGACGCGCCTGACTATACACATCAAGCCTGATGCGATTTTGTGACTTTCCGGGGGGGAAAAGACGCATCCTGGGTGGAAGCGAGAAGACTGACACAACACCAGACTGACTGTTTTTCAGTTCTGCATGTAGCATGTACCAAGTCGGGCCAGTACCAGATAAGCACATTAAACTATAACCCAGACCTAACAGTGCTGTGACAGCAATGCAATTGAGTTTGAGACAGTGAAAATACATATGGCATGTTGTATCTGAACAGGTTAGCTTACGAGCTAAAGTTACTTAGCACAGATGAAAGTTAAAACAAAGATGATTAGCAAATTTTTAAAGCACAAAAACTATCGTCATATGAGAGACCCGACGCTATGACTCTCCACAAGTCGTCCTTCAGGTCGTTATCTTTGTAATGTTTGTGTCTTTTATCAAAAAACACTCTGTTCTCCGACACGTAAACAATTAGCCGGTCAGCCGTTTTGGATATACCGGTGAATCTGATGTCGCAACAACACGCAATCTGATTGGTCAGAAGTGGACACACAGTATGTGAAACTTTAGAAGAATCGACCATGATCCGAAAAAATAGGATACAGGATACGGGTTCGAAAAAAATATTGACATCCGAAATAATCACACGTAAAAAATGGTCCTGGTGTGAAAGGACCTTTAGTCACTCAGTCTTTTTAAATAATGAATTTCAACTTCATGGGATGGTCCAGGTGAGGTACCTGACAGTTATTTCAGACTTTCACAAGTAAAAGCCACCCGAGTCCAAGAAATCTGGACACGCCCCTGCAGCCGTGCCAATTAATAGCTGGGTCACAAAGTACAAATCAAACAAAGGATCAAGTTATATTTAGCCTCCGGCAGAGTCAACCAACGAGTATTCAGATGTCATTGTCCATCCCTGAATGCAAACGTGATGCTCCAAAAACGCGGAAGCGGATCAAGTCTGATAGGTTCACACACAGACATCATCTCTGACCGAGCCGTGAGTGAGTGCAGCTGAGAGCTGAGTGATGTTTGTTGGGGAGGAGGGGGAGCAGCAGCAGCAGCAGGAGCAGACTAGTCCGAAACAGAAGTGACCGCTAGCTTCATGTCGACGATACACACACAGTACTGAAGTAGCGGGAAGAAGGAAAAAGGTAGAGACGGACGGACGGGGGGGAGAAAGGGGGACTGGCTGGAAGGGATAGTGGACTATTTTTCCCCCCGTGAAGCAGCAAATCTTTTAGGTTATTTCGATTGGGGTTGAAGTCACCTGTCTTGAGGAGCTTGAGGATATCAGCTGTAGGAAGGTTAGCTTGTAGCCACCGCCATCTCTTCCTTTGAGTCGGAGCCATGGGGAACGCTGCCACGGCCAAGAAGGGCAACGAGCTAGAGAGCGGTAAGTTTGTCCGCTTTATCTATGTTTTATTTAGGCTTTTACACTTAAAAACATCTTAAAAGTGGATATCTTAGTTTGTTACAACAGTTACCCAAACTGGCAGCTGACTGTAAAATAGGGGAGGGCCGTTTCCGTCCGTCATCTGTACAGTTATCTCTCTAACGCTGGAAAATATCCCTCAAGTCAACAAATATGTCCATACTCTGGATTGTTTTTGCTCTTTTTGCAAGAAAATTCATCTATATGTTTAGTTTCGTTAGCAAGTAGCAAGGAGAAACCACGGATGTTGGGGTTTTCTTTGCTGCAAGAAGGCGGAGGAGGGGAGAGGTGCCTGTGTTGACAGCCTATTAAAGTTATCACACAGCAAACCTAATCGATGGATTCACAATATTGACGGTGTGTAGCCCGCTAAAACAGTGTTTACACGCCAGCTGGAGCACAAGTGGGATCAAGCTTTCTGACCACTTAGTTAGCATGCTAACTTTAGCATTGAGGAGGGGGATTAGCCCTCTGAAGGCCCCTGTCATTTCAGTGCCTTTTGATTGTGCTAGCTGTTCAGGCCTGCACAGAGTTTGTTAGCCATGGCGTTTTGAGCCTTAGATAATGGCTCTCAAACCTCAGGCTAGCATCACCTCATAATCCCCCCCATGTACTGTCATCCTTAAATTAGCTGAATAACAATAAGGATGTCTTCTTACTGCGTGTTTAGCTGCAGCTTCACACAGCTTTACATGTAAACTTTCTTCTGCAGATGTTAAAAATGCAGCATTCACCACAGAAACCCCTGTGTTATTGTTATAAATAGCCAGTAAATTTCACTAGCAGGCTCTGTGGGACTGTTTCTCCCCCAGGCTTCTCTCTTCACTGCCATGTTTTATTCCTGGTTGCATAAACAAAGCTTTCCCTCTGTACTGCAACTGTGACCAAATATGGTGAAGAAATGACAAATGCCTGCTTTCCATTCATAAAACTGGAACACTACTACTGCCTTTCCTGCATCTGCGCACTCATATACACACACACACAATCGCATAAACACACTGGATTGTGCGCCTTTGGCTATATTAAAAGCCTTGCAGTGGTAGAGGTCCATCCAGGCTCGCTTCTCACACTCAGCATGTCATTGACTGGAGCAGCTTGTCATCAGACCTTCGTCAGAGGATAAGGGGTATTACAAGCTTTGAAAGGTTTGACGTAACTAGGACTAGGCCAGTGTTACTTTGCACTCATATGCTTTGATGTGCTCAGCTTGTCATCATTGAGCATCCCACATAAATGTTTGTCCTGGATGTAAACACTGACGGTGCAAAAGTATTTTCAGCAGGATCAGATTCAGCTAAATTTAGCCACTCAATATTTGAACAATTTCTTAACTAATAAATAAACTTTTGTACGTTCAAAGACCAATCCATGTTCAGTTACCCAGTCACCCAATTTGTTTAAAGTACCGCCCCTTAATGATGCAGCAGTTACGTTCCTCTTGGATTTATAGGCTCATTGAGACAGACCAGGCGCACAGTGAGCGGTGCCAACCAGACACACTCAGGTGGACAGGGATGATCAGATCAGTCGATGCGATACTGGCAAGCATTTCTTTTGAGTGTTACTATGATCCCTAGATCCTGCACCTTGGCAAACTCTTAAACCTGTTTAAGCTGACACCGTGCCCTGAGCTGCAGATCTGTCTGGACTGCAACCGCTCCGGCCACATGACCTGGTTACCTACAGTCCTGTATATACACCAGCCTACCTGTGTTTACTGTATATAGCTGGCTTTAGCTGGAACAGTTGGAAGAGCATGAGCACAGTCACGCCTTCCAGGGAGATTAAACAGCCACCACCATGACATCTGATTTCTTTCCTCGCACTCATGTATTGTGTTTCTCACTACTAAGAAAAACTTCAAGCTAAATTTAAAGAAACTTGGTGAGAGGATGTAGCATAAGCTCATGAAAATCCCATTAAAGATTGACCTGGATTTGACCCACTAACTATAAATAATATTGACTTAATTGTGACACAGACGTCAAAAAACAGACTGCGTCAGTACTACAAGACATTCATTTCTTCTTTGTAAACCGGTATGTTATCGTAGAGTAAGCAGTTTATATTTGTAATCATGTTGATCATAATGAACCGGTTCTGTTTTTTGTTATAAATGTATATTATGTTTTTTTAAATAATGCTATAATGAATTTATAGCTCATATCATGCCACTTTGAAGTACACAATTACATATTTATAATTCAGGGGATTTTTACACCTGCTGTTGCACATTTGCCTTTCATAAATGACTCCACTTATAGCAAGTCTGACTTAGAGTTTTCTTCCTGTGACTCACTGACGATGTTTTGTTTTAAGAATCTGCCTTAAAAACACCCTTTTTATATTTTCTTGATTTTCAGGGTCTTATTGTTTCATACTAAAGGTCCTTTCACACTGAGAGCGTTTTTTTTGTACCATTATTTCGGACGTCAATTTTTTTCTGAACTCGTATCCTGTCAATATAAGCATTCACATCAGCAAAGTTTTCTTGACCTGTGATATTGCGGCATTTATTTTTTCAGATCATGGTCATTTTTCTAAAGTTTCACATACTGTGTGTCCACTTCTGACCAATCAGATTTCGTGTTGTTTTGACGTTTGATTCACTGGTATATCCAACATGGCCGACCAGCTAATTGTTTACGTGTCAGAGAACAGAGTGCTTTTTGATAAAAAACACAAACATTACAAAGAGAACAACCTGAAAAACAACTTGTGGAGAGGCATAGCGTCGGATCTCTCATATGACGATAGTTTCTGTGCTTTAACAGTTTGCTAAACATCTTTGTTTTAACTTTCATCTGTGCTAACATAAGCCAACGTTCGTTACCATAGTTTCATGTGCTTATCTTATCGCCTCTGATTGGCTATAAGTGAGCATGTGATGACGTTTCCAGCTTTTCTAGCCAATCAGAGGCGGAGGAGGCGGGACCCCCTGGAAAGTCGCAAAATCGCATTGGGCTTGATGAGTATAGTCAGGTGCATCAAAATTTGCCTTCGGAATTTTGCCTTCTATATTGCGTCGGCTGCAGTGTGTATGGACCTTTAAGCTACCATGTTTAGTAATGGTAATTAATCGCTTAGGAAGGGGTCAGACAATAAATCAGCAATTACCAACGATTGATAAATTGCTTATGTTCTGTGTCAAGCAAAACTGCTCAACTTTTTGTCCCTGGTCAGGTGGACAGGATCTTTAAGGGCTTATCAAAACGTTTCTGATGCAGTTAAATCAATAGAAGACAAGCCTACCTTTGTATCAGTAACCCTAAAGTAGTGTAAGAAAAGAAGCAGTCAGAAAACCGTCACTGAAGTCTTCGACTGTGCAGTATACAGCAGGTTTTGAAAGTTTCCTTCTCTAGTACTCGACCTAATCTTATCTACTTGACCTCGTATGCACTACTGAATTTCTGCTCCATGGCATTTTGGTTCACCTGCTCTCCGAATACCATCGTCGACACTCTGTCTCAGTTTAAATTCCTCAAGTGAATGTCAGCTCTGTTTTCATTCCTGTGGCTCTTTTTTATTCACTACATAAATTTTCCATGTTTGTTAATGTGTTACACTTGTTGCTGTGTACATGAACTCTTTATTTCTCTCTGTCTTCTCTTCTGTATCATCCCATCCATGTGGGTGATTGTTCCTGCAAAACCTTGGTGATCAATAGAGACTTTTGGTATGCTTATTCCTCCAAAAGATGACCAGAATGGCAGAGCAGCATTGGTCTCAATGTGACAACTTTTTCTAGATGTGCTTGCTTTGATTGTGTGCTTTGATAATAAATCCGTGTTTTTGTTATCCACATTCTCTCAATCTGGATTTCTCATACATTGGTTTGTCTTTGCTTACCATTTTTACGCTGTGTTTAATAGCCTTTCCCCAAACTGTGTTCAGTGATGCTCAAGATGCTCAGCGAAACTTGCCCTGTGATTCTAAATTTTGTGTTTCCTTTCTTCATTTTCAATAAGGCTACTAAATAACAGAAGCATATATACTGAGTGTCTTTGCATGCATCACTACAGTAGTTTGCCTGTCTTGGATGTTGTCGTCCTGTGTTTGCTTTGTCTACTCTCTTAGTAGAATGAAGTATGTGATACTTTTAGTCTCCCGTTTTTATTTTATTTCCAGATGAGAGTTGACTTTTCCCCTGTTTCTGCTCCATTGACTGAGATTTTTAATTTGTACGTCCCTCCTGTCTTCCCTTCCTCCTCTAGTACTAATGCATTTGGTCTTTTTGGCAGTTTTTTCTAAAACCCCAAAGTGTTTTTTAATACTAATTATTAGGTTTCCACCATCAGATGAGCTGCACACTAACTGCCTTTCTCTTTGCTCCTCTAGTGAAAGAGTTTCTAGCCAAAGCCAAAGAAGATTTCCTACGGAAGTGGGAATGCCCACCACAGGTAAGAACAATGCAGGGCTTGACACTAACTTTTCTTTACAGGAAGTGCATGTGAGTTAAAAAAGTAAGGCGCACACGAAGAACTTTAGGGGCACAATGAAAATTGATCAGATAATAGATGTCTTATTGGTCGACATTGTACTGTTATTTGAAATCAATCTTAGGTCTTTTGGTCACATGACATGGAAGCTATTGAAGAAAATGTTCAAACTTTGCCTTTAAATTTAACACAAACATTTTTAAAGGAGAAATAAGGGAAGTAAAGAGGTGTGTCTTATCATCCGACCTTAGTACTATTATTTGAAATCAATTTTAGGTCACATGACATGGAAGCTATTGAAGGAAAACTGCTTTTTTTTTTTTTTTGAGAACATCAACAGGTAATTTATTGATGGTCCCTTATTCAACACCCGACGTTGACAGCGAGGGTGCCAAGTAGATTTAATCGTGCTGTTGTTGTTATTTTTGGTTATAGAGAGTGAAAAGACACTGGTAGATCCGCAGTGAATGTCCGTCGGATATCCAACCTAAAACTAACTTCACCACGGTATTTACATTAAAAAATATTTGTTGCCTCGGCTGATTTTTTTGCCCCTAAACACATTCTAAAATTCGCACTCATCTATTTTTAGTCGCAAATGGGAGTGAAACGGTCTCACTGTCAAGCCCTACAATGAAATGCAGAGTTTGGCCGATACAGGCTTTTTTTTTATGCGCATGTGCCCCTAAATACTTTTTACAATTAGCGCACATCTATTTTTGGTCGCAACTGTGAGTGAAACAGTCACACTGTCGAGCCCTGCAATGAAATGTAGAGTTTGGCCAATATGGGCTTTTTTGAAACCCATTACATATTTACGTTACAGCAGCTGATGAAGTGAACACTTACCTGGACTCTAGGCTATTATTTGTGCCATGCCACTCACTGCTCTACTAAGATGTTCTGATAAATTTGCTGCAGACGGTACTGAAAGTATTGCAAAATAAACAAACAGTCTCAACAGGTTAAACAAGATGGTGACACGATTTCCAAACCACTGAATGCAAAGTTTTTTATACAGAAATCTGACCTGTATCAGTATGTTAGTTCTTACCCTAACATGTTATTTTCACAGAGCACAACGTGCCTAGATGACTTTGAGAGATTAAAGACCCTGGGGACGGGCTCATTTGGCAGAGTAATGCTGGTCAAACACAAAGGAACAGAGCAATACTTTGCCATGAAAATACTGGACAAACAGAAGGTCAGTGGAAGCACTTAACACAATCACTCTCTAATCTTCCTCTAAAAACGAAAAACCAGACTTGTCCTCGTTGCTTGACATCATTGCATGAGGACACGAGTCAACCGAAAGCTTCCTCTCAGTGCTCACTATCTCTGTCGATCTCTCGGTTGGATTTCTCTCACATGGTCATCTTATCTCCTTTTTTTCTCTGCCAGGTTGTGAAACTCAAGCAAATAGAACACACATTAAACGAGAAGAGGATATTACAGGCTGTGAGCTTCCCCTTTCTCGTCAGGCTTGAGTATGCCTTTAAGGTAAAGTGCTTCGAAGAAAAGTAGCACTGAAGTGATTTCATGTGTTGTGGTAAACAGCGTCATAATACTGTATTATTACTTTTTCTAGGACAACTCCAATTTGTACATGGTGATGGAGTACGTTCCTGGAGGAGAGATGTTCTCACACCTAAGAAGAATCGGACGGTTCAGGTGAGCGCTTTACTGCACCTGTCATGATCTCTGCACACATAAATATAATTGATTAGGTTTGAGATAGTGTTGGAGTCGTTTTATGAACGTGTGAACAAACTTTTACGATCCTCCCCCTGCAGTGAACCACATGCACGGTTTTACGCCGCCCAAATAGTGCTGACGTTTGAGTACCTCCATTCGCTAGATCTCATATACAGAGATCTGAAACCTGAGAACCTTCTCATCGACCACCACGGCTACATTCAGGTGAGCTGGAACACAAGGTAGTTTTTACTCACAAGTGCTTCTCTGTCTATATCACTCTGTTCATGGTGTGTGTCTGTTCCTGATGCCTTAGGTGACAGACTTTGGATTTGCAAAGCGAGTAAAAGGCAGGACCTGGACGTTGTGCGGGACACCAGAGTACTTGGCGCCAGAAATAATTCTCAGCAAAGTATGGAGTTAATTTTTTGGAGTTTACAAGAATCCAATCTTGGTTATTTTTTGTTTCAGAGCATGGCTTGTTTAAAAGACGTCTGTGTCATAACTCCACTCTTAGGTTTGGTTCAGTCTTATAAATAGTTTTTGATGGCCACATTTGTCTTGAATCTTTCCAGGGTTATAACAAAGCTGTGGACTGGTGGGCCCTTGGAGTCCTCATCTATGAAATGGCAGCTGGTTACCCTCCATTCTTCGCAGATCAGCCCATACAGATCTATGAGAAGATTGTATCCGGGAAGGTAAGCAGGTGTTTGTATAAATCAGTTTTTTTTTAAGTTAAATGTAAAAGAAAAACTCCTAAACCGTGTCTTTCCCTCTCCTCAGGTACGGTTCCCCTCCCACTTCAGCTCCGACCTGAAGGACCTGCTAAGAAACCTCCTGCAGGTGGATCTGACAAAACGCTATGGCAACCTGAAGAATGGAGTCAACGACATCAAGGGCCACAAATGGTTCGCCACGACAGACTGGATCGCAATCTACGAGCGAAAGGCAAGACAGCACACAGTTTATGTAGTGACACCGAACACGTCTACCCCTACGAAAACAAGATAATTAGATATTGATTTGCTGAGATTGATTTTTTTTTTTCCTTTTTTTTTAAGCTGTAAAAATCCCAACTCTGATGCTCCAACACTTTTATTCTTTGCTCATTTCTGTCTGAAATTTTTTGCAATGACCCTTTACTGTTCCAGCTGTATTATTCTGTGTGGTTTCATGACCTGCAGCTGCTGCTATGAGGTTTATTTTTTCTCTCTCTCTCTCTATGAAACTGCCCAGCTGCCAGCCGTGCCACATGCCACTTTGCAGGGTCACATTGATAATGAAGCTCTTCGATTACTCAAAGTAGATATTTAACTGAAGCTTGAATGACATTGATCTGCTGATTCTGTTTAACCTCATTATTACTCATTCACACTGTTGTTTTAAGAGGTTTAGACGCTCTCTTTTCTCTCTAAATGCATCTGCTAACTTGACCTCTTTTTAAGAGTCATAATTCAGTTTACTTGAGCGCCATTTCTACGTCTGTTTTGTACAACCACTAAGAGGTTGAAAAAAGTGACTGCCTCCATAAAACAGAGAGTAACTTGATTCTGTGAAGACGACAGAGTGACACAGTCATAAAACTTTATTTCACATCCACTGCACTTTAATTTCCTGCTGCCTCTATTATTTATTTTTATTAACTATGCCTACAGGATTTACTCACACGTACATGCACACTCCTGTGCTCTATCGTCACCTAGCTAGCCACATGGTCCCCATGATGCATTTCCACCAAATGGTCTGGTTTGCTTCAGCACAGTTTTCCGATGAATCCTGATCTGGCTTGCATTTCCACAGACAAAAGCACCCTGGCGCTTCATGTAGGAAGCCTGTAGGCAGCAAAGCGACCCCTGAATGGCTGGATTTTTTCATTTTGGCGTTCATGTCAACAGATTAGATCATTCAGACTGGTGTTAGCAGGTTGTCTCATGATTTTTTTTGCAGATCACAGCCAAAATTCACCAGAGGGTTGAGGATTGCTGAATTTGCTCTGTATCAGCTATGTTTATTGATATTTAAAACATTTAAAATATGCTGAGTAGCATTTCTAGAAAGCTTGAATCAGATCACAATAGTTTTATTCTGAAGTTACGCCAGACCAGTCGTTTGATAGAGATGTTAAGGTATCGTCCGTATCATGGTATCCTGATACCAGAAATGTCTAGATTAGTGACACCAACCTGTGGTGATATGAAACGAGAAATCTTGCAGGCAAAAAGTGTGGTTTTGTTGTGGATTAGAGCTGCCTCAGATGTGCATGAGTGCAACAAAAATAGCAGACACTGGCATTAATAATGAGGGACTGAGAGATGATACAGGAACAGCGGTGGTCCAGTGGAGGCGTTGTGGTTTCACTGTGTCAAGAACTGAAAAATGATCAACTGTGACAACAATATCCAACTAGGGATGAAAACCAAAACAGTTCTGCAGTTTAAAAACCCCAATAAATCAATAACTGGTGAGCTCATCAGTACTTAGATCAAGTCTCATGAATCCCTGATATCATCCCTCACATCAAGCCTCATTAAACTACATCACTGCTGCACAAACACACATCCATTATTCTGCAGAGCTCCTGAAGAACAATGAATGCTCTGCTAAGATGAAGAAAAATATTGGTGATCAGTTTCTTGCGAGGATGTCTGAAGTCTGACTAAATACCTTTGAATGTCTTCAGCTTGAGAACTCAGTATTCATGAGTTTTCCTCTTACACTCAGGGCAGCTTTAGAAGTCGAACCTTAACTTTTTAGCAAGCCCTAAAAACTAAAATGAGTAATTTACCCTTGTTTATAAAGTTAGGCCTCAGACAGTGTGGAAATGGTGATAAGAATTTGAACAATTTTGCTTAAAGTACTGTAAATTTGCTGAGTTAGACACACTTTAAACACAGATTTCCATCTTAAAAGTGCACTGTATCCTACACACTGGTGCTGCCAGCGTAGCAGTATGAAAAGCAGAAAGGTGTTTTGTTGTGTAAGCGTATTTTTTCCTGGAAGGCGGCACAATAACCTCGCTGTTGTAGAAGACTACAGCAGTGTTCAGTTGGCTCTGCCTGCACACAAACACATCCCTGCGTGTTTTTTTTTCATCCCAGCTCAAGCTCCGTCTCTTGGTATCTCTTCACCTCCGCCACCTTTTCCCTGACAGCTAAAAACACGGCATGTTTTGTAAACAAAGAGTGGTGGGAGGTGAACTGCCAACTTTAAAGAAGTAGGCCAGAGGCTGCAGGCTTGTGTTTGTGCTGCGTTGAAGTTTCTTGTGTTTCCACTGAAGCATGTATTGTAGACCGTGCACCGCATCAGCCGTGACATTTCCTGACGATTGACTGAACGATTCTTGAAACCTTAAAAAGGCATGAGAACTGGATTACATGGTAAACTGTGTGTTGTAGCCCGTCAGCGTCAGGAGAATCACTGCAGGGGGGCTTGTTTTCAAACCGCTCGATAGATGTTAATGGGTCAAACACTCAGCAGTTGCAACAACTAAACAAGGGTTGGGTTTAGATGAAGGTAGCATTGATCAGAAACTTTAAATCATATAACCTATCCAGAAATAACTCGTCATTAGGTACTTTTCAAAGCTGAGATGATACGTTTTTACAAAGTGGCACCCAACCTCGTCGTAATGTATTAATTATTTGAAGCTGTTCTGAGTGGTAACACTTTATAGTGGGATTAAAAGCCTGCTGTCACCATGAGGAAGAGACCTTGATAATTGTTTAATGAGGATTAACACTCACACTGACATGTCGTCTCTGCTCAAAGTTTAATTGATGGTGGTGTGCCTACTTGTACGCATGGATACTGATGATTCTAATTATGTCAAAGCTAAAGGCTCTGCTTTCTGTGCGGCTGCTGAAGTCTGCTTGACGGTCAGTTTGGGAAAGTTTCACAAAACTGTTGGACCTGCTGCTTTTCTCGGTCTCTAAATCAGAAAGGTGAAGGGAAAGGCTTCACCGACTGACATCTGACATGCATTACTTTAAGGCATCCCGGTCTTCTTAAGCTGTCAGAATTCAGTGTGTTTTAGCAACGTTCATAACTCTTCTTCTTTTCCAGGCTTCGTTTGGCAGTGTCGGGTATTTTGCCGATCTTCCTTCAGAAAAATAATTGTCTGTCATTGGTGTTCCTGCGATTGGCAGACTGGACATAAATGAAATCCTGCCCACTGAAACATGTATCCCTGTTTTACTTGCAGGTTGAAGCTCCATTCATACCAAAGTGCAGAGGTCCAGGGGACACCAGCAATTTCGACGACTACGAAGAAGAAGAAATCCGCGTTTCCGTAACGGAAAAATGCGCAAAGGAGTTTGCAGAGTTTTAGGATTCCAGGACATGGATTTATCAGGGAAATAAGGGGATCTTTGCACTCTTCTAAAGACTTGGGATGGAGCAGAGACCATAATTTTTCAGATCTACTTCATAGTCCCTTCATTCCACCAGGCGAAAAGAGGTCACCGTGATCCTTGGGTGCCGATAACCTCTCACTGTCACATACACTTGCGTATTAAAGCAGACACATCACTTTTGTTCTTTCTTTTTTTTTGTACCTACCCACAGTTTTCTTTTTTTTACTTCGAAGCAGTTAGTCTTGGATGTTGTTACTCCTTTTTGAAATGTGACCTTTTTTTCAGTTTATAAGGGAAAACTGAGACAATGGCCAATAATAATCCACATGTTGTAACTGACATTTCTCTGGCAGTTTCACACACACACAAAAGAACTTGTGTGATTTGTACAATGTTTCCTCCAGTTGTCAGCGCTGTATATTCAACTGTCTGTTACAGAACTATGCTACGTTGGCTATTGTTAAATTCTGGCCGGCTTTCAGAGGTAGCATTTGTCTCATGTGCATATCTATCTGTTTTCAACATTGAAAGAATGACCAAATAGGAAGACACAAGAAGGGAGTTTTTCCTTTTTATTTGCTTTTTGCCCTGAAATTGGAGTGGTCAGGCCCCCACAGAATCACCCATTTCACTCTCTTCTTAGTATTCTGACCCAGGCACAGTAAGCAGAAAATGACATACCTTGTTACATTGGTAAAAAGCAAATCATGTTTGTTTGTTTGATCCTTTTTGGGTCTGTTAGTTACATGTAAACTTTGTCATTTTTACTTTTTTTGTTGCGGTGTCTAACATTATAATCATGTTGTCCCTAGATTTTGGGTCTTTTTATGAAGACTCTTTCCATAAGTCTGTGGAACAATGTGACTTTTGTAAATGATGAAAAGATTGAAATAAAACCCTTTTTAGGGTTTTTATTGAGTGTAATGTAAAGTCAAGATGGTCCTCCTGGATACTGTTGTGGCTTGTGCCTCAACATTGTTAGTGCAAATTTGAAAAAGTAATGTATCAAATCAAATCAAGGCAGTTTTAAAACAGGAATTCAATAATCTGATTTACCATACAGTTCTTGTTATCATCCCTCAAACAGATTTTTGTTTCATTCTTGTCAAAGAATGTAGATTTGCGACATAAAGGTATGCATATTTTAAAGCTCGAGTTCAAGGTACAGTTTTTCTCACAAAACACTGGCTAAAATAAAGACTGCTCCTTTGTATCACATGTAACCCTATTATTGTTAAACTCATTACATCATACGTATATACATTGTTTCATATATGTTTTTATTTATACACATTAGAGATGCTAATAAATTTTATTTTTAAAAGTGTATTTGTTGTGTTCTTGTGTGCACACTGACTTGATTTTTGAGGATTTTAATTTAAAGCCACAGAGGTCTGGGGTAGATGATTATTGAGATGAAGGTACTGGACCTGATTTCTTTATAAAAGCTGAATTTCATTTGATTAAAATAATATTCATATGAAGTTTGTATAAAATAGTGTGAAAGCTGTAGTTAAAAAAATTATGCGTCAAATAGACAACTTTTAATTAAAGTGATGAAGCTGTCATAAAAAGGGTTTTAGCTAAAAAAAAAAAGATATTTTTTTTTGTTGTTTTTGTAAAAATCTATCAAAGAACTCTACCCTTTCAAGCACAGCAAATACATACACATCTTTTTTTTCAAGACAACCTCAGCTGTCAGTTTATGGTGCAAAAATTATGTAAAATGAGTGTGACAGTAGATTCAGAACCATCAAAGTCAACCAAAAAACAAAAACGAAAATTGATACCAATAGTGCTTTGCTCAAAAAACACATAAATCTACAGTGACCAAACCTTTTCTCACTTGCACATCATTCTGTCAAGTCTTGGCTATCAGAAGAAGAAATATTGGAATTGGAACAAACACACAACAGAAACTGTTAATATATTTACACAAATTATTCCAGGTGGGGTTTTTTTTCTATTTACAGTTGTTAATGTCACTCCAGTGGAGTTCGAAGTGTTAAATATATCACAAAATAAGTGAAGCCTGCTTTGACCACAGGGGGCGCAAAAAAGAACACAAACATAAAGTTTCTTACTGGAGCTTTAAAGAAGTTTTTTGACTCCAGTATAAATGTTTATTTTGGGGTTAGAATTGTAAGTTAGCTTATGACGCTGAGATATCCGTATTATGCAACCCTTTATGTAAGAGTTTTTTTTTTCAGTCAGACTCTATTCATGATGTGATGCACTTCAGAGAAATTGCATCCTATTTGCAGAGCTCCAAAGCTGTACGCCTATTTTGAGCCTCTCCACTTGCCGTAGTTACACCGGCAACGTGGCGTATGGGTAATGTAGTTCAGTCGGAGGCACGTGGGGCGGTCCGTTTCAGCTCAGTCGAAGTTTGCGGAAACATGGCGGGTCTGGAGCTGCTGTCTGACCAGGGATACCGTTTAGATGGACGAAAAGCCACCGAGTTGCGGAAGGTTCAGGCCCGCATGGGAGTGTTCGCTCAGGCTGACGGCTCCGCATATTTAGAGCAGGGGAACACCAAAGCTCTGGCTGTGGTTTATGGTCCGCATGAGGTGAGGGAAGTGCATGAATGGAGACTAAACACCAGCGTGGGTCACTAGCTGGAGAGATATGCAGAAAGAAATGCTTAATTCTCCTATAATAAGGCATTGTTCGACTGCTATTCTTGGCCAAATATACTAAGAATGATTGACTTTCAACTTGTGTCGATAATCATCCAAAGAAAGTGTTATGTGAAGTGATAATGCAGACCATAGGCTCAGTACTAAATTTCTTTAGCAAAGAGCCTAAACACAACTCACCTACTCTCTTCCAGCAGCCGCTTGTTTGCAGTGAGACCTCAGGCCAGTCTATTACGGACTGCTGCGGGATGACGCACCTCAAGGAAGAACATTTATGATCATTTCCTCATGGAAATGCAATCAGACCAAGATGCTAAGGCAGAAGAACTACAGCGTCTGCAGTGCAAAATGATTAATATGGTGATTATTACTTCAAGGAAATGATAAAGAAATGATCATAAATGTTCTTTCTTGAGCTGCGTCATCCCGCTGCAGTTCGTAATGTTTTGGCCCGAGGTCTCGCAACAAACAAGCGGCTGCTGGAAGAGAGTAGGTGAGTTGTGTTTAGTCTCTAGTGCTGTGGCTGATGCTAGGACCCTATATGTACTGTTCATGATGTTAGGTTCTGTTCTGATCATTATTTGTGGCTATAGAGTGGCGCTTTGGTTGAGGTTTGTTTATGGCTCCACAGACCGCTGTGTATTGCTATTGTGCGGTCGTTACTAAAGTTGGTATAACTAGAGAAGCAAGTGGTCGGCAACATTCATCTCTCGAGGGGGTGTCTAACTCGGTATTACGGTGTGTTTGACCCTGAATTAATTTTACACCAGAATATCCCTTTAATCTGTCACACTCATCCTTGCACTGTGATTTAAGAGAAGCAAAAAAAATGTCATAGATTTTTTTTTTTGTTAGGAGGTAAATCTTGGGGATAACATGTTCTTTTTTCCCACCTAGATGCGAGGTTCACGCAGCCGGACTCGGCATGACCAAGCTGTCATCAACTGTCAGTATAGCATGGCCACATTCAGCACAGCAGAGAGGAAAAGAAGACCACACGGGGACCGGAAGTCTACTGAGATGAGCCTCCACCTGAAACAGACATTTGAAGCTGCAGTAATGACCCAGCTGTATCCACGCTCCCAAATAGACATCTATGTCAAGGTAGGTGTTAAGGAGTGAAAGGTGGATTTTAGGATCAGTGTTTAAGGAGAAAAAGCTAATGTGAGGAATTTCTTCCCAAACAGATTCTCCAGTCTGATGGAGGGAACTACAGTGTATGCGTGAATGCTGCCACTCTGGCTGTGATTGACGCTGGCATTCCCATGCGGGACTATGTGTGCGCCTGCACGGTCGGTTTTGTTGATGAGACGCCACTTGCAGATCTTTGCTACGCAGAAGAAAGTGGAGGAGTGAGCTCTCTGGCCTTAGCGCTGCTGCCCCGAGGTGGACAGATTGCTCTGCTGCAGATGGACGCCAGACTACATCAGGATCACTTAGAGACACTGATTGAAGCTGCCATGACAGCTTGTAAAGGTGTGAGCAAGGTGCTTGATGAAGTGGTGCGACAACATCTCCAAGAAAGTTCTGTGCTCTCAGGAGAGTGATGCTGGGAGTAAAGGGGAACGATGGATCTGAAAGTGTTATTGGACTGACTGGGGAGGAATGATGGGAAAATTATGTCGTTTTTTTTGTTTTATATATGCTCATGTAAGTATTTTGCAAAATATATGTAGTGAAAATAATAAATGTGTTTAATCGCTATGTGTTGCTGTTGATTTTATGGATACTTTTCTTCCTGCCAATCAAAAAATGGAGCCATCAATAAAACTTCAAGAAACACAGCAATACGGATGATGAATTATCAGCGAGTCAAGCAAAGATTGGCTTTGTTCATATAAAAACAACCTACTTTTCCAGCCCCTAATCCAGAAGAGCTGGGATGCTGTGCAATACAGTCATAAAAACAAGATATTAAAATTAAGAAAGAAATTAAATAAAATTCATACCTTCACTGCCTGTACTAAACTTAAGTAAACTATACTCCAACAAAATAAACCACATACTTAGACTACCCTAAAAATGCAAAGTATGAACAATGAAAAACAATTCACAAAAGGAAAAACCCCAGAGTTGGTTCTGAAAAAAAGAAGAGAGACAATAAGTTTGTCACATTTAACCCAACAAAAGACAAAAATCTGTGCTGAGGATGTCAAACCGGACAGTGGTGAGAGCTCAGAGAAGCTCTCAGGCTTCTTCACTGATCAAGGAATTGTTTTTTACCCTGATGTCTTTTGAAACAGTAAAAACAAAAATAGGTGAAAAGTTGTACTGAATTTGTGCTTAAGATCTGTTTGCACTTATTTTTGCCTGACTGTAAGAGAGACACTTAAAGAGTTATTAAAGAGGTAATTCCACCTACAGAGGGGCCTCCATTTATCTCCACAGCTTCACTATCAGTCTCAGATCAGTCAGTGAAAACTAGGACTGATCATCAGAGTATTTCTTGTGTATTGAATGGATTATTTATATTTACATATTTTATCAAATGTATCACCCAACTTTGTATTTTTCTATTTCATTTATTATCTAATAAACATGTAAAGCAAGTCACAGGATCATGTAAACATAAATTTAAGACTAGTGTTAATGCATTTAGATAGAACTTTGATTCATTTTTCTTTTTTTTCTGATCCCAAAAAGTTTCTTGTCATGATATTTTATCAAAGTTAGTCTGGTCTGTATTATTTAAATAAAGTTCATTCAAGTTGTTTAGTTTAGTTTCAGGTATTTTTGTTTCTATTACTTCAGGTAGCGACAAACACTACGGAATAAACTCGGTGCTAACCGGAAGTGTGTCCCCCGCGTTAACACTCCTTCAGAAACAAGGAAATCTGTTCTGCTACTGCTGTGCGGGCTGCACCCCTCCTTGCAGGTGGATGTGAACCGGCGTACACTGGGAAAAGGTATTTCTTTATTATTATCAAGACGATGTATTTTTGAAATTATCTGGAAAAAATATCTTTAGGATCAAGGCTAAAAAAGACGACTGTGTAAACGTTTTAGCATCTCTTAAAGCCGGACAGCTAGCAACCAGCTAACCACAGCTGTCAATGAATAAAATGACAAAGAGGGGAGAGCTATCTGCTGTAGCAGCTACAGAAATCACGACATATACAATGAAACACTCACGTAAAGGTTGAAAACTTGTTATGAACAGTTACGGCAGTCTGTCTTGTTAAACATTTGATGTGTTATTTGTATATATTTATTGTGTAGTGTCTGTGCGTGTGTTGCCTTTAGAGTCCAGTGTGTCCAGCCGTTTGTGACACCGCGAAGATCAACAACATGGGACTGCTGTCGGACCCAAACAGAAGACGGGCTCTGATCAGCCTGCTAACCCGCCTCAATGCTCCAATCTGGTAGGTGTCCAGCTGATAAAAGTGCCTCTGTGAAGTCTGTGAATGCACTAGATTTCAATTTATCACATTACCTGACTGAATAGTCAAGCATTTCTAACCATGTTTCTTTTCCACCATTCATTTCTATTCCTTCATGCCATCTCAGTGTGGTCTGCTACATGGCAGGCGTGGCGTGGTTTATGGGGTTGGCATTTGAGCCTTTCACTCTCCGGACATACATGTCAGAGAATGCCATGGGGTCGACCATGGTGGAGGAGCGATTTCCAGCAGGGGAGAGGGCGCTGGCAACGGGCAGAGAGTTTTCGGCTCATAAGAAGAAAACAGGGTAGGCAGATAATCTGAATTAAATAGATGTGAACTGACTCAAAAGGTTGTTTGCAAATGCTTACTGTGTCACTGTGACCCGTGCAAACAGGATTAAGTAATGTGAACACTCATAATTCACAGGCTTCTGAATTAGTTGACAACAAAACAGATATCGAAGCACTTCAGAAAGAAATATCTGTGGCAATATTTGTGTTTTGTGTATTTCTTTTTCCACTTGTTGTTACCTCTGTAGTGGGATGCCAGTGGATTGGCTGGTGAAGACCATGAAGGATCGAGGCTTGGAGGTGTTTACCCAGAGTTTCTCTCGCACTCTGCCTTTCCCTGATGAAAACAAAGAGAGATATGTACGTATATGATTCAGGGGTTGATCAAATGAGAGATAGAAGAGATTGGTTTTATTCACAGACATACTCCATCCTCTTTGTTGGTCTTTTTTTTTAGATGGTAAAAGGCACAAATGTATATGGAATCCTTCGGGCCCCGAGAGCTCCAAGGACTGAAGCTTTGGTGCTGAGTGCTCCCTGCACCCCTGGGGATAATAATAACCAGGCGGTGGGGCTGCTTCTGGGCCTGGCACAGTACTTCAGGAGTGAGTACAGAACCTGCAACCTTTTATTTTTATGGAAATGGAGTGGCATGTCATGTTTTAATGACTTCTGTGCTCTGTTATAGATCAGATTTACTGGGCCAAGGACATCATCTTCCTTGTCAACGAGCATGATCTGATTGGTATGCAGGCTTGGCTGGAAGGATACCACCACACCAACACCACAGGTAATCACCAGGATTCACTCAGCAATAAAACTTTAGAAGAAATCACTGGACGTTGTCATCAGTGCAGATCATAAACTTCTCTGCTGGATTTACCTGATGTATCCAGGTATGGACTGGTCCCCACTTCAGGGCCGTGCTGGTTCGATCCAGGCTGCTTTGACCCTGGAGCTTAGCAGTGATGTCGTCACCAGTTTAGACCTGGTACTGGAAGGACTCAATGGTCAGCTTCCTAACCTGGATTTGGCCAATCTCTTCTATGCCTTCTGTCAGAAGATCGGAGTCCTCTGCACCATCCAGGGAAAGGTGAACATTTACATTTGCTTGATTATGTTTGATTATTATAAAACCCCAGGGCTGTCTTAGTTTGGGATTTACTTAAAGGGATATTCCGGCGTAAAATTAATTTCGGGCCAAACACACCTTGACGCTGAGTTAGACACCAGCCTCGAGAGATGAATGTTGCCGACTGCTTGCTTCTCTAGTTATACAAACTTAAGTAATGACCACAGGATAGCAATACACAGTGGTCTGAGGAGCCATAAACAAACCTCAACCAAAAAGCCACTCTATAGCCACAAATAATGCTCAGAACAGCAACTAACTTCACATATTGGGTCCCAGCCATAGTACTAGCCACCAAACATCTTTTTAACTTTGCCTGATTTCTTTAGCAAAGAGACTAAACACAACCTACCTACTCTCTTCCAGCAGCCGCTTGTTTGTAGCGAGACCTCGGGCAAGTCCATTATGGGCTACAGTGGGGTGACACAGCTCAAGGAAGAACATTTATGAAATTAAGCACAGTTAAAAAGATGATTTTGACCCTAAATTAATTTTACGCCGGAATATCCCTTTAATCATATTTTTTTCTCTCCACAGCTGCAGAGGAACGACTGGGACAGCGTGTCGGGTTACAGTCATGCAGTGCAGACCATGATGCTGATGGTGATGAAGCAGGCCAGTGGACGACCCTGGGGGGATCATGGCCTCTTTCTGCGTTACCATATAGAGGCTGCAACAGTCAAGGGCATCAACAGCTTTCGTCAGTACAAGACTGACGCCACTACTATTGGCAGGTCAGAGCAAGCAATGATATCTTTTAAAACATTTAATTGCTTTTCATTGTGACTCTAACCTTCATGACACTTGATCACACATAACTGAGTCTGTTGTGTGTTGCTTTGTCCCGATGAATGTCCTTTAGGCTCTTGGAGGGAATGTATCGTAAGCTGAATAACCTCCTGGAGCGCTTGCATCAGTCCTACTTCTTCTACCTCATGCCGTCCCTCTCTCACTTTGTCTCCATTGGTTACTACATGCCAGCGTTCGGCCTCCTGGCGGTCATTCTGCTGCTTCGTGTATCCTTTTACTGTTACTTTACTTTCACTTGGATTCAATCAAGTAACATGTAGACAAGAGAACAATACTCCCTAAATGCAGCCCAGGTTAGTAATTTTATGTAAGCAATATCATTTCAACAATACAATCGATCCGATTAGTCCTTGACAGAAGCACAGGCCTTAGACCTCTGGGTGCAACTTTCAACTCCACCACCAAGGACGGAGGATGGAATTGCTGAGACTGAGGAGGTGAGACTCACACATACCAACACATAAGATTTTAAAAAGTCACTTTCGTCCATTAAATCTGAACTTTTCTTGAATATTCTCTCCTCCAGGTGTCGAGTCCAAGTGTACTGTCTGTTTTGACTCCTCTGGTGATCAGTCATCTAACTGGAGCAGCTCTGTACACCCTACCGATCCATTTTCAGGAGATGGCTGTCGAACATTTCCCGGTGTCAGAGACTGAGGCGGTGGTCCTGACGGCTATAGCTGTGTACACAGCAGGACTGGCTCTACCGCATAACACACACAGGTAGCTCCTCACACCTGAAACCCTAAGTTGAAGAAAGGAATCACTTTATCTACAGGGGGCGCCAAAACTGACACGAACCAAAAGCAGTTACACAAATAATTCAATCAGAGCATTGCATTTAATTGGAGTTTGAACCCAGGCTCTGTTTTGGTAACATTTTGTGGTTAAATATGTGCAAAAAAAAAAAAAACACACTCTAATAATCTTTTACATAATTTCATGAGCTTATGCAGTTTTCTACTTCCACTTGGGGATACTATTTTTTAGAATTTGCTGATTATATACACAGCACCCAGCCAAGACCATGCAAAAACTCTTCTCTTTTTTTCTCACAGGCTCTTGTCAGGTGAGGGGACGGAGCAGGGCTGGAGAGTCCTAAAGCTGGTGGCTGTGCTCTACCTGGCTGTTTTACTCGGCTGCACTGCCCTCATCAACTTCTCCCTCGGCTTCATCCTGGCTCTCAACCTGGTGCCTGTAGCTGCCTTCATCACACCCCACGTACCAAAGTAATCCACCTTACTCTCACATCGTAGCTTCTTTGCGTCATGTGTTCGTCAAGTTGTACTCACTCTCTCTTTCTTCTCACCTCAGGGTCCTTTCAGCCTTCATCCTGGTCATCCTCAGCCCGGCCTTCACACTCCTCTTTTCCGTCTTCTTCTACCAAGAGCTGGTGGAAGTTCCTGTCAGCTTCCAGGACGGCTGGATGCTCTACCTGTCTGTCATCTCTCAGGGCATCCTGGACCACTCCCTGTACGGCTCTCTGGTTTACCCTCTCATAGCCCTGCTTGTCTATCCCTGCTGGCTGCTTTTCTGGAACATTCTCTTCTGGAAGTAAATACCAGTCACACAGGATAAACTGTCCTCTGAGGCGTTCTCAGGTTTGTCTACATTGGGTGAAATGTGAAAGACAGTTAAACCTGCGGCAGCGATTGGTCTAGAGGAGGAATACCTGTAGTTGACTTGAACGGACTGCTTTGACCTTTCCTTGGACAGTTTGTCGGTTTGGGTTCAGGTGGTTGGTAAACTAAGCAGAAGGGTTTGATGTGGAAGCTGAGAACTGGCGTCACTTGCAGTTATTACTTTTAATTTTAACATCTCAGAAGGCTCCCTTGCTGTAACAGGTAGGTTGTTTTATTATAACTTTGATTTAAAGGTTAAACTATGATTGCAAGAGCGGCAGTTCTTAGTCTTTCTACTTTTGTACTGTACGCCTCACTAGGAAAGGTGAAGAGAAAGAGGGGTGGATCTTTAAATTACATGTTTGGGTTTTGGATTATTTATGAACTTCATTGTTTGTGGTACATAAAGAAAATGACTGCACTGTTTGTTTTAAATCTTCTGTCTGTTGGATGTTGATGGAAAAAAAAATGGCTACTGTGTCTTTTAAGATTTCTGTACACCTACATCTTTTAGACAAGCCATCACTACATCTAATAATTTTATACTTGTTTTTATAACTTGCTTTGAAAGTTGTTTATTTCATATTTAAAAGATGCCAAAATAAAGTGAAGCTACAAGATTATAATTCACCCTCGTTTTATTTAATCCTACATTTTTTACATTTGACACCAGGGGTTAGACGACAAGATTTGTATATAATGAAGCAAACTTAAAGCACCTGTTGGCACTGATAGTCTATCAGTCTAGACGTGACCCACATACGCTGGCAGCCTTGGCTCAAATCCACCTTGTGGCTCGTTTCCTGTATGTTATTCCCCTCTCTCTCTGCTGTTTCCTGCTCTGTTCATTGTTCCCTAACTGCCAATAAAAAAGCCAAAAGAGCTCAGAAATAAATATTTTAAAACAGTTTGAAGTTTGTGTAAATTTTGGTGGCCCAAGCTCTTAGTTCTTTGCTGATCTTGTCCTAAAGCATGTGAAAGCTGCGTTGCCTAATGAAAAATCGCATTCTGCTTTATTCTGCTCGCTGAGAATTTTTGGGGCGGAAAGTACTTAACAAAGACATGAACCACCTTCTTCTTCAGTTGATGATTAAACCTTAGCAGTAGAGTTTCCAGTCTGCTAAACATATTTTTAGTTTTGTGTAGAAGCTGTGCTGCAGCCACTTAAACCATTTAGACATTTTGTTTTACCCCTGGCACTGTGATGTAGAATTTAGCTGTGTGGGAAAAATTACACCCAGGTTTGTTTTCATCCCTCTTGATCAGTCGGTGACTGAGGATTTGTAAATCCACTTTAAGGAATAAAACATTCGTCACTTTGCCATAAAGACAAAATGGAAAATTGGCATCATGATTACCTGCATTTTCACTACTTACTGTTACATCTCTGCTAAGCTTCTTTTATGTGATCATTGATATTTGTTTTTTGAATCTCTGCATTATTACCTGAAATACATCAGCGACTTACGATGTTATGATAAAAGCGCTGTGTTATGTGAACTGAGAACTGAGAATGAGCTGCTAGCAAACCTGGAATACAAATGAAAAACGTGTTTGTCTTTTTTAGTTCCATTATATTTATTCAGTTTATGCAGTTTTTACAGTATTATGTACTGAAATCAGGTCATTCCATTGCTGTCACAGCTGAGAAGAAACTGAGTAAAATAGATCACCTGCTAAAATGGACATCATTTACCCAATGCATCCGGTTAGAAATCAAACACTAAATACAATGATATAAAAAAATAAAAGCACTTGACCACCCTGTAAACGTGATAAAATTGTCTCTTTTTCAGCTTTGGACACGATTTTGGCACCAACAGATGACTGACATACAGAGCAGGAGATTGCACACGGCTTCACCTCGTCTCTTACTTCACAGTTAGCATAAAAACTGAAAGTCCCTCTTTTTGTTTTCAGCTGCGATCAAAAGACGAAAAAAACTTACATCATGTCTGTCTCCTCCCAAAATAAATATCAGGCGTCCGTTTTGTGTGCACTTCACACACACATACGCACGCACACATACACACACACACACACCTTGTAAAATAAATAACAAAGAGGTCAGTCCAAATGTATGTCATGGTCATGTCCATATAAATCTCTGTCGGTGTCTGCAGTTGGGTGTCTGATCCTCGGCCAGTGCAGCTCTGCGTCATGCTACAGTGCTTCAAACGCTCCAGTCGTCAGCAGCCAGACAGCTGTCAGAGGACTCTCAGTGCACTTGACAGGCTTTATGTGAGTATTTGTCAACATGTAAGAGGCAGATTTAGCATCTCCTCCGTGCGTGTACGTGTGATCATGTGTGTGTCAGTGAGCGAGATGAGACATGGCGACCACGCGGTAATGATGTGCAGTCAGCTGCTGCTTAATCCGGACTCTCCTCGGTCCTCCCTCCTCCCTTTCTCCTTTAGTGAGAGAACATGAGACGTAGAGAGACTGTCACTGAAGGGAGTGGACATGAGGAGAAGCACACAAGTATTGATTGACTGAGGGACTGTGCCGTACCTGATGGATGTGTGTGTCGGGTCTGGCTGTAGCGCAGATTTCACAGCCGGGACGAGACGGCTTGTTGATGAAAGTGCATGAGGGACAGGCCCACTCTGTCTGCTGCGGGGATGAGAGTCGAAACTATTAAAACTTTAAACTTTTTCCTGGGAGTCAGACAAAGTTCAGACATTCTTTTTTTCATCTCTTCATCCTTTTAGCTTCTTTCATGTTGAGGTAGGAAAATATGAAAGAAATTCCTCAAGATTCGCAAAGTCATGTTCCTGGGATGATTAAAACTCTGTTACTGCTGGTGACCAAAATCGGGAAAAGATAATGCATGCACACAAATGGGGCTCTGCTTATATTTCTTTGTGACCTTTTTTCACTTTCATTTCACCATCTTAAGCTAATGGTTCAAATGCTGCTTTTGTTTCCTGCCTTTGCTTTGAAGTACTTTTTATCTCTAACACTGGAAATGAAGATACTTTTCGGTCTTTTATTTTGAAAGGATGCATATGCCTTAAATGATCCTGTTCAGTCTTTGAGCTATGATCAACCTTTCCTCCTAATTGGCACTGAAGTCTTCTTGCCAGCACTCTCTCTCAGTGGTTGGGGCTTTGTAAAAAATATTTGGCATGTTACTGCCCCCTTCTGGAGATAAAGTGGACAGTGTAAGTCACCAGTTCGCACAAAATCACTGCCTCCATAGAAGACAAAGCTTTCCAGATACATGATCTGAACATGAACGTGGTATTTTTCCAGATTTTGCTCTAACGTAGAGCTATTAATTTTTTATGTCATTATCTTATGTCATTCCCAGTGTGTGCAGCTGCATGTAAAGTGGAACATCAGTGAAATATTCACTTTATTTTTTCTGGAAAACAGCTTCATATGAACATGTCTTTTCTAAATAAAGACAGAAAACGGAAATTATTCTGGTTGTAAATGTAGCTGTTAAGAAGGACTCTCTTGTCTAACAAAGAGGCAAAAACATCCAGACCTGTGAGCTTCAATAAAGCACACATAAGAAGAAGCCAAAATATCAATTAATGGTACTGAAATCTCTCAAGTACCCCACACCACTTTTTTGATGAGGGTCTTAAGTGGAACATTCATAACAATCAAGTTTGCAAAAGGTCAATGAAGAGCCTCAGTATAATTAACAAGGTCTGTCCCCTGACCAATCCCTCTGCTCATTTGTCTTTGAATCATAGCTTTCTATTTCTATGCATGAACTATTGTAAGATTGTATGGTGTGTAACGTATCCAACTTACCTTAAGAAAATATTATTCATCCAGAGAAGATTCTTAAGAATGATATCACGATCCAGCAGACATGAACCTTCTGCACCTCTCTTTTCTAAATACTCCATCTTACCGATAGACAAACTCAATGTCTTTCACTCTTGTATGTTTGTCCACAAGTTCAGCGATAACAAACAAGACCTTCCTGAAACTTTCCGAAACTTTTTTACCTTTTCATCCGACCTTCACCCGCACTCTACAAGACAAAATCTTCAGATATGTTCCTGTCGAACTTCTTCTCATCAGTCTAACATCACTTTTAGAGGTCTGAAACTGTGGAATAATCTGGATTCATCTCTAAAATCAGTATCATCCCTCAACTCCTTTAAAATATCATTTAAATCTCATCTGATCATGTCTTAAATACATTATTATTTGTTATGATCATGTTTCTTTCCTTTTTATGAATATTTACATTGTCTTTATCACTGTTTGATGATTAGTCTTTTTATGGCAATTCGTATCTGTTTGACCTTTCTCTAATCATTGTACATTTATTACCCGTCTATGTCCTAGTTACTTTGTCGTCTGCACCTTATGCCTTCTTTGCCCTGATGGGAGTGGAACTTTGTCTAAGCCTATCAGCTTTGTTCCCTTCTTGCACTGTTTTTAATCTGTGCTAAATAAAATAAATACAAAATAAGTAAACACAAATACATTTAATACTATAATCGAAATATCATCCATGATTTCATCCTGAAAACACAAACTCAATTTAAATTCACAATAACTCAAGTTTTGACTTGAAGCTACTCTTTTGTGTCTGTTTTTTTTCCCAAACTGCACACTTTTTTTTACATACCTGTGTTTTACTGGCTTTGTTGGTGTGATCACTCAGCTGCAAATTCTCAATGTCAAGAACATCTTTGACGTCACCCACTCTGTCGTTGCCTCCGCTTGTGCTCCCTGAAAAAAAAAAAAAAAAATTAAATGACAAAGTTATGCTTTCTCCGACGTGAATGGACCGTTTAATAAGAGCCATAACAGCCATAGGGTATTAGGAAGAACTTTTCAGGTGTTTATCCTGGACTCAAGCGCGTCAAGTTTGCAGCTTATCAGTGACTACAAGGTTAAGTGTTTACATCCATGTGTTATTAATAATGTCCAGAGGAATGGAATCAAGTTTTATAGATTTTACAACAGTGCGGAAAAAAGTCAGAAAATGGAGAAAGTTTTTTCCGACCTTTGTGTATAAATGAAATTAATAAATCACAGACGAAACACGAGAAATGAACTTAACGTGAACTCTTTCACTGGAAATTAAGTTGTAAGGTTTTTCATGACAGACTGAGTTCTTTGAGCTCACCCTGTTTGTTGTGGGTGAGCCTGGAGGGCAGGGTGTTATACCCCCTCCAGTCTTGGGCCGTAGGGCCGTTGCCTGGTGGGAGGGGCGGGGCGAGGAGGGCGCTCTCCAGGTCCTGCTGGAACAGCTGGCGGGTAATGCGGGCTTGTCGTGCAGAGATCAGGTAAAGGTATGCTGTATCACCGTCTTTCTGCACCCCGTAGGAGGCTAGTGACCTTGGCTCAGTGCACAAGCACTGACCGATGACCCAGCGCTGCACGCGAGGATGGAAACCATACTCGAGGAACACCTGGAGGACAAGAGTAAAGGAAGTTAGCAGAGAAACTTTCGCTGCACACCTTGAGTTGTTGAAGAACTGACATTATTCTGACCTGTTGCTTGAGTGCAGCCACCGTCATGTAAGGAAAGACCTTAACTGTGACACAACACGAAGATGAAACATCCTCCACGACGACGGATAAACTGCAACACATACAGCAACAAAAGTTCAACCAAACCTGGAGAGCAGATCATTTAAACTCCACCTGAGTGAATCCTCAAAGCTGTTTCTCACCTGATCCCTCCGTCAGCATAGCTCTTCTCAGACAGTTGTATTGTCAGCACTGCTTTCTGCCGGGCCAGAGCGGCGGCGTGCTGTGAAGCTGCCTGAGTGTCCCCTGCTTCAATCGCCTTGGCGAGCTCTAAGCATAACTCCTCTGAAAACAACAACAACAAAAAAAAAAACAGCAATCAGAACTGACATTTTTGGAGCAAGTTCTGATCAGGGACGGCGAAGAAACTCATGACAGTAAACAGTGAAACCCACCAGTGAGCGGCAGCGAGGCTGAACTCCACTGCTCTGTAGCTGCTGCTGTGTTGCTGTGTCGTCCGTCTGATTCACATCTGTTGATATTCGCAACTGTCCGAGGACAAACAAGCAACTTTGTTACAAGAAGTTTTATTACACATAAACACATCACAGTATTTATTGCAGCTCCACTTGACTGTGTCTGTGCGTGAGACTCTCAGGTCTAATCCCAGCTTACGCTTTTTATCTATCTTGATACGCCTCTTTAAGCTTGTGACAAAACCTGTTTTGGAAAGATTAGCAACTATTGCTGCCTGGAGGAGACTTCATATCTTCTGGGCAGCACCCTTGATGACTCTTTTTCAGCTCAAAGTTTTGTCTAAATGCCGTGTTGTTTAACTTTGAATCATCCTTGACTGCGTGAAACTAAAATCTTGAAGTCTTTAGGTTTTATTTGAGTATATCACTTTGTTTGACTTTCCCGGAAGGCAAGAAAAAAACATCTGACCAGAAGTTGAAATACTTGATTTTTTTGAAGCATCATTTAACTTCACAGCGTGATGTACAGCACAGAGAGAGATAAGGGAGTGAGGGGAAAGGAGAGTCATGGCACATGAAAATACAGCATTTCAAACACCGGGATGCTCATGCTCACATTGGTTGAAGAAACATGTGAGAAAGAGGTTCAATTTGAGTTTACCAGCCTATCTGTATGCAGAAATGTTGTGACTCAATAAATTCTTTATGACATTAAGTAAAAGTGCAGACTAAACCTCTTTCTCTGCACCCCTTTCACTGAATTTTAATAGAATATCTAAGTAGACAACTTATGCTGCAAATCTACATGTGTGTATTTCAGATTCTCTAATTTTCCTACAATCAGAGTCAGCATCAATGTCAGCGTTTCAGTCTCTAAGTCAGTGGTTCTCAAGTCCAGTCCTCGAGGCCCACCGTCCTGCATGTTTTGGGTGTTTCCCTGCTCCAACACACCTGATTCAAATGATCAGCTCGTTATCAAGCTCTGGGATGGCTTAACGAGCTGATCATTTGAATCAGGTGTGTTGCTGATTGTGCTGCTGCTCTAAGTCATATAAAAAGCAAGTCAGGAATAAGAAGTACAACAGTGGTTGAGCTGACCTCTATGTGCCTCCCTCAGTGACGACATCACCACGGTGGCCCACTCCTCGGCCTCTCGGTCGCAGCGGAAGTTGAAGCGGATGCAGTCGTGGGGAGGAGTAGCCAGACGCATCTCATGGCAGCGCGAGGATTTAACCTCATACTGCACCAGGCGCAGGTCAAACTCTGCAATGAACTGAAGGTAACACACATAAAAGAGTTCAGTGGGTGGAGGAAAGTTACTCTGCCAGGATATTTTTAAGGAAAGTAAAGAGGCAGGAACTCATGAGAAGAGTTCAGACTAGTTGGAGCCAACTTTTTCGGAATATTTTGCCAACTGCTATATTTAGTCTCTCCAGTGGTAGAAAGAGTTGAAAAGTGACGACTACAGTGTCCAAAAGATACTCTATTCACTAACAAAGTTTTCTATCTGGTAGATTTTTAACTGAAGATAAACTCCCTAATGTACTAACTCATCATGTCAGCTTTACAGTCTCTTATCTTTAGTTTAAGTGAGATGAGGCAAAGATACATCTGACATTTACAAAAACACCGTCATTGTATACACATTGCTACCTGCCTCTTTGTACTGCATTATACCAACTATTAAATACATCTTGCATTTAGAGAGAACAACAAACAAAATGCGAGGACAAAATGTGATTCATGTGCAAGATGATTAAAGAGTCAAAAATCCCCAAAAATACTGCAGAGAGAAAGTGCAACTCTCACTCTGACAGAGCAGAAATGAGTGAGTTTTTGCCGAGCAGAGTTTAAAAACATAATCTACTGTTTAACATTCACTGCAGCGACAGGGAGAATCATTAGGGCGCTGCAGTCTGTTGTGGAGGGATTTGCCTTTTTACAGTGTGTGTGTGCGTGCGTGTGTACACTCTGCAAAAAAAGAAAAACTGTGTGCGAAGAGTCTGCCAGCCCAGACAGCCGAGCTAAAAGGAGCTGGGATCAAAGGGAAAACCGTGCAAATCAAGAAGCTTCTCCGTCGTCAGGGGAGAATCTGTCTGACTGAGATTCTGCAGAGATGAAAAGGCGATTCGGAGCGTGTCGGGTTTTTTGGGAGACTGCACAGAGTGAACTCGACAAACAAAGGAAAGATTTTTGGAGAAGTTTGGATGAGGTGAAAAAGGCAAAGTGCATTGGCGGGTCAGCTTCAGGCATGATTGAGTATGCGAGTCTCCAGTAAGGACAGATGTGGCTCTCCACAGTAATGACTCAGACTTGTCAAAGAGAAGAAGGACCCTATCTCTACAGACTGTTGTTATCCTATTATTACTAATAAGGTGAAAAGGTCACTATCATTGCACGCCTGGTTTGTTGGCTATCAATCAATCACTTGATGGATAATTGAATATCAGGCTTTCAAGGTCTTCTCTTCGCCTAATGAAAACTATATGATGGAGTGCTGAGAGGGGATCAGATCTAAGACACGTTCTGGTGGTTTTCACACCGATCAAAACACTGGTTCATAATTCAATCAGACAGGAAACATTCAAAAGATCTCAGTGTCCTCTCATTACACAGCATAGATGCCACCTCTCACCAAAATCAGCTGTAGGTCACTGATTGTTTATGTATATTTAAAGGTGGAATTGGTTAATTATACTGATGAGGGCCAGTCGTCTCAAAGAGTATCAGTCAACCTATGAAAATGGTCCTTTGGTGTGTTTTTCAGCTCTGAGGGAGACTCGTCAACTCACAGAAACTTACTCTAATGATGTCACTGGGGATTACATCAAATGGGGCTCGAGATTTCAAACCAGGCGGCAACCCTGGTGATGGAAAATGAAGCCATTGCAGGAGTACAAAAGAAGAAGAAGAGGGCACTTGAGGTTGGCTCCGAAAGTTCAAGTACTGTGAACAGACTTTGCGCTAAAATGATACTTTTTCAAAAGACAATATAAGTCCTTGAACTTTATTTCATCTATTATATATCCCAGTATGTGGTTTAAAAGTCATACCAGTTAGCTAGGAAACGCATGAAGTGTGGAGTTTGAAAGATGAGGATGATCAGGATGAGAGGATGAAATTAAGGACACTTTTGTGCTTCGAGGAGATTATGCACTCGGTGTTTCATGATACCTCTCCTTGTATACTTTTTGAACTTCAAAAAGACAGATCAAGTTAATCAGGGGAGGACTTCCCAGAAAATACACTTAAGTAGACCTCCTGTCTGTCACAAACTCCTAAAGTTGTAAAGTACATCGGTGGCAGAACTGAGGCCTAATCTCTGAGAGATACAGGATTCAGGTGGACTTGGGGCCCACAGCGCGCTCAGATCTTTATCTAAGGCGTTATCACCCATGGTGTTTTCATATCCTCCCTCTCAAACTCAGCTCTACAGCTCGACATTGAGCGCTTAGATTCAGCCTGCCTCCATCAGTTCAGGTCTTATTGGATACGAACTTTGAGGCCAAGGAAAGCAGTTTATCTCACTCTGGTTAAGATGTCCAGTTCAATAAGAAAAATTCACTCTGTTGCTTAATAAATATTAAGCCTTATGGGAGCTAAAAGTCAGCTGAGGTGGTGTAAAGGCATCTCCTGCAGGTATTTATACCTGATAACCTCTGTGTATGGATTTAAAGTGCAGCACTCCCTGTAACACCCTCCACTTTTTATCCTCATGTTACTTAAAAATATCTCAGTGTAATTATGAAAACTACACATGACACCACCAGCTTCATCTCTCTAAAAAAGCTCCACCAGGAAAACTTCAGGTGCATCTCAAGAAGAAGAATACTGTGCAAAAGTTCATGAAAGAGTACACTTGAATAAATGTTATATTCATTACACATCAAATGAAACATTTCAGAAATCAGAAATTCAGTATCTCAAATTATTAGAATTTATCCTTAGATTAAGAAAAATAAGGTTTTAAAATGCAGGATTATCTAACTTCTGAAAAGTCTGTTTATTTATACACTCAATACTTAGTTAGGGTCCCTTCACCAGGAATTACTGCATAATTACAGCATGTTATGGTGTCTGTTGATCAGCCTGTGGCAGAGCTGAGGTTTTACTCAGATAGAGGCCTTCAGCTCGTCTATATTATCAGATCCGGTGTTTCAAATAGTCTTCTTGACAGCTATATCACATATTCTGTTGGGTTCAGGTCAGGTGAGTCGACTGGTCTATCAAGCACAGTAATATAAACCATGATCAACAAAGAATTTGTTAGGCACTGTGAGCAGGTGATAAGTGCTACTGTAAAATATCCATCAAGCTTTTCAGCAGAAGTATCAAGTGCTCGAAGATCTCCGTGTTGATGGCTGTGATGACATTGGACTTGATAAAGCACAGTGGACCAACAGCAGCAGACAACACAACACCTCAAATCATCGCAGACTGCAGAAACGCAGGCCAGCTGACAGGTCTGTCTGTGCCTGGGACAAGGAGATTTACTCTCTTTCTGGAGGGAGTCAGTGATCATCTTCTGGACAACTGGGGCGGCAGTAGCTCAGGAGGTACAGCGGTCGGCCAATAACTGGAAGGTTGGCGGTTAGAAACCTGCCCTATCCCTAGTCTGTCCGTTGTGTCCTTGGGCAAGACACTTAACCCACCTTGCTCCCAGTGTGTTTCCTCCACTGGTGTATGATTGTGAGCGTTACGTGGTGGTGGTCGGAGAGGCCGTAGGCGCAAACTGGCAGCCACGTTTCCGTCAGTCTGCCCCAGGGCAGCTGTGACCACTAAGGTAGTTTACCACCACCAAAGTGTGACTGTGTGAGTGAATGAATGATGTATCCAATGTAAAGCGCTTTGAGGTCACTGACATAATAGTGCTATATAAATCTGATGCATTATTATTATTATTACAACTGTCCAGGCAGCCGGCTTTCCCATGATTGTGGTATTTATTCTACTATATGAAGCAATGAACTCAAACTTTAAAGTACATATTATGAGAAACCATTTAGATTTTTTTAGCCAAAGGCAATGATTATTAAAAAGAAAAAAAATAGGTGAAATAACTTTGTTTTGGTAATAAATTTAGAATATATTAAATGTTGACTTTCTCAAATAACTTTTGGTAAATATGGAATTTTTTTCACATTATTCTTATTTGCTGAGATGCACCTGTGAATGTTGTGAAGAGGATGCAGCTTGAGATAGTTTAAAAATCCACATCCACAGTCCACATTGTCAAATTTTTTCCTCAGGTGACATACTGTGTGGGGGTGTAAAATTATCAGTTTTTGGACCAGGACTCCTCGACTCAGCCTTTGCTTTGCTTTGGTTGTTGTGTGACTTTAACTCTTGTGTACTGCTCAAAATTTACACCCTTTCGTCCTGTGCATGGACGTTTTTAGCCACTAACTTTAGCTGCTGTAAAAACATATCCAATAAATATTTTTTCAAAAACTTTTTGGTCAAATCTCTTCATTAACCTCAGTCCTTATCGAAACTATTTTATTTTTTTATTGTTATGGATTTTAAGCCTTAACATGCTGATTTCAGAGGTGATGTCACTGGTTTGGTGAGGGAAAAGAAAATAATTTTCAATGTAAAAAATGATCAGAGGCTGGAGATTTTTTACGTGCTATCACACCCTTGGATATGTCAAATATTAGTGACAACAGTGGCTTTGATGCATTCTTATTTTTTTGGCAGCATCGCATTTTAGGATTTTACACCCTTTCGTCCTGTTCCTGGATGTTTTTAGCCGCTAAATTTAGTTGCTGTAAAAACATATCAGATAGATATTTTTTTAAACCTTTTTTCTAAGATCCCTTTATCAGGCTCAGTCCTGATAAAAACTACTTAATATTTTTAAAAACACATTGATTTTAACTCATTAAAGCGGTGGGTAAAACACTGAGAAAAATGGTAACAGTGTTGTAAGTATGAAAAAGTTGTATTTTCTCTCTTTGGTTGATCTGACAGTTAAGAGTCAGACTGTCTCCTGGTGAACCGGAAAGTGTGGTGTTTACAGGAGGAATTTACTGAAAGTGAAACTAAAAAAAACTCCCTTTCATAGGGCGGTGAAAACAGAGGTTTTGAGTAAAATTGAAGTTTTTTAATTTTCTTAAGCATATTTAGGAAAGTTTAAGATGAGTAAAGTTAGTAAGTCAACCAAGAAGCTACAACTGATCTGAACTACAGCATGTTTGATGTCTGTTAAAGGACATTTTGAACTCTTTTAGGAGGACTGTCAGGACGAGGTGTGACTCGGTGTTTTTAAATGAAAGACTGTTATGAATATTTAGTGTAATTCTGAGTCATAACACCGGCTCTGAGAGGGTCCAGTAAGTTGGCCTTTCCGGGCCCACACTCGTGTTAAAAGCACATAATTCAGTCGGTATGTTGGTCACATTCATGCAGAGCGCTGACCGCCTCCATCAGCCCTGTGCACACAGGTGTATGTGTGTCATCTCACCACACTGCGGTTTCCGCTCGTGTCTCGTAGCGCCAGTCGGAACTCTCCGGCCCGGCTCGGGTCCATGCTGAGCTGCAGCCGCAGAGCCTCGCTGCCGGCCCCGGGGAGACACAGGGGCCGGATCCCGGAATGACACACAGACACCCGGACAGACATTAAAACAGTGCTGCAGCAAGCCGTAAGTCCTGGACCGCTGCATGCAGCCGGTTGGGATGAGGAAGAGACCGGGGCTGGAGGAGCCCAGCCTCCCGAGCTGAGAGCCATGTCTTAGGGACTCAGAGACGGGCTGAGGGTGTCTGAAGCCCCGCGGCAGGTGTTACGACTACCCGCTGCTTCTGTTTGGTTTATAAGGTCCACCAAAGTCCACAGAAACCGCGTGTCTTCACGGAGAGGCTGTGGGCGTCTCCACGCCCCGAAAATTCTTCCATATCGACCCGACCCAAGCAGACACGGAGCGACGGAGAACCAAAACAGGAAGTGCCGCGGTACGTCTCTTAAATCTCTCCGTACGGAAACAAGGCAATGAAACATGTACATCTCAGACATCAGAAAGAGCGCACCTCAAGCACAATCATCCGCGGGGATGATTGTGCTTGAGGTGTGCATGCATGTTCTTCGTTGACCTGTTGAGGAATAGCACCCAAAGCTAATTATTTAGTGCAATTTTGTTTACAGACTCGAGACTCCACTTTTATTGTTTTAATAGTTATGTGTGGAGTGAAGTTTTTGTTCCATACCAGAGACAAGGTCCATTTTTTTATTGTTTGTAGGTGATTGTGGTTTTTATTTGAATGCAGTTTTTGATCAAACGGAATGTGGGTCCATTTTATTCTCATTGTTTTTTGGTTGTCTTGTTTGTTTATTATATTTGTTCATCCTAGTTCAAAGTTCTTAATCTTGAGCAATTAAAGTTTATTGCTTTTGACATGGTGTACTCGCATTATTATGCCATATATTATCGTTATCTATAATTTAAAAAACGGTGTCAATAATATCGTTTATCGGGAATAATTTGTAGCACAATTATCGTCCAGCAAAATTTGTTATCGTGACAGGCCTACATGTACAGAACAACACCAGCAAGATAAAAAAAGGGGGCGTCCAAATCAATGAGGAGCTTCAATTTGGGAGATCAGTGATGACAGATAAACCAGTGAAATATCATAGAAGACAATACAAGCATACATTGAACTAAACATCTATGCATATCTAGTCAGGCTTACCGTAGTTAAGCCAAACTTGTTTTTACTAAGGTGGCCAAACTCAGGTTCAGATTTTGCAGGGATGGCATGACATGGGCTGTGAGTACATGCACAGATGGCACACCCTCTCTGTCTCAACTAACCACACATACTTTAATCAGTTACTTAAAAATAACTAAACAATGTTGTACTCCTGTGTATATTAACAGAAAGCAACTCAGAAGAGTGGCAATATTTCAGTCTTTTTCAGCGTATACTTAAAAAAAGGAGGCTCTGGCAGACAGCTGAATGTCAAATACATGAGGAACAATGCAGGGTGCAGGCTGTGGGACAGTAGACCACTTCTTTAGACTTGCAGGGCTTCTGGAGCATCAGGGGGATTTGTTCATCCAGTCTACATATGTTTTATCAGCCTAACCTTGCAAGAGCACTCTGCAGGTCTGCGTATTACTTTGGTAAGGAGTTCTGTTTTCTCATGACTTCTCTTTAAACATTTTCGTTTGAAAAACCTTCGTTGCTCTTGTTAAATGTCTCTAATGAAAGCATTAAACTTAACCACCTTTGCATCGAAGTCTAAAGTAACACCAACATATCTTGTGATATTGATACACAAATACAGACAACAAGGTCAGGTTTAATGCAAGTATAATACAAGTACTCTAGAACTTTAGGTTGCTTTATTCAACTCTGTGCCCCACCTGTGAACATTTTAATTCAGGATATTGACCACACTTAAGTTCTGACTCATTTAACTTTTGGAGTTATTCACAGTCATGAACTATATCTCCACAAGGTTGATGAGTAGCTGCTGAAAAATGAGATTACTCAAGTCTGATTCTTGAATAGCTGCAGGGTAGTTTCAGACGTGTCATGCAGGATCTGGACTAAAGGGTAATATATAACAGAGAAGTCAATTTTTACTCAGATGGTGGTTTAGTAAAGGAGGAGATAGATGCGTCACTGTGCCTGGAAAAGACTGCACTCATCTGTCATTTAAAGCAAAAACTCTTAATGTTCATGCAAATTTTGAGGCCCACGGCAGGTTTGTCAGTGTCACAGCTCTTTTTTTAGCTCATTTCAACAGAGCTGCTGGTCTGAGAAAGGAGAGGAGAAGTTAGAGAGATGTCTGTGGTACGGGAGATCAGTCAGAATGTAAGGAACATGAAGTCGTTAGAGTATGAAATCCTTGCAAGGCGACGAAGCCTGATCAAGAAAGAGCTCAGACAGGTAAAGAAAAGAAAATCTTTGATAGCTTCCTTCCTGATATCTGAGCTTGAAATCCTTCCTGTCTCTGTCTGCAGGGAGTAAGAAAACCATTCAAAGAGGTGTTGGATGTCTCCATGGGCGACCTGCAAATGTCAGGTCTAAAGCCTCTGTCATTCGTCCGACAGGTAAAACACTAAACATTTTCATTTGGGTTTGTTTCATTATTTCATGTTGTGTACAGTATTGTAGATTTCTTCTATTATCAGTTTTGTTATTTATACAGTATATGAGCTGAATTCCCACGTGCTTACAGTCACAATAAGTCCATGCAAGAGCATGGGCTCACTGCTGTCTGGTGCACAAATCACATATTCTCAATGGCAACAGTGAGAAATAGGAAAAAACTTCTTTAACTACTGTTTCTCTTTATGGTATTTTAAACACCTTATTCAAACTGTTTTAATTCCTCATAATTTTGAAATATTATAGCCTGAAAATCTTACCCTATTTCCCAGGTCCTCGCAGCATGTCTTTACCCCGAGCTCCTGAACAGCAACAAGCTGCCGGTGGACGTTAGACAGAGGGCTCAGAGGCTGCTTGGGGAATGTGCAGGGGGGAGTATAGGTAAGGGCTATTTCTGAAGGAAAATAAAGCCAGAACAGTTAAATTACACCAGTTTCTTGTCATTTTATTGATTGTTTTTGGATAATTTTCTGATATTTCAGGTGAGTTTTTGTATCAAGTGCTGATAGCATTCACAAGAATCAGTCTTCTTCTAAAGCGAACAGTGTGATATCTAAAAACAAGTTAAAAATGAATGATACTTCACCTGTGTTCACAAAATAAGTTTAAAGGCCATTACACACTAAATTTTAACAATGAACGGTGACATTTTGTTTACTAGCTTTTTAGCTTGCAGTTAAGTGAATTTATTAACCTCTTGAAATCTTTCCCCCTTTTTTTTTTGGACTATGTTTATAGTTTTTCCCTTTACAAACAACAATCGATACTCCTTTAAACCACCAGCCCTTATCTTACAAACACAGAAATAAAAAAAAAACAGATGAATTTGTCTCTTTCATCTGAGACAAAATACTACAAAATAGTAACAGCTGTAATTGTAACATACAAACATAAATCTGTAAATGTACAAGCACATATTTATATAAGAATAGAATTAATGAAAAAACAATGACTATTTCTCCTTTACTTGTATATAAAAATGTACTTTAGATATGAATGTTTATTTTTGCTTTTTGCTTATAAGGAAGGAAAAGTAATGTCTTGGGAAGGAAGCCCAAAGGTCATAACAGTATGGAGTAATATTGTATATATTATATATGCGGTAAAATTTTCTTGTGCTGTATATGTGCCATTTACATACTATTCAATACATCAAATGTATAGAATAAAAAGGAAAAAAAAAAGTACAAAACTTACATAATAGTTGCTTGAATCGCTCTCTGATGATCATTTGTGTATCTGTGTTGTTTTTCAGGCTCATACACAGCTACAAGGGGTATCCCTGAGATAGTCCAAAGAATCTCTGAATACATAACAAAGCGAGATGGAGGGGCCCCATGTTCCCCTGAGAACATCTTCATAAGTTCAGGATCACAGTGGTCCCTCTTGGTAACAGGCTAAAAAACAAACACACCGTCCTTGTTCTTTGTACATTATTCTCACTTTAACTCAATCCTGTTACTGTGTTTATCAGAACATCCTGAAGGTCTTGTTGTTTGAGAGCTCACCAAAGAGAGGCATACTGGTTCCAGTGCCGAGCCACGTCACCACCACTTTGTCCATTCCAAGTCTGGGAGGAGTCGTCATCCCTTACTACCTGAGCGAGGAGCAGGGCTGGCAGTTGCAGGTGGAGGAGCTTCAGCGTGCTTTGGATTCTGCTAAGGCATGGTGTAAACCTGTAGCTTTGTACATCATCAACCCTGGAAACCCCCCAGGTACAAAATCCTCACCAGAGTGTTCTTAATGTGAGGATTGTATGTCGGGGATCATTTTTGACTTGGTGGTATCACCTCTACAGGTCAGATTCAAAGCAGAAAATCAATGCAGGAGGTGATCCAGTTTGTGTCTGAGAAGAGGCTCTTCCTTCTGGCTGACGAGGTAGATGTCTGAAAGGATTGTCAGGCATAACAGGAAAATATATACAAATGCGCAGTAAAAGGCTTTGCATTGTTGTCCACAGGTCTATCAGAACTTGATATATGGGGAAAACAGTGAGTTTGTCTCCTATAAGAGGGTTCTAGGAGAAATGGGACATCCTCTGTCAGACACAGTGGAGCTGGCGTCCTTCCACTCAGCATCTAAAGGCTTCACAGCAGAGTAAGCGGAGTGACGAAAGTTAGACAAAAACAGACTGTATGGAATAAAAGTTTTCAAAGCCTTATGACTGCTGAGTGGTTGTTAAAGACAGTGTGATACGACTAAAAACTCTGTACAGCTAATAATCAGACTTTTGTTTACTTCCTGCTAGGTGCGGTCTGCGTGGTGGGTATGTGGAGCTGGTAAATGTGGACCCTGCTGTCATGAAACACATCTATGCTCTGTTCTCTAAAGACAGCTGTGGGCCTGTGTTGGGTCAGATGGCCCTAGATCTCGCGCTAAACCCTCCACAACCAGGAGATCCCTCATACCCGCTTTATCACACAGTGAGTTCATAGAAAAAACAGCTTTTTAAACACATAAATTTGATTATTTATTCATCATGATTCATCTCACTTTCCTCCAGGAAACAGAACACATCAGGAAGTCGCTGCTCCACAACATAAAGAGGGTCTCTGAGGTTTTAAACAGCCTGCCGGGTTTTTCCTGTCAGCCTGTGCAGGGAGGGGCATTCGCGTACGCTAGACTGTTTCTGCCGCCCAGTGCAATACAGAAAGCTGAGGTTGCAAGCCTGTCTCATAGAACTGTTTATACAATCTACAACCTGTGCACTATTATCAGAGTAAATAACATTGTCTCATTAAATGTTTCAGATATATTTGTGCGTATTTTTGTTTCAGGAACTGGGACTGAAACCAGACACGTACTACTGCGTGAGATTGCTGGAAGAGGCTGGTGTGTTAACGCTCCCTGGAAGTGAATTTGGACAAAAAGAGGGCACCCATCACATGAGGTATAAGTAAGGATAGAAATCAAGCATGTTTTCTTCAGAATTATCCCTGAAGACATTGCATGATCAGTTTATAGATAGATTTAGGAAATGGGTTTCAAATGAGATCTTCAACCTCTTTTTTTTTTCCTACAGATTTTGCATAACAACCCCCCAGGAAAGAATGGAAGAAGTTTTGAGGCGCATTACCAACTTTCACACACAGTTTATGAGGAATGTGTCCAAGACAGAGGCAGACAGAGTATGACTCAGTGTACTTATACTCTCTAATTATAAACTACTCTGGGAAAACAATAAAATGATTTGATCCTGTTACTCATGCCGGACTCAGTGTGTTAATATTTATTGCAATAAATAGCAATTTTTTTTCTGCACACAGTCTTTGACCTTTGGCCAGTAATCTTCTGTCTCTATCATTCATTATAGTTGAGTAATAATCAACTTCTGCTTCTTATAAAGCAAATGAGCATGAATTAGAAACCTCAGTCCAAAATCCAAACCAATGGATTTGCACACATCGAGTTTATCATTCACCTAAAAAATGAACAGCAGACAACAGTCCACCCTGGATTTCTGCTCTCAGTTCATGTCAGCATGTGACATACTAGAATAAGTATGGGCAAAACCAAACTTAACATTAAAACAGGCGCATCAGACCAGTTCCTATGTCTCTCGAGATCAGCCAGCAGATCCAACAGATGCAGATACACGTAGAAGAGCTCAGAAGGCCTTTAATCCAGCTCGCTGTCACTGTTTTGGTTCTGAGCAAAAGGGTCGGAGTCTGTGTTGTTGAGCAAATCTACGAGCAAAGAGATGAGCTCTCCGTCTTGAGCAGAGCGGCTGCTGACAGAGCGGGGATTGTTAAGGTTGCGGTAGAGCATTGTCTGAATGGAAGTGCGGAACTCCCACAGCAGCTGCCAGGTGTCGATTGGCAATTCACAGCGCACCAGGTAGTGTCCAGGAAGTGACACCTCCACCATGTCTCCATTCACTGATAAAAGAAAAAAAGAGATTATGCAGAAAAGATTAAAATATCACATGTAATATACTGTTGGTTTAGAGCACAGTGCTTTTTTTAAATAAAGTTGTTGATTGAATTGTGTGCCATCAAGATGCCAAATGGATTTCTGTGCATTCTGTTTAAAGGAAGTATAAAAGCATTCACATTTTTTTCACTGTTCATATTTTTAAAAAATCTAATTTTTTAATGAAAAATGTCATCATGCTTTTATTAGAAAGCCAATGATGTCACTCATCAGGAATCCTGCAAGTTAAAGTTCATCACTTCGTCTCACATCTTTAGTAACACAATAACCAATGTGTCTCTTCTTGTGCCCCCCTTCCCTGTGGAGTACCCCAAGGCTCTATTCTTGGTCCCATCTTGTTCTCCCTATATCTCCTCCCTCTTGGCTTGATCTTCAAAAAGTGCGGTACATCTTAGCATCTGTATGCAGATGACACTCAGATCTACCTCCCAATAAAGAAAAATGATGGTAGCCCTCTACAATATCCTAAAATAAAGAAAATTAAGGTTTTAAAATGCAGGATTATCCAACTTCTGAAAAGTATGTTTATTTATACACTCAATACTTAGTTAGGGTCCCTTCACCAGGAATTACTGCATAATTACAGCATGTTATGGTGTCTGTTGACCAGCCTGTGGCAGAGCTGAGGTTTGACTCAGATAGAGGCCTTCAGCTCATCTATATTATCAGGTCAGGTGTTTCAAATAGTCTTCTTGACAGCTATATCACATATTCTGTTGGGTTCAGGTCAGGTGAGTCGACTGGTCTATCAAGCACAGTAATATAAACCATGGTCAACAAAGAATTTGTTAGGCACTGTAAGCAGGTGATAAGTGCTACTGGAAAATATCCATCAAGTTTTTCAGCAGAAGTATCAAGTGCTCGAAGATCTCCGTGTTGATGGCTGTGATGACACTGGACTTGATAAAGCACAGTGGACCAACAGCAGCAGACAACACAACACCTCAAATCATCGCAGACTGCAGAAACGCAGGCCAGCTGACAGGTCTGTCTGTGCCTGGGACAAGGAGATTTACTCTCTTTCTGGAGGGAGTCAGTGATTATCTTCTGGACAACTGGGGCGGCAGTAGCTCAGGAGGTAGAGCGGTCGGCCAATAACTGGAAAGTTGGCGGTTAGAACCCTGCAGACAGACTATCCCTCGTCTGTCCGTTGTGTCCCTGGGCAAGACACTTAACCCACCTTTCTCCCAGTGTGTGTGTCCTGTATGATTGTGAGTGTTGTGTGGTGGTGGTCGGAGAGGCCGTAGGCGCAAACTGGCAGCCACGTTTCCATCAGTCTGCCCCAGGGTAGCTGTGACTACTATACAAGTATTTACACTATAAACAACACAAATAGTGGCAATGTGTTTATAGTGTAAATACTTGTATATTATCCCTATATTTTTACTTATGTTACTTATTTATCTATTTTATCTTTTATTTTGGCCACCTTAATAAAAATAAGGAAATTAAATTTCCTCATGGTTATAAAAGTTACAGTTGGATATAGTATTATAAATACTTATTCAAATGCTGCAGACAATTGCCCTTATGACCTACAAAAGCAAACAGTGCAACCAAAGAAAATGTAGAAATTTTTTCTTTATTTTATTTCGCAACACCTGTAACCTCTGCGAGGGGGTTGGTGCCAGGGGAGCCTGATTCTTGAGAAGCTGCAGGGTAGTTTCAGGTGTATCAAGCAGGATCTGGACTAAAGGGTAATATATAACAGAGAAGTCAATTTTTACTCAGATGGTGCTTTAGTAAAAGAGGAGATAGATGTGTCACTGTGCCTGGAAAAGACTGCACCCATCTATCATTTTACCAAGAACTCTTAATGTTCATGCAAATTTTGAGGCCCATGGCAGGTTTGTCAGTGTCACAGCTCTTTTTTTAGCTCATTTCAACAGAGCTGCTGGTCTGAGAAAGGAGAAGAGAAGTTAGAGAGATGTCTGTGGTACGGGAGATCAGTCCGAATGTAAGGAACATGAAGCCGTTAGATTATGAAATCCTTGCACGGCGACAAAACCTGATCGAGAAAGAACTCAGACAGGTAAAGAAAAGAAAATCTTTGATAGCGTCCTTCCTGATATCTGAGCTTGAAATCCTTCCTGTCTCTGTCTGCAGGGAGTAAGAAAACCATTCAAAGAGGTGTTGGATGTCTCCATGAGTGACCTGCAAATGTCAGGTCTAAAGCCTCTGTCATTCGTCCGACAGGTAAAACACTAAACATTTTCATTTGGGTTTGTTTCATTATTTCATGTTGTGTACAGTATTGTAGATTTCTTCTATTATCAGTTTCGTTATTTATACAGTATATGAGCTGAATTCCCACGTGCTTACAGTCACTAAGTGGGCTCATTGCTGTCTGGTGCACAAATCAAATATTCACAGTGGCAACAGTGAGAAATAGAAAAAAAACTTCTATAACTAAAGTTTCCCTTTATTCAAACTGTTTTAATTCTGCATGAATTTGAAATAGTACAGCCTAAAAATCTTACCCTATTTCCCAGGTCCTCGCAGCATGTCTTTACCCCGAGCTCCTGAACAGCAACAAGCTGCCGGTGGACGTTAGACAGAGGGCTCAGAGGCTGCTTGGGGAATGTGCCGGAGCGAGTGTAGGTAAGAGCTGTTTCTGAGGAAAATAAAGCCAGAACAGTTGAATTACACCAGTTTCTTATCAGGGATTTTTTGATAGCTTTTGTTCAATTTTTTGACATTATAGGTGAGTTTTTATGTCAAGTGATGATAGCATTCACAAAAATCAGTCTTTTTCTAAAGCGAACAGTGTGATATCTATAAATAAGTTAAAAATGGTCATACTTCACCTGTGTTCACAAAATAACTTTGAAGTCCTTGACACACTGAATTTTAACAATGAACTGTGACATTTTGTTTACTAGCTTTTTAGTTTGCAAGGAAGGAAAAGTAATGTCTTGGGAAGGAAGCCCAAAGGTCATAACAGTATGGGGGTAATATTGTATATATTATATATGTGGTAAAATTTGCTTGTGCTGTATATGTGCCATTTACATTCTATTCAACACATCAAATGTATAGAATAAAAAGGAAAAAAAAAAGTACAAAACTTACATAATAGTTGCTTGAATCGCTCTCTGATGATCATTTGTGTATCTGTGTTGTTTTTCAGGCTCATACACAGCTACAAAGGGTATCCCTGAGATAGTCCAAAGAATCTCTGAATACATAACAAGGCGAGATGGAGGGGTCCCATGTTCCCCTGAGAACATCTTCATAAGTTCAGGATCACAGTGGTCCCTCTTGGTAACAGGCTAAAAAACAAACACACCGTCCTTGTTCTTTGTACATTATTCTCACTTTAACTCAATCCTGTTACTGTGTTTATCAGAACATCCTGAAGGTCTTATTGTTTGAGAGCTCACCAAAGAGAGGCATACTGGTTCCAGTGCCGAGCCACGTCACCACCACTTTGTCCATTCCAAGTCTGGGAGGAGTCGTCATCCCTTATTACCTGAGCGAGGAGCAGGGCTGGCAGTTGCAGGTGGAGGAGCTTCAGCGTGCTCTGGATTCTGCTAAGGCATGGTGTAAACCTGTAACTTTGTACATCATCAACCCTGGAAACCCCCCAGGTACAAAATCCTCACCAGAGTGTACTTAGTGTGAACATGTTTGTATGTCGGGGATCATTTTTGACTTGGTGGTATCACCTCTACAGGTCAGATTCAAAGCAGAAAATCAATGCAGGAGGTGATCCAGTTCGTGTCTGAGAAGAGGCTCTTCCTTCTGGCTGACGAGGTAGATGTCTGAAAGGATTGTCAGGCATAACAGGAAAATATATACAAATGCACAGTAAAAGGCTTTGCATTGTTGTCCACAGGTCTATCAGAACTTGATATATGGGGAAAACAGTGAGTTTGTCTCCTATAAGAGGGTTCTAGGAGAAATGGGACATCCTCTGTCAGACACAGTGGAGCTGGCGTCCTTCCACTCAGCATCTAAAGGCTTCACAGCAGAGTAAGCGGAGTGACGAAAGTTAGACAAAAACAGACTGTATGGAATAAAAGTTTTCAAAGCCTTATGACTGCTGAGTGGTTGTTAAAGACAGTGTGATACGACTAAAAACTCTGTACAGCTAATAATCAGACTTTTGTTTACTTCCTGCTAGGTGTGGTCTGCGTGGTGGGTATGTGGAGCTGGTAAATGTGGACCCTGCTGTAATGAAACACATCTATGCTCTGTTCTCTAAAGACAGCTGTGGGCCTGTGTTGGGTCAGATGGCCCTAGATCTCGCGCTAAACCCTCCACAACCAGGAGATCCCTCATACCCGCTTTATCACACAGTGAGTTCATAGAAAAAACAGCTTTTTAAACACATAAATTTGATTATTTATTCATCATGATTCATCTCACTTTCCTCCAGGAAACAGAACACATCAGGAAGTCGCTGCTCCACAACATAAAGAGGGTCTCTGAGATTTTAAACAGCCTGCCGGGTTTTTCCTGTCAGCCTGTGCAGGGAGGGTCATTCGCGTACGCTAGACTGTTTCTGCCGCCCAGTGCAATACAGAAAGCTGAGGTTGCAAGGCTGTCTCATAGAACTGTTTATACAATCTACAACCTGTGCATTATTATAAGAATAAATAAAATAATCATATTAAATATTTCAGATATATTTGTGCGTATTTTTGTTTCAGGAACTGGGACTGAAACCAGACACGTACTACTGCGTGAGATTGCTGGAAGAGGCTGGTGTGTTAACGCTCCCTGGAAGTGAATTTGGACAAAAAGAGGGCACCCATCACATGAGGTATAAGTAAGGATACAAATCAATAATTAAGCTCTGGAGACACTGCATGATCAGTTTATAGATAGATTTAAGAAATGGGTTTCAAATGAGATCTTTAACCTCTTTTTTTTTTTCTGCAGATTTTGCATCACAACCCCCCAGGAAAGAATGGAAGAAGTTTTGAGGCGCATTACCAACTTTCACACACAGTTTATGAGGAATGTGTCCGAGACAGAGGCAGACAGAGTATGACTCAATGTACTTATACTCTCTAATTATAAACTACTCTGGGAGAACAATAAAATGATTTGATCCTGTTACTCATGCCGGACTCAGTGTGTTAATATTTATTGCAATAAATAGCAAATTTTTTTCTGCACACAGTCTTTGACCTTTGGCCAGTAATCTTCTGTCTCTATCATTCATTATAGTTGAGTAATAATCAACTTCTGCTTCTTATAAAGCAAATGAGCATGAATTAGAAACCTCAGTCCAAAATCCAAACCAATGGATTTGCACACATCGAGTTTATCATTCACCTAAAAAATAAACAGCAGACAACAGTCCACTTTGGATTTCTGCCCTTAACCAGTTCATGTCAGCATGTGACACACTAGTACAAGTATGGACAAAACCAAACTTAGCATTAAAACAGGCGCATCAGACCAGTTCCTATGTCTCTTGAGATCAGCCAGCAGATCCAACAGATGCAGATACACGTAGAAGAGCTCAGAAGGCCTTTAATCCAGCTCGCTGTCACTGTTTTGGTTCTGAGTAAAAGGGTCGGAGTCTGTGTTGTTGAGCAAATCTACGAGCAAAGAGATAAGCTCTCCGTCTTGAGCAGAGCGGCTGCTGACAGAGCGGGGATTGTTAAGGTTGCGGTAGAGCATTGTCTGAATGGAAGTGCGGAACTCCCACAGCAGCTTCCAGGTGTCGACTGGCAATTCACAGCGCACCAGGTAGTGTCCAGGAAGTGACACCTCCACCATGTCTCCATTCACTGATAAAAGAAAAAAAGAGATTATGCAGAAAAGATTAAAATATCACATGTAATATATTTAATATGTAATATACGTTCCAAATTGTGGAACGAATTGCCACTCGAGATTAAAACATCCCCCACTCTTTGTACTTTTAAATCACGTCTTAAACGTCTCATTTTTATTCCTTGGCTTTTAGCTCAGCATGAGAGTTGTGTGATCTCTGTCCTTTTATGTCTTTTATCAGGATCCTTTCATCACCTTTATTTCTTTTATGCTTTTGTGTTTTTATTCATTTATTTTATTTTAAATGTTTTTTACTTGCTTTTATTTATTTCATCTTGATGTTTTCAGCATTGTCTGTTGATTTAATTTTATTGTGCAGCACTTTGGTAAACTTGAATGTTTTTTAAAATGTGCTATATAAATAAAGCGGATTGGATTGGATAACCATATTCATAATAACAGCCTGGCAACAGTCAGTCAATAACGATGATTGGATGATAGCTGCTAATTAGCGTCCATGTTATACCTCTCTCTGCGATGTCACAGTCTGTGAGCATTAGCAAGGCGAGTGGATGGACGGCTGAAGAGTCCCTGATGAAAACGTTCTCATTAGACTTGACGGCGCTGAAGAAGGTCAGCCAGCGACTGGGGAGCTTCGTTTTTCCTCTACAACAACACAGACAGGAAAAACAATAAGTCCACTGCTGAGTATATCACTTATCTACTGTAGATGAGTTTAGGAGTTCAAACCTGTTGACAGAAGAGCGGTGGAGCAGTACAGGCCCACTAGCTGTGCGGAGGGAGATATTGTGGGGCCGGAAGCGTCCTTTGGTCACGACACCTTTCTTCACCTAAGAAATAAAGTACCAAAGTAGTACATGGTTTTATCTTAAGAGTTATGCAGGGATGTCAGTTTTCCTGTGAAAGCTTTGACCCGTACAGATTCATGTGAGTTCAGGACAGACAGACATGTTTACATCTTAGAAGCAAAGCAACAAAAAATATAAGAAAAAATCATAATTATACACTATACACTTCAAGATGTACAGCATGTCTTACTTCAACAAGGCCTGAAATAGACCATAAAGTATAATGTGGTATTTAACATGACCCTTTTATTGCCATGTACCTGAATGAGGTTGGGATACAGTCCAGCCAGCAGTACAGCTTTAAGCAGCTCATCCTCGTCACTGTGTCTGTTGTACCGAGAGGACTGATGCTGGCACTCCTGGGCACGAGGCACCAGCTCAGCTTCATGCAGATTATCACTGAACTGAGAGATGAGACCTGCAACAGAGCAGAAATTATTCTCCAATGTGTCATAAAAAAAAACCAGTACAAAATAGTTTAAAATCCAAGTCATACGCTGAGATGATTTTTTTAAAGCTTTGTTTGAACATAAAACTCTCATGTAAAAACGACTTCTATGTAGAGGGATATTGAAAAGACAAGACAACAAATACAACCAGACATGAGGCTTGAGGGTGTATTTAGCAATCAACCAAAGTTTTCATATATTTTACACAGAACCGGTCACCTTAAAAGGAATCCAACTGGTACCAGTTACTGTAATGGAAGCTCGTAGATAACCTGAGCTTCATCTGATTGCATCAAAACAGTGTGTGAGCACAACCACGACATCCAGCACTCCATCCAGTAGAGAAAAATTTTTGTTCACATGAATAACTATTTTCATTTACTGCAGTAAATTCAAGTGTTTTGCAGTGTGTTTATGGCAAATTTTAGAGATAACAGACTTGTGATTTATTGTGTAGCTCTGATGGACATTGTTTTGGATCACCACTTCACCTCATTTTTATGACACATCTTTTTGAGATGCCCTCAAAACTGTATCCCCAAATTGGTGTCATTTGCAATGCTTTCATGGTTTGAAGTTACATCACCAGTAAACACAAACTGAAGCCTATTCTTTTTACTGCAGCAACCAATACAGAAATATTTCTAACTCACCGTTAATGAATCTGAGGCTGAACCTGGACAGACAGTGTTTCTCCAGATATTCATCTCTGTCATCTCTGTCGCCCATATGCTGAACTCTCCTCCAACCCATTATAGCTCGAACAAACACCAAGTAGTCACTGTAGCTGGAGCCGCTCAGACCCTCTTTCGCCTGGACAAAGAAACAACTCATGAGTACCACACACTGGACTGTGTGCCATTTTGAAAACAGGTGGGTGTAATAACATCTCACCTTGGTGACTAGTGCTCTGTTCTGCAGGCTATTGTGAAAAGGATCTCTTGTCAGACAGGCAGCCACAGACAGCATGGGAAGAACACATCTAAACATGGCGCTGAGGACCAGCACTTTGCCCAGTCGAGGGTCACATGACATACAGGAGACCCGCTGTCCTAAAGGCGTCAAGGTTTCAGTCTTGTCCAGGACTCCTACAGAAGTAAACATCGACAGATTAGACATTATTCTCCTCCTGCAGTGAATAAGTGTTTGTGTAGACACGCAGGAGTTCACTCACCAATGTCTTGAAGATTTTGAACAGCATCTCTGACAGCTTCTCTCTCTGGACTCTCCAACACTTGGGACAAGAAATCTACAGCCTAAACACACACAGAAAAACAACTTAAGAGATGACTCCACCTGTCAAAATATATGGAATAAGACTGTCGTTAAATAACACACATAGGAAATTGTCTGCTCTCAGTACCTTGCAGTCTGGACTGTGGATTTTGGCCTGAACAACTAAACTCTCCAGTGGGGTGCGTAGGATCTCAGGGATGGGAAAGAGGGGCATGGATTCCAGCTGCGTCCGTGAGAACAGGTGGTAAGATTGTCCGGGCTGACATCGCCCTGCTCTCCCTTTTCTCTGAGTAACATTGGAACGAGATATCCAGACTGTGTCCAGACAGGAAACCTGCAAAACCAAGTTTAAACTGAGACTAAGACACTCAATTTTACATTACTCCATAAGGACATACATCACAATGCAAGCACTAGGAATAATAATAATAAAAAAAGACATTTTCGCACAAACCTTAGTGCGTGGGTCGTAGTTCTGTTCTTTATGAGTTCCTGTATCGATCACATGGACGATGTCATCGATGGTGATGGAGGTCTCAGCAACGTTTGTGGTAAGGACAATCTTTCTCTTGCCCACTTGAGGGCGCTGGAACACCAACTGCTGGTCTGCCACTGATAAACTAGAGTGCACTTGAAATTGGAAGAAAACAGGAATATAGAAATGAGAAACGTCAACACTCGACATGAAGAGGACAAATCTCTGTAAACCTTTCTATGCTCTCTTACACGGCAAGATCAAGTGTGAGTTAGAGGAAAAGTGGGGCCGCTCCTCCAGCTTTTCCTGGACTGCTTTGATGTCCTGCCATCCTGGGAGGAAACACAACACTGCACCTGGAGCATGAAAGGAAAGAGGACTCTGAGCAAGTGTGTGAAGCATATCAATGAAAATCAAGCAAATGTTAAAAAGGTGTGGGTTTGTTACCTGGCTTTTCATGCTTGTCGATGTGTTCGATTAAATCAGCAACCAATTGGACATCAGGTGAAAGGTCTTCTCTTCCGTTCTTAAAGAAGAAAGAAAATAAAGGAGATGAAGGACTTAACCGAATATCTGCAGAGCACATATGACAGTTCAACAACAGAAACAAAAACTCACCTGCTGCTCTACCTCCTCTCTCCATTTTGCAGGCGGTGCGCGTCCCAACTCTCTAAGTACATCTTCCAAGAATCTGTCCTTCACTGGGTGCATGAAACCAGGAATTTTAATGACAGGGCATCCCCCAAAGTACTGGGCCAGCCTTTCTTTGTCACCTGTAGCGCTCATGAGGACCACTCGTAGTTCGGGGTTCTCATTCAGACTGTTGCGCAGCAGAGCCAGCAGCAGATCTGTGTTGACGTCTCTCTCATGAACTTCATCCACGACTACATGGCTGATTCCCTTCAGAGTTGGGTTCGACTGCAGCTTTCTCAGCAGGACACCCACTGTGAGGAAGAGCATGGCTCCTCCGCTGTGCTCAGGTGGACGACTCTCGAGTCTCACCTACGCACAAGAAAAAAATCCTTCTTTGTCAAAAGTCACCAAATACTTGTTATTATTGGTAATGAAACTAAAAGGTAATTATGTACAAGAGTGTTGATTCCATCAGTGCAAGTCACAGTCTAAAGATGGACCATTCAAGTGCTATAGGTTGATTAACATTTCTGATTTGTGCTTTGTAATTGGAACCAAACATAGACCCTGAAATATTTTTACATTTCAAATAAGGCTGCAGGAATTCACAGATTTGGGATTGGCAGGTCTAGAAGCTACAGCTGATTATTACAAATGATGTTTATGGTAAGAAAAAAATGATGTGGTAAAATAAAAGGGGAGTATAAATGTGTATGTACCTGATATCCCACAGAGTGTTTTAGAGCTGGGCCTAACTCCTGAGCAACACGATGGGCCACAGACACAGCGCTGATCCGACGAGGCTGGGTCACCAGGATGTTGCACTCAGCCCCTTCACCGCCTCTCACACACTCCTCCAGCAGGAAACGGGGTATCCGTGTCGTTTTCCCGCATCCAGTTTCGCCATCGATCACAACCACCCTGGACGACTGGATTGCCGATACCACCCGTTGGCGATGGCCATCCACTGGGAGCTCCACACTCAGCCTGGGGTTTGCGCTCTCCCATTCCTCCTTCAGGTAGGCGTTCAGCTGCTGGGCCTCACGCACAGACAGAGGCTTGTACCGTTTGCCTGTGATTGCGTCTGTCACTAAATCCTCCTCTTCCTCCTCCTCCCCCTCCTCGGTCACCGTCTGCTGTCCTTTCATCTCTTCCTCCTCCCAGAGCCTCTGAACTTCAACATCCACTGGGTACTGTTACAAGACGCAGAGTTAGATTTTAGATAAAACAACATTCAAATTAATATTAAAACACGTTTTACTAATAGAAGAAACACATGAGAGACAACCGACCTGTTCAAGGTACTCTCTTATTTGGTCCTCCAGATACTCAGGGACTTCTAGAGAAAAAGGGCGTCTGTGTCGCTCTCCAGCCTCCCTCACCTGCTCTCGATGGTACTTGGCGTGAGTCAGTGGGTTGTTGTCTTTATCAAGCAGTTCCAGCTCCTGAAGCAGGTGACATGGCAGTTCAGTAAAAATAAATCTCTAACATATGAATAAAAGCAGAAGAAGTTTCATGGTGTTCTTCTCACTTTAAATTTCATGCAGGCCAGAGCTGCAGCTTTTTTCTCTGCTGCTGCTCGATGTGTCGCTGTGGCAGAAAACTTCATCTCTTCAGGCCAGTGCAGGGTCAGCTCACAGCGCTTCAGCTTCCCTCCTGTAGTTCTAAACTGTATCAGCTCCTGTTAAGATATATAGAGTATCCAGTTTAGAACTTAAGAAGCATGAAGAGAGCTTAGTTTTCACTGTGAAAATGATTGAAACTACAAACCCTGAATCTGTTGGATGATGTTGCCACCTGGATGACCCTGGTGAGGAGAGATTTAGGTTGTGGAAACAAGAGGAGAGCCTCAGCAATGTCTAGATTGTCCTCCGCTGGGGGTAACCATTGCTGTTGTTGTACTCCATATGCTTTCCCTCTTAGCAAGCGACTATTTTCTGGCAAGTTACCCTCTTCATCATCACTGAAAAGAGCTGAACTCAATGACCCTTTCCCCCTGACGGCTTTCCTCTTTGGGAGCTGATTGTTCGGACCAAGAACACCCATTTCCTGATCACAAAAAGAGAGAGGATAGTACTTCAATAGACTGCTCCATTAAAAGGACAGGGGAGGGTGGGGTAAGATGAGCCATTTTTCATATTTCGGATCACTACATCAAGGCAATCATAGTTTTGTCGCTAACTAGTGTATCTGCATATATGAAGATGTTGTTCATCCCTGCAAACCAACAGAGTGAGTGTAAACATAACTGTCTTGATAATAAAGCATGGCAAAAAAGTGGTTCCCTAAGGTCAACTTACCCCGTGTGTGAGGTAAGTTGAACATAGGCGCTTTTACATTCATGTGTATTTTTTTAATCTATGATACGCTATTTAACTGGTTCAATAACTCTTTTTATTATTATTTCTGCTAAAACGCTATTTTGTAAAAAATAACAAAAAACATTTTAACATGAGAATGTCTTTAAGTGATTCAGAAGATTCACAGCTGTATTTTTGAAAAGAAAAAGCAACACTCTGATCCTCTCATCAGACTCCTTTACTTTCTCAGTTGAACCACTGGCTAAATTTACCCCAGAACTACTATTACGACTTTATTTGTCCTCTAAGCTAAAATGGTGGACTTTTATGCTAGGTTTTTGACCTCATGTTGTAGCTCGTAGATAACACAAATGATGTATAAAACAAATTTAAAATGGTCTTTTTTGGTCTGAACACAATTCTAACAAAACTTATGACAGACTAAGTTCACTTTCAAGAGTGAAAAATGTTTTTTTTAATAAATGTCTAACCCCTTCACCCATGTGCTTCTGACCTTCACAGACTCCATGAATTAATGCCCATCTCCTAAATATTTGGTCACATGATCAATGTCTTTTACCAATCCAAGCAACAGGGGGTGGCTCAACTTACAACCACTCTCCCCTACTTTACCAGACTGCTCCATCAAAAACATACTCTATTTTACGGTTATTTCATGCAGCTTACCCTCAGCTTCGAGCAGGCAGCAGCAGCAGCAAGTCGCTCTGCATCGACCTTGTTTGAGGCTTGACCAACCTCTGTGAACTTTGAGGGCCACTGCAGCGTGACAGTCGCTTTCTAGACATACAAAGACACGATACAAGATATTAACTTATCTGTGGTGTAAAATTGCCTCATGGATATGTTAAGCTCCATCTAAGTGTGAGTGTGTATCTAACCTTGATCCCTCCATGTTGAGTGAAGCTGTACTGGATGACCCGGGACAGGTCACTGACCCCCAAAGACCGGGCGATGACATTATTCAGCAGATTTTTGGGGTTTGGAAACTCCTTCAAAAGGTTCTGGTTTTCGTTATCTAAAAAGTGAACACAAATGTTAAACACGAGGCGATTTAATCTATGAGCTACTTCCTCTCCAACTTGAGCTTAACCTTAAAGGATAACCCCAACATACACAGATGAGAGCATCTTGTTTTATAAGATGATGTCCTTGAGGTCTGACGCTGTCAGGAGAAGCAGCACCTGGTAGCTAAAAGGCTAACAGCTATATAACTCACCTTGTTTGATCTGTGGATATGAGGTACTCTGTTCATGAACACTCCGGGCTTTTGTCCTGTACCACCGCGTTTCTCTGCTCCAGTGTGACACAGTTTGGCCTCCTGTCTGAGCACATTTAGTGACATTACACAGAGTTCTAAACCGCACGAGTAAAACACCGGGTAGCGCCATCTTTAAACTACAAATTCTTCTTCTGCGGCCGCACTTGAGTTAACGACACGTCTCCACAGCGACACCCTCCGGCGCGGAATGACAACTACTGTAAACAAAATCAAATTCAACTTCATTTTTATGGAATTTTTCAGACAAAAAAATGCAGTTCAAAGTGCCTCACAGACGCTAAAAAAACAACAATTAACAAAAATAAACTATTACTAACTATTAGATTGTACAGTCTGTAAGCCCTGTTTGACAATTAATCTCAATTTGACCCCAGCAGCTAAGATCCTAGGGTTGTCCAAATAGCCTATATTAAGTTGTACATGCACGATTTTAAATGTTGACTAAATATAACCTGGAAAAAATGTTTTTATGAAGACGTTTCATTCTGCACATACTGTAGGCAGTGTGACAGAGCACATCTGACCTCTTTCATGGTAATCAGCCTGTTTTGCCACCTGTAAAATGAGAGGAAAACTCCCATGTGTGTTTGATATCGTCTGGACTGCTGCCCATAAATAGCTCTGCATGATACGACATCTCTGGTTTATGTATTAGACATGGAGCTGGCATTTGTACTCCTCCTGGCTGTCACAACTGGTAAGCTTATTTTCTTCATAGAAATAATATTTTAAGGATAATTTGCTCTAAGAAACAAGTTACTTTTCCTGGTTTGGTCTCTTTTTGTGTTATAGTTTCTGGGTGTGGTGTACCCAGTGTCCAGCCTAACACCGGTCGTGTGGTGAATGGGGAAGAAGCTCGTCCATACAGCTGGCCATGGCAGGTTTCTGTGGAGTCTTTCTTCCCTACTTGTGGAGGAACACTTATCGCTCCAGACTGGGTCTTGACTGCTGCACATTGCATCACGTGAGGCCACATTTTATTCATTCGAACTCCCAATCACATTTTTCTCTTTTTTTTTGCACAAGGATCACATATTTCCAGATTAACAAGACAGAAATATGATAACAAAAAAATCCAGTGGCTCTTTTTAACTATATTATGTATTTTTCATCCACTCCTGTAACTTCAGAGGTTCATGTTAAGCTTTTTCTTTTTTGATCCAGATTCCACTCCTACAGAGTGGTACTTGCAGAGCATGACATGAACAAGGAGGAGGGGCCTGAGCAGTTTATTATGGTGTCAAAAATGATTATTCATCCCAAATGGAACGACAACTGTGTGTCTTGTGGGTAGGTACCTATGTGTGCGTTCCCAACATAATCTAGAGCTCCAGAACTGTTGAAATAGTAAAGACAGTAAATGTGTCCTTGAAATAAGTGCCCACTCTGGCAGTATGTTGGATCGCAGCTGAGCAAATACACATTTATGTACATTATGTATAAACACCTTCACCTACAGAAAAACACAGACTCTGTTCACTTGACTTCAAACAATTTAGTTTAAATGCCGTGTTTCATTCTTTTGTGTAGGAATGACATTGCCCTGCTTAAACTGGAGAAAAGTGCTGTCATCAATGACAAAGTTCAGACAGCTTGTCTGCCTCAGCAGGGCGCTGCTCTTGTCCACAACCAGCCCTGCTACGTCACCGGCTGGGGTCGTCTTAACTGTAAGACCTACAGCAACTAGTGCCCAAAACAAGCCTGTGCACTTTTATGAAAATCAAAATGTTGACAGCTACAGAGATTTTACAGGCAGAATTCAAAATCCTGGTCAATTTGATGTGTTCTCATGCAGCTGGTGGTGCTCGGGCGACTACACTGCAGCAGGCCCTTCTTCCAGTGGTGGATCACAGCATCTGCAGTCAAAGCGATTGGTGGGGAAGCTCAGCAAAGACTACACTGGTCTGTGCAGGAGGAGAGAGCAAGTCAGCATGCCATGTGAGGAGGAGCTACCACACAACTTATGTTCTATCAAGATTAAAAAAAAGACATTTTTCACTGTTTCATTATGTGCCATCATCTTTCAGGGAGACTCTGGAGGCCCTCTGAACTGTAAGGGCAGAGATGGTAAATGGTACGTCGAAGGGGTGACCAGTTTTGTGGATGGACGAGGTTGTAATACCCCCAAGAAGCCCACGATGTTCACCCGTGTAGCTTCTTTCATCCCCTGGATAAGTGAGGTGAGGGAAATTTACATCATGATGACATCTAGTGGCTCTAATCAGTACAAAAGAGGATTAGGGCCACAAGAAGAGAAAAAATAATTAAAGGAGGGAACTTTTTTTTAATTTCCATTTCGAGATTAAAGTCGAAATTTAAAAGTCAAAATTTCGTCTTTACTTGTGTCGACTTTAATCTCAAAATTTAATTTTTTTTAATCTCAAAATTTAATTTTTTTAAAATCTCGAAACTTCAATATTATTCATGACATTTTGTTGTATCGAAATTTTGACTTTCATCTTGAGATTCCAGTTTTTAATCTCAGAATTTCCACTTTATTGACATAATTTCTCTCTTTTAACCTCCAAATTTTGACTTAAATCTCTAAATTTCCATTTTAATCTCCATCCTGTAATTATTTTTTTTCTCTTCATGTGGCCTTAGCCCTCTTTCGTAAATCGGTTTGTGAAAGTTACAGAACTAATCTTGTGTTATTGCCTTTCAGACCATGGCCAAAAACTAAAACAAAGTCTCTACAACCCAAGAAGAAAAAGAACAATAAACTGTTTAATGAAGCTTTTGTATTTTTCTTGTATTTTATCAAAGAACATACAAATTATTACACAAAAAAGGATTTTAATTAGATTATGCGACGTGGAAAACTTGACAAGCACACACTAGAATGAAAACAAAGATTAGTACTCAACAGATGTATTTTGATAACACAAAGGCATGCAGGGTTATTTAGCAGGTTTTAGTTGTTTTTTGGAATGATTGTCTTTTCTACAAACATTACATTCATAAACAGTGTTTGAACAAATTTGTAGATACTTTGAACAAAACATGATATATATGCAGATAGAGGTGAACTGATCATTAAACAATTAATCCAGATCCTAAAATCAACTTAGATTTTGTATCAGCAGCAGAACTATTTCATTTACTCTTAGTAAAATGTGATGTTGCTGGATCACTACGTCCAGTTTACTTCAGAGAGCTGTGTCAGTCACATTACCACAGGTCCTCAGGGGTCTGAAGGCGTCCAGGTGAAGAAGTCGACATCCTGCAGCTCCTCAGGTAGGTACTCTTGCTCCACAGGGCTGCTGAAGGCTGGGTTGTACTTGTAGCCTTTAGCATAGCCCAGCTGTTTCATCAGCCTGGTGGGGGCGTTACGAAGATGCAGAGGGACAGGAGGCAGGGGGCCTTTGTGGTTCCTCAAAGACGCCTTCACGTTAGCGTAGGCCTTGTAGATATCTACAGACTTGGGTGCTCTTGCCATATAGACCACACACTGAGCCAAGATCACCTGATGAACAGTGGATAAAAACAGAGAGCACAGAGAAACTGATAATGAGATCTTATTTTCTGCATTCGAAGACTCAAATCCATGACTGTAGTGGGGTCAAGTAGGCCTACCTCACACTCAGGCATGCCGATGAAGTGACAGGCTTGGAAGGCGGACACAGCCTGAGGAAGAGCGGCAGGATCAGCCATACCTGAGAGACACACAGTTAGACTGCATCAAAATAACTTTTTCTTGCTAAAAATCTTCTCTTTTTTATTTCTGTGGATGCATCTCTTTGGAGTCAGTGTTTTCTTAACTCTTACAAAACAGTTAAAACTTAAATCGTTCAAATAGTCTGAGATTGTGTTTCTAGATTATAGTTTCAAACACTTTTATAGGCCTTTATTGAGAAAAGTACTACATAAATACAGTTAATTTATCTATTTCTTATTTTTATGGGTCAGTATCTGAAATCCTGAGGTTCATCTTTAACTACCAGAAGTTGGCAGCTGCATAGTTGGGATCCTAACACTAGTAAAAAATCAAAGTCATCAAAATAAGTATTCCATTTACCCACGTCCTCGCTGGCAAAGCGAACCAGCCTACGAGCCACATAGAGAGGATCCTCGCCGCCCTCCAGCATGCGGCCCAGCCAATACAATGATGCATTCTCATGGGAGCCTCTCATCGACTTATGCAGCGCTGAGATACAGTTGTAATGCTCCTCACCTACAGCATTACATACATGTACACAACAAATCAAAATCATTCAGGTGGTTTCATTAACAACTTGAGAAACTTTCACTAAAGTCTCAATAAAGTGAAGGAATCACTGACAGTAGGACGACCTATGGTCATAATAAAGCTGTAATGCACAATATACACTATCTATAGCCGTAGTACACTGTCTACATAAGAGCCATTAGCCAAGCTGAGAGGCATTTTCATCACCATTCGAAGGGAACAGTAAATCTCAGTCTTTTGGACAGCTGATGCATTATGTAATAGGACGGCATGAAGGACTTCAGTATTAGGCAGGCTGAAGGGGTGAGAGTAAGTTGTCCATGGATACTCAGGCAGAAGAACAGGACTGAAATAATCTTGAATGTATAGCTACTGTGACAAGACTAATGAGTAGCTAAGCATAGGTTTTATTATATAGTCATAATTCATATGGATAATATTGTAATACCTCACAAATAAAACCTGCATGTGTCACTGCTGAGCAACAGTGAACAGGGCTGTAAACACTACATTGTTTTTTAATACTATTGTGAACTGTCTGACATGCATACTTTGATAATCTCAAAGCATACTTAGTGATTCAGTTAAAATGATCTTTGGTCCTAAATGGAACTGTTTAAAAAGACTGTGTGAGTATACTGGCATGAGATGGACTTCTGCTGATTGAGCAGCACACTGTTTGAGTCAAGATTCATTTCCTTCATATATATTCAGATGCACTCTTAAAAATTAGAGAGCATTACAGTACACATTTTAAATGCTTTAATAAATATGAGACGTTTTTGGTATAAAATTATTGCTGTTGAGAACTCATTTTGTTTCAATTGAGTATTGTACAGAATGAAAACATCCAAATGTAAGAATATAGGCTTCTCTTGGTTGTATGAGCAGAGGGCTGGGGTATTTAGAAACTTGATAGTGAACAAAAAGATTGGAAATTAAATGTACACTAGTCGACTGACTCGACAACAGCTGGAAATATATACCCTCTAGAAAACAGGTGCATTGTAGGGCTTGGATAAGGCATCACTTTAGTCTGTAAAACCTGCACATGTATGTGTGGGCTTACCAGCTTTGTCATAGAGAATATGGGACCTCTGAAGACCCTCTTTGATGTGCTCCTCCTTCACCAGTATCTTCTGAGAGTCACCATCACCTGATGAGTTGAACTGGGCCGAGTTCAGCTGAGCCTGAACAGCCAGCTGTAGGCTGTTTAGACCTGTCCTTGCATCGCCATCACAAAGATGGGCTATGGTGTCCAAAGCTTTTTGTTCAATGAAGATCTTTGGCCTAGAAAACGATTATACACATAATAAAAACAGTTTCAGTGCAGATATGCTAAAATAAAGATCTTTTTCTAAAAGGAAGACATACATATGCAATCAAAAATACAACAGAAATGCAGCTGATTTGAAAATAGAAACAGATTAATCTAGTTTAACAGTTATATCACATGAATTTAAGGTTGCAAACTCCTATGACATTAGCATGATTTTGTTTACATGATATCTGACATTCACACATGACCTTGGCATAGTTTAGTTTCCATCCTCTTCTCAAACTGTCTTGCTGACAAGCCCTCTGTAGGGTGCCACTTTTATTTAGCTCCTCTGAACCCCGAGCTTCTGGTGTTGAAATTAGACCCGGGTGGCTTTCATTAGGTATGAAATTTGAGTCACTGTCAATATCCACTGTGCATTCCTTCATTCCAGCACTTCAGCAATGATCCTTCTGCTCCTCCCTGATGTCAACAAAAAATGCCACTAAAAATACCATTAACCTGCGGGGAAAGGCAAATATGACAGGTAGTGTATATAAAAGTGTGTCATTAATATTTACAGATAATCCAGTCTAACAGGTTTTTTTGTACAGACTAGACAAAGTAATCTCAATACCTGTCGCAAAGCTTCACAAACATCCCGATAATAAATCATTAAACTGGATTAGCACCTTCCTGTATTTCTGTATGAGGCTGTATCAGTTTAAGAGTTGTCATTACTGAATTTGAGTTAATATATGTGATTGTGTTCTAAAAAGGATGATAACTTGTATTCCTAAAGATTGAGATTAACCCTTAACCTCTTAAACCACTTTGGTAAAAAACATAAACTCAAAATGTTTTCTACTTTTCTCATAAATGCAGCTTGTTATTGGGGTTGCCATGGTTATTCATCCCTGGATAAAAGTGACTCAGCTTTGTTGCATGTCAACTGGTTATGTTACCTGGATAACCCTTGACACTCACAGTGCATCACAGACGACACAGTGGACACAAGTATTTTACTGCATTTCTGGAGTTCATCATCGTACACCATCTCCAGCCAGCACATAACAGCTGCCTAACTGTCATCAAATCATATGCAAATTCTTCTCTGTCAACATGTCGGACCAGACCAGAGCTAAAAGGATTGCACCAGCTCAAACGATAACCAGTACACCCCTCCCGTATGCTATCTGAGTTGAACCCAGTGAGCCAGGAACAGGAGCAGAGAACAGGCCTTTTGCTCCACCACAGGATTTCAAATTAATGCTGATATAAAGGACTCAAACCCCAGGAAACACACTTACCCTGGCTCAACTGACTGGTCGTCATCTTCAGTATCTTGTCCTTGGACTTTGATCCCCAGTGAAGCTACAGCCCGATCCAAGATTGAACCCATCGCCTCCACAGATAGCCTCTCCAGAACCAGCACTCTGCACCTGCTCAGCAAGGCAGAATTTACCTGGAAGGAGGGATTTTCTGTGGTCGCCCCGATTAGGATAATGGTCCCGCATTCCACGTGAGGAAGGAAGGTGTCCTGCGGATGATGTTGCAAATTGACAGAGGAACAACAAAAAAGCAAAGAGGTCATGTGAGGACAACAGTGGCGCAGTGAATATATCTGAAGAGGAAGATACCAAGAGTAAGTATTTGCTTGAGACTTTATTCGTTGTTTCATGTACAATGCTATAATCATTTTACACACATAATAACAACTGCAAACTTAAAAACACCTTACTTTTTCTTTAAGCTATTTCTTTGACCAAACTAGAGGAATTCAATCACCTTTAAATAACTATATTAATAAACACCAGCTTTGTAATTTTTGCTTAATAGTCTCAATCCTGGCTTATCTGGCACATTGTTCTGGCTCTAAACCACACCTGTTGGGATTTGTTGAAGCGGTGAACTTCATCAATGAACAGGATGGTCTTCCTCTTGCACAGTCGTAGCTCATTCTGCGCCTGCTTGATCACCTCTCGAACATCACTGACGGATGCACTGGTGGCAGAAAGAGACACAAAACGCGCTGTTCCCTTCTTTTTACTGGTGCTGGCAATAATGTGGGCCAGAGTGGTCTAAGAGACAACAAAACACAACATAACAGTAATGTGGGTAAGGGATATTATTTCATTGAATATACAGTAATATACCTAACTTTTAAGTTAATCTCACTTTAACTATAAATCCCTTTAAAAAGCTCCAAACGTAACCCTTTCATTTTGAAACTGGATACTAAAACAACTGATTAGGGGAGTTAAAGAGTTAAATTGTTACTGAGGCAAGCTGACAAAGTCTGAGCATGGCAAGCTGCTGAATGACAATCCATGCTGGTAGCTTGGCATGCCTAAGAAGTCATTAACATGCTGTACAAAGGTGACACATGCAAGACACAACCTGACAGCCAGAGATGTAACTTACTCTCTTATTATACTACAAAAGAGTCTTGGATGAAGAAGTCAAGGGGCTGATCACTATTGGTTTTTCAGGGCTGATACCAATACCTTTTATTGGTGATTCATAATCACAGTTTTGTTGTATGACTTTAGGCTAATGAGACAGTGTTGCGGGCTTGACATAAGGAAGTTAATGACGCAAAAAAAAAGACAGTGCAGATAATTTTTTTTTTTTTAAAAAGCCACCACAGAAATTGATGAGACACACACACAAAAAAAAAAAAAATCTGTGAAGGAAAAAACAAACAAAAAAAGTTACTTACTGCGAAAATAAAAGGATGCAAACAGGTTATTTTTTAATTTCACTTTGTGTGCTTCTCAATGTGTGGCCTGACCAAATGACACATTGAAAAGCACACAAAGCAAAATTAAACAATAACCTCTCTCTGCTCATCTTTTTGCCATCGTCTTCTGTGCCTAGATCATAAAACACTGGTGCATCATCATTATTGGTCCCAAGCAACTAACTTCAGTTGTGGGTTTTTTTTTTTTTTTGCATCCTTTTATTTTCGCACTATGTAACTTTTTTTTTGCATCGCCGTTTTTGTTTTCTTCATTAACTTCTGTTGTGTGTTTTATTTTTAATCTGCACTATTTCTTTATTTATTTGCAGCAGGCTTCAGTTTCTTTTTTTTTCTTCTTCTTTGCATCCGTAACTTCCGTTGTGGCCTCTTTTTTTTGTGCATTTTTTTTTATTTGCAGTAGTGGCGGTTCTCAGCCACCGTACATGGGATTTTAGCTCCTTAATAGTTTGGGCTCTCCTTGTAATATTTATGTTTCTTGTTGTACTATACAAGATGTCCACCTAAAACAGGAACTTATTCATCCTTGAAACATCAGGGATACTGACTCTTGAACCGTGCACTGACAACAATATAGGTGGTCTCTCCCCTATTGTTATCAGCGCAGGATGCTGTGTCCATGATTTCCAAAGAGAATGTCAAATTTTAAGAGGAGTGGGAATCGATTAGGGGAAGAATAATCCTTACCTTTCCGCATCCCGGTGGTCCCCACAGGATCAAAGATGGGATTTCCTGAGAGTCCAGAAGTGAACGGAGGAGTGTTTCCTGACCTACGACTTTGCTCTGGCCAAAGTAATCCTCCAGTGAGTTTGGCCGGAGCGTCTCCGCCAGTGGTTTGTTCATGGACAGCAGTGTCCGCGGAGGGATACTACTTGATGTCTTCAAAGTTGGTGCGTTTGACCCAGTTACCTGACTCTTCAGGTTATCTGCAGGTCCCTGCTCAGAGTCATCCTGTAAATCACTCTTTACTCCATGATTGACTGAAGCAGAGGATCTCCGTTTACCTGTCAGTACACCACTTTGTTCACTTTGAACTGAAACTTTACTCTTGTTGCCCTGAAACATGGAAAATACAGAAGTTAACGGCGTGGAGGAGGAGGGTGGAGGAGGGGAGGACTTGGTCGAAGGTTTGTTTACACCGGGGCTGGGTGATACAGCTCCGTCACCAATGCGGGATTTTTTCGTCGGAGGTTCACTTTCATCTGTTGTGGACGGACATTCCCCATCAACGGTGTTCAGCAGACACGCGTCGAGGTGTCTGTTGATTGTGGAGGGCTTGAAGTCCTTAAAACAAACCGGACATTGCACAGACTCCGGTGCAGCAGCTGTCATCTCGTTCGCCATGTTGGTTCCCGCGAAACTTTTGACCTCTTATCACGTGACCAAACAGTGCTCTGAAACCAACTGTGGAAAACTGTCTTCGACAAAATGTTAAACCATTCAAAACTAGGACTTAATCCTTGACATACAATAAACCAAATAGATCGTTTATTCTGCCTTTGTCATACTTAAATTTACCAACAGACACTTCCTGTTAAGTCTGGGTGCATTCAAGTGCAGTTGGGACAGTCCAACATGAGAGTGCTTCACGTCAGTTTATTTACTGTTGATAAATACGCTACGACAAAAAGATAGACTCTCTTGCTTGGTTGTTCGTTATAGTTCTGATAGTAATAGTAAGTTTGACACTGATTTGGGTAGATGGGACTTGGAGAGTTTTTCAAAATTGTCATTCCCCCAAGGAAGCGCAGTACCTGAAGGCAGCAAGTCCCTTTTAGAGCAGTGGTTTTCAACTGGTCTCACTCTGGGACCCACATTTTCCCATGGTCCTTAAGTCGCGACCCACTTTTATAAAATTCAAACGAAGCAAATGTATTTATTATATATATAAAAAAACTTTAAAGACTCAAATCTTTGACGTAAATACACCAATTTTATTGTGTAAAGTGCATTTCAGAGCACATGAACTGAGGACGACAACTACTGAAGTTGCATATACAGAAAATATCAAATATCAAATTGCACACAATAGTGACCAGCAAAATGAAAAATTTGACTTATTTGCATCCCTGCATATTCAGAAGAACCTGAGGAGGACCATGCAACAGCATTGACAAGAGTTCATAAATATCAAATTGCACAAAATAAAGACCATAAAAAAACATGTAATTTTACTGCATTCAGGCCACATTAATAAGAAACTGAGGAGGACCATGACATAACGGACATAGGACATAGTGCATGCCTTTCAAAAGAAGCTATTTTTCAAAATGAAAGACATGTCATACATCAGATGCATTAAATATTAACTTTTTTGACCAGCTGCCACATAAAAAGGGATGAATAATTTTTATTTATCTCTCTTTTTTTTATCTATGAAGACAGAGCACCAAACAAAAAGTAATAAAATCATGATTTTTCGCAAATCACTTCCTTTTACATCACTGGCGTGGCTACTTTATCAAGTGAGTTAGGCAGGCTGTTAATTGACCCATAACTTCAGGCTTACTGTGTGCCAGTTAGAATTTTATTATATTAAACCTTTCTGTGTGATACTTTACTTTACCTACTCATAACAGAGTTTTATTAATATATAAAAATCTACAGAAAATCTGAACTATTTCTAGCTGCTTTTCACAGATAAACTACTTACAATATTTGTACACTGTTTTCTTCTGGTTCTTCCAGACAGGAGACCCTGACCAAGAGAAACACAACTCAATCAGGCCGTGAAGAAGAGTGAGTGCCCAGAAAGCAAGCTCTAACAGCCAAGAGTCCTCTTCAGGGAGAATGGCCAAGCTGAGGTCAGTGCAGCTGTGTGCCAACAGCAGAAACATGACCAGGCTGGCCTTATTCCCACACTTAAGGACTTAAAAACCGCTTCATGCTTCTGGGAGATGAAGTTCAAACAAGAGGTTTCAGCGTAGCTTCTTAATTCTGTATAAAACATACACAGGTTTTGACAAGAAGTGGAATCATACAGCCCATAGACTTCTTTAAATCACTGTTTTGATTCTGCAGTAGCACCAGCAGAGGGTGGTCAAAGTCACATTTTTAATCCATAAGAGTATTGTACAGTAGAAAATACACTGCTGCTGTTGCTTTGTGGTCAAGATACTGTTTTGAGATCATTAAAAAGGTATTAAAGCAATGAAATATTCAAGTTTTATTTAGATAATTGTAAATTAGACAACATTATATTCACCACGGTATAAACCACAAGTGAGAAATGGTTAAGCATGTGATTTGGAAAAGAGTCAATCAAACATAAATTGCAGTGATGAAGTTAACTGAGAAACTGTCATGGATCAGTTTTGCTTTTATTCCACTACACAGCAGCAGAGAGCTTCATCTGAGCACAGAGGGCAAAGTGCCCCCTTCAGAAGTGAGGCCACTATTGTGCTTGGCAGAGGCTGTGGAGAATCCAGAAGTGACTGGGTAGATATCCAGACGTGCCGTACATTACTATGATTGCCCACTGCCAGCTAGATGATGCATTCTTGGCTCTAAGGTCATGTGTCTATCACACCCAGAGTGTTGATGTACAATAAAGATTATATTGTTAGATTTTAAAGCCCTTGGAGTCACAGTCAGTCATCTCTGAAATAATTTCTGCTTTCATTTTAATTTAGATTTTATATCATTATATTTGTAAATACTCATGGCTATGTCCCACTGCTCAGACAATATGAGTAAATGTTAAACCATCTCAGCTGGGACTGCTGAGCGCAAGCATAGTCTGTGTGACATTTGGAGCAGTAATTCAATAGCACAGGCTATTTATTTACACCACATCCCAAGTGTGTGTTGACAGGGGGACTTGAGCCTCTATCACCGTTTTCTCAGTTCTCAATTTCAGTGCTCAATTTTTTTTTGCTTCCGGTTGACTGGACTTGTGGTATACACAGACTGACTTTCTCAGAAGAGAATTAAAGTCTTGCTGTTTTTGTGAGAATGGGAGGATTATTTGAGGCTAGAGAGCGTTAGTCTTTCAGACACCCACTGCTGGCACCTGTCACTCTTTTGTCATGAGGACAAACTGGCCGTCCTCTAGTTTCATGTGCTGATGGGAGTGGGGCGTTGACTGAATTAACCAAGGCTGTAGAAGAGACAGTAGTATTAATGTTTGGGCGGTCTGTACCCCTGCAGGGAACTGTCATCTCCTCTGACTCACCACTTGAGACGCCTCTTCATAAGCTTCAAGAGTTCCTTTGTAGTTAAAGATAGAGGAAGAAAAGCCGAAGTGATAGAAGGATGAAGAGCAAAGTTAAAGTCATGGAGAACTTTGTTACAGGCTGGGACATTTGGCTAGTTAACAGCATGTGTGCGGTTGCTTCCTACTTCTGGCACAGGCTGTGCGGTTTACTCTGCTACAGGACGAGGCGTAGAGCATCCACTGCACCTGCCATCAAGGTATTTACAAGCCTGTTTGACCTGCTGAATTATACTTTAACTTTAAGGAAGGCATACACTTTTTTTATTTTCATTTTCTGAAAGGAACACACCTAAAATATGAACTTTATTTAGGTGATACTGCTCTTTAGCAAAAGCTTTTATTTTAAGACATGAACTATATTGTACATTCAATAGACCTCTTTTAACTATCTTTCACATTTTATCTCTTGTTTTGTAGAGTTTATCAAATTCATCTTATTGAAATTCTGACTGAAAAAAGTAAATAAATAAAAGTTCAGTAGTGTCAGGACATCACTTAACCTGCTAAAACCTGGATAAGATGCTTCCAGGATTTCGGTCGACCTTTGCCATGCTGCTTAGTAACAGTGCGTAAGAAGTTTGGACACCAAGTTGAAAACATCTTTGGGCTGTGCTGGCATCAAAATATGGTTAGTTTGTAAAGGTTTGTAAATTTGGTGTGATTTAAAAATTACAAAGGTTTGTAGAAGTAGACAAGAAATCACCTAAAACTGCAACCTGTCGCTATATATTCAGCATTCTTACATGTATTATATTTCCAGATTGTTGCCAATTAACACCTTATTCAGTATGTAAGGCATTACAATGGGGAATGAAGACAATGCTGGAGTTTATTGTATTCAGTGCTTACTTGGATTTTGTTTTTACGATGATGGATAGCTGTGGTTGCTTCATGATGGTAATTAAAGCAAATGCTGTGATTAGTTTCTAATGCACAATAGATCCTTTCGGCATTTTCTGGCTTGTCTTCAGAGGGGGACACGGCAGCTGGGGAAAGACCAAGACTTAATAACCTCCCCTGACAATCTGCCTGTCCCCTCAAGGGAATTTTCAATTACGCTGGAGAAGATAGTCGTTAAGTGTTGACTGACAAACTTTACCTGTTTAATCTTTTATTTTCTTGCATTGTGATCCTCATAGGTTTTATTGTTTTTGCCTCTAGCTTGCTGCTCTGAGAGTCCTAACTTTGTAGATTAGTAGATTAGACACAGGTTTTGTGTAAAATGTGTGACTAAAGGTGTTGAAGTGAATTATTGAGGTTATATATTAAACATAAAACCATATCATTAGAATGAGCAACAGACATTGTGTTATTTCCAGCACTTTATATGTTGTTTTTATCTTTTTGATGTTTTTAGTTTTCTGTGATGAGGCAATGGTACCACACTGGTATGAAATGCATTATTCTTAAATAATGCATGAGACTTTGAATTCTGCAGATAAGATCCAGCTCACAACTTCTATAACTTCAGAACTGTGCATGTGTTTGCAGAAGTCAGCAGAGGCGTGGTGCTGCTGTGTTGTCTCATATCATCACACTTCCTACAGAGCAGGCTCTCAGTCTCAGCCACTGATAGCAAATCTGGTGAGAGGTAAAGTTAGATTTCCTCTTCAGTTTTTGTGCAGTTACCAAACAAATTGGAAATTTTAAAGCAGTTAATGATGTCTCACCAGTAATTCTATATCTTCAATAGGTAGAGTGTAATCACTTTACTTTAATATGTAATGGTTCAATGTAGTTCAATCATGTGACTGTTTCTTTGTCAATAGTTTATTCTTAAATTTTTAAGTTTAAGCACGATTGAGTCAATTATGGGATAACTTTTGCTCTTCATATGTCATCGTCCAGCTGAAGGTCACTTCTGATTCAGTAACTCGGCTCAACATATGGTGGATAATCCTCTCAGCTTTAATGTGATATTGAGTATCAGGGTTAGAAACTTGTCGTGATGATGTATGCGTGTCTCTATATGTTACAGAAAGCAGCATGAGGTGTAAGACATGAGATCAGTGGTTGTTGGTGTTTATGAGGAGGAGTTTGTTTAGGTACAGTGAAGCCCAGTGGTAAGAGAGATCACATCAGACACGCCGCAGTCAGTCAGTGTTTTGGTGTGATGAAATCATGCAGAGAAACAAAGTGTGAAAAAAGTGGCTTTGCTGCCATCAAGTGGTTCAAGTTGTCAGCACTGCTGCTGTACAGCGGTTACATCACTATTGCAGTAAATATGGTGGGAAGAATACATTGCTGGGACATATGAACCTTTTTCATATTTTCTTTTTGGTGGTATTACTATTTATGTAAAAATGTCACTTTCCTGAGTCACTTAAACAGGTATTTAGACTTATATATGATGGCCCTTGATAATTGTATACTTGGTCTCATTTGGGGATTGAACTATCGGTAACCCAAAACAGACACTAAAATCATTGAATCTTGGCTTTTAAAAGGTTTTATTTAAAATGTCTTAAGATGCTGTTTAGATAATGAAATACTGTATACTGTATATGTAATTCTGATTAAAAAAAAAAAAACCTTTTCATTTGTGTCCTGTAACCAAGCTCACAATCCTTTCAAGTTTTAAAGTAAATACATATTTATTTGCAAAAGTTAAGAGTCTGCCTCTCACCTTTCGCGTTTTCTGGAAAACTTCTTCCTGTCCTATTGGAATAAATAATGTCTGATGTTTTTTTTTAGGGGTTTCTCTACATGCCGATCTTTTCCTTTTTTGAAGATTCTACATTAGTTTTACTCTGCAGGCTGAGCAGTCTTACATCCGTAGGTTTTTAGGTGGCATATCACTTTCAATGTGATTTTTCAGCCTTTAAGTTTTTCTGTTTTTCCCTTAAACTGATCAGGATTGCCACCTGCTGTTCAAAATAAAAAACCTTTTGTGAATAACTGGGGCAGAAATATACAGTAACACATGATTCAGCGCTTCAAAGTGTAACAGATACTAAAAAGTTGTTTGTTGTGTAACCTCTTTTAATTAGGATACTTGAGCCTTTTATAAAAAAATCTCGTGCCTTATTTTGTTTCAGCGGACATGCATGTTGGGGTTTGGTATATTGAGAAACTAAAATATAGTTTCAGCCTAAATGGTGGACCTTACTAAAAAATAAATAAATAAAAATCCACGTCTATCAAAATACAGTGACAAAATGTGTTTACATGCCAGGAGAAAACATGAGAGGACGAGGAGAGAGGAGAAATGTCTCAAACATTAGCACGAGGAGTTGAGTTTCCCAGCTCTCACACACATTTAAGCCCACAAGTTTCCGAGAGAAAGCAAAGCCAGGGCTGGCAGGCTGGAGTGTGTGTGAGTAGAGTCGAGTCGAGAGAGGTGACTGGACATTGGCCACATCGACCGCCCTGCAGCTCCCCAGGACATTGTGTTCTCTGTTGGGGAGGTGCTGCTCCATTTTTAACAGTTCACCTTGTCCTAGTACCTAACCAAAGTCTAACGCAGAACTTTACAGGTCATACTACTCAACCGCAAAAATGATCAGTCAAAGAGAGCGGACTCTGTCTCAGCTGAAAACATCCATGGAGAGGTTATATAACACAGTCAAGTGCATCCACTTGTAGATACTTTACATGTGTAAGACCTTGAAAAGTTATTTGAAAACAAAAATGTCCCTCAGGCATTTTCAGTTTTCCATTACCATATCCTAATCTTGAAAGCTGTCATCAACATGCATCTCCTAATCTGCTGCCCTATCCACCCATTGTTAACAACAGATGAGTTCAACAGCCATACATAGCCGATGCATTGAGTTGTTGATTGTCTGGAATTTATCTGCAAGTGATTTTCTCATGATTGTGTTTATTTCGATTTTTTTCTGTTCTTATTGGACTTAGGAAGGCAAAGAGAGACAGGAGAGGGAAAAGAATTGTATGATTATATTTATATCTCTTATGTATGCATTCAGGTCCCAGTCAGACTGGACACGCTGAAGCAGTCAAACGTGATAACCACTATAGTGCTTTGATGGTATGTCAGGATTAGTTGAAACCTACATAATTTAAGATTGAATATCTTTGTGCCTCAGGGTTTGTAACACAAATTAGATTTGAATAGATTAATTTCACCTCATGGAAGGTGATCCCCCATTTTAAAGCCTCAGGTTTTAGTATTTCAGGGTAGCTAGGAATTTAGTCTCATATAATGCTGTTTGAGGAAGTTAAAGCTTATCTGTGTCTGCTTCATTTTTTTCTTTAGCCTCAAGGCTTTGTTTTGGATCACAGACTTGACTATTCAACTAATAGTTAAAAAAGAATTACCAAAAATAACTGTGCCATCTTTACACTAAAGGACTGAAAAAAATACAAGATACAAGTCTAATAATCATGGATATAAAGGGACGCATGTATTAAAGTAAAAGTTTAATGTTTTGCTATTTAAAGTTGTGAGGCAATCTCCTGTATATCAATTTACCTTTAAATTTTTTCCACTCTTGGCATCGGCTGGTAGATGTTCAAACTGCAAGGTTGAGCAGAATGCACACACAGGGACATGGAAACAATTTTATCATATATCATATGAACTTTCCAAACATTCAGATGGTTGAAACCATCTCCAAACATGCTAATTGCTTTGCTGTCACATTAACTTAACAACATTTCCATCATGCACCAGCAGACAAGCCTATGTTCCTTAGTTGATCAGTCTGTGTGTACACATGCTTAATCTTGGCAAAGAAGGTGAGAGAGGATTTAAAGTACCAGCCATGATGCTGTTACTTTCTTTGGCATTAGTTTCACTGTAAAGTGAAAGCGATACACACGCGATATTTGCTTTGTGTCATTAGCAGCCGAGGCCGAGGGTCTGTTTATATCCCCTGCAGGGTTTGATAACCTTAAAGTGCCCTCCTAGCCCTGAGCAAAGACATATAATGTTATTATGCAATCACATTTGTGCATGCTGACCTTTAATGTGCCTCAAGTTAACATGTTTACCAAGCTTGGCATGCAGAACATAGTTTGTTTCTCTGCTGTTACTTGCAATTACTTAATTTTTACCAGTGCATGGATATAAATCCATTGTCTTAGTGCACACTCCTGCATTTGCAAGTTGACTGTCCATGCCCCTCAAATTGACTCACAACATGCAGCAATTGACCTATGTTGTCTGTCATCTCTTGGAATCCATAGACAGGTGTGCGTGCCCCCGTGTGTCTCTCTCTTTGGGTGATTGATGGCTGATTTTACACCCATCTGTTTGTGAGACGTCAGAGTTCTTTCCGCTGTGGTAACCTTGCTCCGCTTGCAAACCCAGATGAAAATAAAAGTACAGGCAGGACCGTTGCACATAGAGCTGCTCTCATTTGCATCAGAGAATTTCTTGAAGAATTTGCAGCATGCGGCTCGGTTCCCGTCGCAATCAGTGGTAGAGAAGTTCGCAGTCTGCAGTTGCGACTTTGATTCTTCTATACCTTGCCTCTCTCCTTAACCCCACTTGACTCCACTTCATCTACAAGGCTCACTCCCTCCTCAGCGGCTGCACCCCTTAACCCAGGTTTTGGCTTGAACCAAGGGAGTGAGGCAAGATTGGCAGGGATCTCTGGGCTCAGTTTTCAGTCTGTGCATCTGTTGTCAAGAGTATTTCATGCTTTGGAAAATCTGGATTTCTCTGAAGTTTAATTATACAGAAATGTGTGGGAACAAAATTAATTTGTAAAGTTTGTAAAGAGAACTGGCGAAGACTTTGCTTAGGTAACTAATTGTTAGTAATCGTTCGTAGGTGCATAGCATTAAATCTTCAGCTAAGCAGTGTTTACTTGGGAGTCAAATATTTTTATGACTTTAGTAGTTAACATTAACACATGTCTGCTGCTGGAATAAATCACACTTATTCTGATTTATAGGGAACAAGGATTCCGCTCATATTACAAGAGCTAAGTTAAAACTGACCCTTTACTCACTAATCAGTAGATGTTTTTGACAGAAGAGTGGTCATGGTATAAATCATCTGAGCCAGCCATCTCTCCTTTCAGCAGAGGGACTAAACATCTTACTGTAGGTTCCCCCAGCCAGGAACCACAGGCCTCCTCCCCCACGATGTTGAGTGCATGTTACAGGCACTCAGGAGATAAAGGGGGGTTTGCATTGCAACATGGCTCTCATTCACAGTCATCCACAAGCAGACAGAAATGCAGCAGTGCCATAAAGTTGGAGGACTTTCAGACTTCATTTTCAGATCTGGGAGCTGAATTTTAAACTCTTGTATAATCTATTCTTTGACTTTCAACCAACCTGTACCCTGTTTCCACTTTTGGTGCACCTGTGCAGTCCACTCAGACATGACTGTCCGTTACAAGGACTTGTAGTAAATGTCATTGTAATAGGAAAACCTGTAAAAATGAATGGGCTTTGTCACACACTGAAGAAATCCGAACACAGTGACCATTTTGACAGCCAGCATTCGAGTGACGGAGGTGGGCTTAGCACTTAAAGGCTCTCAAATGTCTCATAGCCCAACTCACTGCCAAGCCCCCACCCCAAACACTTGACCCTTGCTGACGTAGGCTGTCCATTTACATTTAGGGACACCGGCTCACAATACCACTTCCAGCATGCAGAGAGGCAGGCACCAAGGATTAGGAGTGAGAGAAACAGAGAGGGATTTTTAAACATTGAAGGACCTCAGTTTACAATTTTGCAGGATTAAAATCGTCATCTGGATTGCTGTTGGTTGGGGATTTGACCTTGAATCACTTCTGCTCCACTGCTGTGTATCTTTGTATCTTATTCACTTTGCACTCAAACTGGTAGCATTGAAGGGTAGAGCTGGCTTCTGTTATTGAAAAGGTCTTTTCTTCTCCACGGACACGGCTGGTCCTATTTTCGCCTGAATTTGGTGCTCTAACGTGATATTGAAATCACTGGAAGCCATGAGCTCCTTGTTAAAGAACAAAGTTGGAGACAACTCCAGCTTTGACCTCATCCAGAACCGGATTGAGTCTCTTAGCGGCAAGATGGACAAGCTCATCAACATTCAAGAAAAAGTCCTTAGCCGACTGGACGGCATGTCTCAAGACATTGATTACATAGAACAGGATATGGAGAACCTGAAGGTGGACAAGGAGGAGATCCATCTTCCACCCAGGATGATGAATCAGACCCAGGTGACGATGGGGCGAGAGGTGAGGGAGATCTGCCAGGAGATGAGCACCATAATGTCGGCAGTGAACCAGCGGTCCGAGCAGCAGGCTCAGAAGCTGGAAGGGATGGAGAAGTTGGTCCTCAGCATGCAGCAGGTGATCAGCTTCATCGGGGAGACGGTGAAGAGCTCGAAGGTTATGGAGCTGATGTTTAAAGGCCCTGCAGCTCGGAAGGGCTTGAAGTCCAAAGACAATAAAGGCAAGCAAGCCGTGAAGAAGAAATCGTCTACTGACACAATAGGCAAGAAGCCTGACAAGGTGAGACCTACATAAAGAAATATCTTTGCTTTATATTTGCCATGAATGTTTGAGCAAAGAGTAGATTTTGTTTAGAGTTGTAGAGTTTCATTTTTTGAAGGTTAACATTCGAAAGTGTGAGGTCTTTAGATGTTTCCTGGTCTTGCTGGTCATCCATCACGTTAAACGTCTAGTCTTGTTCTTGTCTCTGTTGCATAACGTGCGATATTTTCTCAATTTGACTTTGGTTTCGTCGATCTGGCAGAGAGTCCCTTGTTCTTGCCAGATCATGTGAAAATGATCCTGGCGGCAACGCTGTTCGGTCCATCACTTCTTTGGCCGCTGAATGTTACTTGGCCTTTGCCTTAAATACCATGAGGGTACCAGGTAGTGTCTGGGATTTGGCATGTTTATACTTTCCAACTGCTGATTGAAGATGAAGCTATTAAGAAAGCTAATTTAAAAGTGATATGTAAGATCCTGCCAAATAAATAAATCACTTATATAAATGTTCAGATGTTACTCAGAATTAATAGTTGCTGGATCTCTACCCAACCTGAGTAAAACATGGCCTCCTCGGCATGAGGGGACCCCCGACAGGGCACGAGAGAGTCGAAGTGAGGCCAGAGGTGAAATGTGAGTGGCTCGGTTTAGAAACGCTGTTTTTGGATCAGGGTTGCAGTGTTTGTGATCTAAAGGTCTGTAACCCCTTTGGCTCAGCAGGAGTCGGGTTTCAAAGAATTGTGATGAGTCAGTCTTCCTCCTGTTCTCTCTTTGCAACTTCCTCCAACAATGAACAGTGAAGGCCGTGCGTCTTAAGCTCAGTCACCTCTGGTTACACTCAGTTTAAACACAGGTGATGGAATTTACTGCCAAAAGTCTCTGCCATGTGCTTCTTTGCAAATAACTGAACTTCCTGCGGCGCAAAATAGCTCTTCGTAAAGTTTTACTGGATGTCCCGCTGATAAGGCTGTCACAGAACCTTTGATTTAGCAGTTCCAGTAATGACTCTGTATAACCTGGCATGCTGTGTTTTAGGAATTCCTAGTACTGCCTCAGAAAAATAAATACGCCAAAAACTATTAACATGTGGCTGTAATTGTTCTTATGAATTCCAGGTTTTTACATCTTTTATCTCTCTAACTTTGAAATACCCCTTGACTCTGAAGTTACCTCCTCCCCATATTTGAGTTTTTTGCTTTATTATGCAACCATAAGATAAACCACGACCATAGAAAAGGTCACTTAGCGCTGCACTCACAGACCTGACACACGTTATCACCAGTCTCCCAACACTTGAAGAGGTAAGAGTCTCTTTTCCTCTCTGACCAAACACAGTGCAAACTCACCCATGTGCCACTGACGTCATGTGGCGAGTTTTCATCGCACACTTGCAGAGATATTTTCGTACACGGTGTAGTCCATGTGTTTGTCTTCATATTTATGTTAGATTGAGATGTGACTTTGTGAACACCAGCTGATTAAAAGGTTTGGATCCCTGTTTTACAGCTGGATAATATCCCAGTGATTAATGACCACATGCCAACCCAACGGCTCATGTGTGACTCACATTTCAGGGAGTTTCTGCAGTCCTTGGAGCACCTGTCAGGTGCCTGCCCCGTCTTCCTCCACTTCTAGAGGTGTGAAATATCCAACGAGTAGTACCTGTTACTATGGCCTCCTCACGCTTTCTCCAATCACCCAATCAGAGTGTTGAACTTCGGTAAACACAGCTGTCACCAGGGAAACACTGCACTAGAAATATCCCCCCGTGCTGTTTACCTCACGACAGCATTCAGAGGACAAATGTGAGACCCTGGGGTTCAAGACAGGTTTTTCCATGTCAACCTGATCACAGAGTGTTTAGTGAGTTTCCTCAGCTGAGAAATTTGTACAACAGCCTACGGTCCCTTGTAATATTTTCCGCTCAGGGGGGTTGGCATTGCATTCCATCGCCGAGTGCGACAAGTGATAAGCTATAAATTCACCGCCCTGCTGCTGTCTATCCATCTGCTGTGAATAATCAAAGGCATGCCATCATACACGACAGTCTGCGCATGGAGACAGGCGATAAATGTGCTAATATGTAAGCTGGGGAAAAGTGTGCCATTTCATCTTCATTTCATCCTTCCATCCCTAATTTTTTCATAAATCACTCATTTGTCTGGAGTTATTTTTAATGTTTATGTTTTGTCCATTAAGTGTAACTCTAACTTCATCAAACCACCCTGTCAGTGTGATCCCATTGAATCATTAATCTCATTTTTGATTTCTTTACTGTGTTGTCTATTTTAAATAAGACCCTAACTTCATTGAATCAATCTAATGCTGTCATTTTATCAGACTGAACTGCTTCTTTAATTTGTCTTTTTCTTTTGTCGTGTCGTGTTTGACTCTTAAATTTGTCTTGATGTTATTTTTCCTCCACTTTGTGTGCAGTTGTGTAACCCTACTAAGCATTGCCATCTTGTCTTTTCACTAGAAACCTACCTCTAATAAAGCCAGTAAAGGGAGTAAGGAGATAATTCCTGCATGTGAGTCCGGTTCTCCTCAGCCTGCTCACAAGATAAAGCTCCATGGACCAAAGCATTTCCTGGCCTCTCGGAAATGTGGAAACTTTGTAGGTTTATTGTGCTTATGGACTGTACGTATTCAGGAATCAGTCTTTTTATTATTATTTCTAATAAACCCTTAACACTTTGGTGTGCTTTGCTTGTCTTGCTTCAGGCTGGCACCTTATTCTTAGTGTTTTAATCTCACTTTCTATCTTGCGAATATCACTCTTCTAATTTTTCTGACAAGTTAAAACTAAAAAAAGGAAAACTAGTCGTCTCTTTTAGTCAAACTTTAGAGCTTTGGGTAGTCCTGATTTAACCAAGCCTAAGTGTTGCCAAGTTTTGGTGGAAAAGAATAACATAGTATTAGAAATAATGTTTGAACTTAGGTAATCTCTTTGAGAAATGTTCAACTCTAATAATCAGATGCTCTGGACGTGTGTTTTCATACTTTTTATTGGTGTTTTCCAGCTTAAGGACCATAAAGGTAAAGATGGGACAGAAAAGCCCTGCCTGAGCCCAAAGGGTCTGAAAACTCAGAAGAAGATGAAGCCCCCAGATACAACAGGTGTTAAAGAAACACATTTAGGAACATTTACTTCATAAGAATTTTCTTCTTTAGCGAAATGATGAATAACTGACAGGCTCGTAAAGACTAAAAATAAATTCTCTCTGGGTATTTTGTAGAAAATATCTCTGTAAAGAAGCAGACGTTACTCCTGGAAGAGGTGCAGAAACTGAATAGGGAGAACAAGGAGAAATCAGGTCAGCAGCTGAGCCCTGGATTACTAGACCTTGAGGCTGGAGTTTCCCCTAAAGATCAACAACCTGACACCCCTGCATGCAACCTGGTGGACTTCCTGCGTGAGGATGCCAAAGTGACTGTTGCTGAGGAAGATCAGGCTGAGCAGGCAGTTACCGAGGATGAAGAGGAGGTGGAGGAGGAGGAGGTGGAGGAGGAAGAGGTGGTAAATGATGCAGAGAAGACACCAAAGCTTGAGGAGAAAGAGGAGGAGAAACCCGCAGAGCAAGAAGAAAAGAAATACGAGGTTTCTGCCCCTGCTGAGGAAGTAATCAAAGCCCCAGAGCCCCCTGAAGAGAAAAAAGAGAAGACTCCTCCGAGGTAATCTCATACTGTTGGTATTTACTATTATGGTTTATAAGTGGGTTCATTCATAAATTGATGGTCAAAATGTTAGTCTGTAGATTTTTATGGATATCAGGCTTACCAATGAAACTGATAGAAAAACTTAATGAATGAACTGACAGTCTTTCCTCATGTCATTTATGAATCTTGTGGCTGCTATAGCAATAAAAAAGCAATCAAATTTAAATGAGATTGTTAGATAAGACTTTTGAATATCAACATTGTTTTTCTCAGTGTTTCAGAGGCAAATCCTGGCAATCAGTTCCCAATGGTGATTAATGAGACCCTACAAAACCTAAAGCCTGATAGACATGATATTTACTTTTGCTGTACTTATCCTTGGTCTTCAATACACACTGAATTTATTTCAATTATTTAAGCATCTCACTGGTATTGTGACTTGGTGTTTGACACAAACCGTTTAAGTGTGCATATACCATCAATAGTTATTATCACTCTACATAGGAAGGTGTGTGAGGGGTCATGATTCTCTTAGTAACCCAGACCCATCTGCGTCAGAGAAAAGACTCTAAAAGTTCAGTCTCCTTCATTATAAGATAAAAAAGAAAAAAAGCTTTTATATACCAGAAACTGTAAATTCAGCTACCTTTACAGTATTTTTAGTAAAGCAGGACAAGTTGTAATGAAACAGAAGAAAACATAAAACTAACAAGCTTATCTCCAACAGTGATGAGAAAAATGCCACCTCATCAACTGGGATTCAAGAGCAGGTATCGGAAGTCAGCATCACAAGTACAAAGTCCTTTGTGACCGAGGAACACTTTGTTGTGGAGGAACACACGAGCAGCCAGGTCGTTGAGCTGGTAGGAGAGAAAAAGGAAGACGATGAGGAGCACGAACAGAGGCCGGGGTCTGAAGGCTGGGCCATCTTCAAGGCAGATGGGGTTGAAATCAAGTTTGATCTCAAGCAGGCGTTGGAGAGAGAGAGAAAGGAGATGGATGCAAAGGAGGAGGATGAGGAGGATGACGACGACGACGTTGAGCGGTACTTTATCGGTGAGTCTACACTTCTCAACTCGAGTCATGACTTTTATGTACGCAGTTATTGTTATTGATTTTTACTCATGAAAAAGTGTCCACTGTGAGCGAGGCTCAGAAGAAGTTGAATCATAACAACCTCCACACGCCTGTTAGACATCCTGCTTGTTTGTGTGGCTTTACTTGAGTTCATGTATAAATCAACTAATGGATATTAAGGACACAACTATATGAATTTGTATATTTTGTCTGGTAATCCACCAGAAACTTGATAAAAGAAAACACTTTTAAATTGATGTTATTAATTGTGTTTTCAGTATTATGGTGAATATTATGTTAAAACAAACAAACAAACAAACAAACAAAAAACAAAAACACCCAAAAACAAAAAAACAAAAAAACAAACAAACAAACAAAGAGATTGCATCATATTGCATCAACTGGATGAAAGAAAACTCTTTAAGATTGATGTTGTTAATTGTATTTTTAGTTTTTTTTTTTATAAAAATAAAAAATAATCTAAGAAATTCCATCAGATTTCATCAAGATCAGATTTATAGCCAAGCATTTTTTTTTTTTTTTACAATTCAAGGAAACTGTGTTTGCTTTAGAGTGCATAAAATAGACATGTAGAGAGACATGACATTAAGTAAACAAATATAAAAAATATTGAATTTAAACTAAACTTTACTATGACTACCTTTGAATAACTATTTAGCATACAGAATTTAAAAAAATGTGTTATAAAAAATATAAAATTATGCCCACATTATTTGATTTCAAAGTTTAAGAGCTGTGCAGTTATGCAGAATTGACCAAAATACTGTAAAATTTAGACAGGTAATATTTTTTCACTGTACCAAGGGCTGAACATGTCCAAAATATTTTAATTTTGCAACAAATTTTCTATTTTTATGTTCTATGATTAAAAAAGAAGAGAAAAAAGATCAATATTGTCAGCATCCTTGAAAAAATTAATAAACTGATAAATAAGAAGAATAGTGTTTTTTTAAGCTATACTGTGTGTACTGAATGCTTTCTTGTCAAAGATGCCAGAGAACTCAGTCGGTACAGTGTTGTAGATAAAGCTCGAGGAGTCTGGCGCAGTGACATCCTGCAGTCTGAGTGCCAAAGCAGGGTCGCTCCTCCGTAATATTTAGACAACACTTGCTCCTGGTTGATGTTTATCATAGCAAGTTAATGCACAATGTGCTAACTTGATTATAGCATCCATGCAACCATTGAAAAGCCTCACTGTAGCTGATTAACAATGAAGCCCCCCTGTGTTGTCACATTCCTGTTAACTTATTAAAACAGATCGTATCTTTTTTCTTCCCTCTCATCCTACTTTAGACACCAGCCCTCCTCCGTCGGCTCCTTTTAATCACCGCATCGTGTCTGCCAAGCCCAACCAGATCAACAACTTTTACACCATCAACTGGCAGGAGGTCCTGGGCGGGTGAGTGACACATTTTGAAATTCTCAGAGTAATGTGGAAAAATAAAAGCGATTGACGAACAGTTGATGTTTGGTGGATCAAAGCGCTTCTCAATTTCCATAAAGCCTAATTGCGTAACCCTTCCCCCTCTCCTCTACCCTGGTCCATAACTTTAAAGTCACAGCAGTTATTTTTACCTTGGGCCTGAGTGGTATGTGAAACTGTATCCCTGGTGCCAGCTGGTAGCTAATCACTAAGTGTTAATCCTACTCTTCAAAGAGGAGACACAGAGCAGCTCAGATTTAATGAAATAACAGATTAAGCAACACTGTCCAACTGTAAAATTTCTTCTCGGGGAAGATCAGTTTTTGATTTGTCATGGAAACATAAAACACCATTACCAGACTGCTTCGATTTTATATTTGAGATAACAGGGGAGTGAGTCTGCAACTCTATATTTGTCTGCATCTCTTCACTCTATCTTCCAGGGGCCGCTTCGGTCAAGTGCACAAATGTGTTGAAAACTCTTCTGGTCTTACGTTGGCGGCAAAGGTCATCAAAGCCAGGAGTGTCAAAGAAAAGGTAACATTCACAAGAAGAGAGTTGTTTTGTTTTATTCAACAGAGGGAGATGTGGTTCATAGATATATAAAGAGCAGAAGCTCAGTAACAATTTTTAGGACATACTAATGCATGACGAGGCCGCTTGGAACAGGAGCAGAGGGAATACTTCTCACTTAGGTGAGAAATATTTGACCTACAAGAGAAGATGCATTGTCTCATAACAGAGGACAGCTGACACCTCTCATCGTGTCAGTGCATGCTTGCTCGCTTGTCTGTGTGTCTGTGTGTGTTTAAAGCCTCCCCGGCTTCTGAATCTGTCTGTCTGTCTGTGTTTTTGGTAGGACGTGGTGAAGAATGAGATCCAGGTCATGAATAATCTGGACCATGCCAGCTTGATCCAGCTCTACGCAGCTTATGAGTCAAGGAATGACATCATCCTTGTACTTGAATAGTATGCTCCCCCCTTTTTCAACTCGCACATTTATCTCTGCTCGCATATTTATCTGCCGTCCAATTCTGTCAAATCAATCTTAATTTAAAATGCATTAAATTTGAAGTTTCTAACGTTGAATTTTATCCACTATCTCTGACCTTAGTGTTGGAGGAGGGGAGCTTTTTGACAGGATCATTGATGAAAACTACACTTTGATGGAGCTGGACGCTGTGGTGTTCATCAGGCAGATCTGTGAGGGCCTGCAGCACATGCACAAAATGTACATCCTGCACTTGGACTTAAAGGTGACAAACAAACAAGTTCTCTTATATTTATTAAAATATCAATCTCAAATTCTAATCAGTCTTTCTTTTTTTTTCCTTCAGCCAGAAAACATTCTGTGTGTGAACAGAGTCACAAATAAGATCAAAATCATCGACTTTGGTCTCGCAAGGATGTAAGTAGAAATAGGTGCTCTTGTTTTTACACTTTTATTCACTTCTGTAATCATAGCATGAACATCCATGATATTCCCACCTAGATATAAACCACGGGAGAAACTGCGAGTGAATTTTGGCACACCAGAGTTTCTGGCTCCAGAAGTTGTCAACTACGACTTTGTGTCATTCAACACCGACATGTGGAGCCTTGGAGTCATCACCTACATGCTGTAAGAGAACATACTAATGCATGCACACACACAAACAGCATGAAGCAGTGTTGATGACCCCGTCTTTTTTTATCTTTATTCAGTCTAAGCAGTCTCTGTCCTTTCCTCGGCGATGATGAAAATGAGACGCTGAATAACATCTTAGCCTGTAAGTGGAGCTTTGAGGAGCAGGAGTTTGTGGACACGTCTGAAGAAGCCAAGGACTTCATCTCCAAACTGCTGATTGTAAATAAAAGGTATTCATCCTCTCATTCTGTTGAACTGCAATACTTTGTTTATTTTTTTATTTTTTTTATTGGCTATATGATAATCATGAGTTGTTGTGTTTGTCATCAGCTGGAGGATGGGAGCAGCTGAAGCATTAAGACATCCTTGGCTATCTGACACAGGTCTCCATCATTGTCTTTATACTAAGGTAAAGTACACAGCAGTAACTTTTATCCATATTATAAGTAATGTATCAGGGTAGTTGTGAGGCTTTAATGCATGGCTTTTGAAATTATATGAATGTGACCAAAATTCAACTCTGTTTCATCACAATATATTTACAAATTTATTTCATACTTTCTGAAGCTTATGCCATTTGACATATTTTCCCAAGACTCTTAGTTGTATAAGTGATATTAAATTATTGTACAGTATGAATGAATGAAACATTTATTGAATTTGGATCAAGGAGCAAGGGGAGATTATCAGCAATAAAAAACAGCCCATAATAAACGTTAAATAAAGCAATTAAAAAGTAAAGCATTGCATGGCTACTTGTGAGAAATATCAAGTAATAAGTATAATAAAATTATAAATAAATTATAAATTATAAATAAACTTTAAATCTAAATAAATCATTAAAATAAATCAATCAATAAATAAAACAATTTATAAATAAATAAACTTAAAAATAAAATTATTTTTTTTCTTACTAAGTGTAGCATGAGGGTTCAGACTGTCTGTTTGCAGGCTGGATGAAGGGTGTGATGCCTCCTTTGGTCCACGTCAGTGAATGCACCCTGTAATTAAAAGTATATACTCAGACTAGAGGGGGTGCTGTGGGTCTGTTGTGACTTTTTGAGCCAAATCCTGTATTTAAACCACAAAATTACAGGAATGAGATCATGTGAATTGAACGAGACTACCTTAAATTAAAAGGGGAATTGCCCTTTGAGATTGTTTCTGTGAGTAACTATTTGTTTTATTTATTTATTTTTGTTTTATTTCACAGAAAACTATGTGCAGATCACGGCGGTCTTCGTGCGTGCCCACCACTGACAGTTAAGGTTGGTCTTCAGTCTTGTCTTTTAAATATGAGAAAACCCTCAAAATAGATATCAGTTTTTTTAAGAACCTCCACAAGGGGGAGCCATGTCCCAGATTTTAGATACAGGGCACTCAGCTTCTGCTTGTTACAGCATGTTACACAGAAAGAGTAACTTTAGCCTCCTGGGATTGAATCATCACATTTTCTTTTCTTAGGGCTACGATGAGGCTCCAGCTGTGGCCGATTGGACCAACGCTCCTGTCCATGTAAATAATCCACATCAGTTGGGACACCTAAAGGTGGCATGGGCAGACACTCTGTTTATCTCATAAACCTTTTCCTGATATATTATTCACTGCGTTGTTTTGATGTAAGAAATATACCAACACTACAGACAGATAAACAAAAGCTTTGTTCAACTGAGATGTTCAATTAATTTAAAGTGTTGTGTTTTTTTTTTCTCCATGAGATACAATCACTGTAGAATCTGATGAGTGTAATGTGACAACAAACAACAACGTCTCACTTAAGTAATTCTGATAATATTTGACACAAACTTTAGGAAATTTAACAGGTTCTTGTTATAACAAGAAAAGAACTATTTGGAGTTCCTCTCTCTCTTTTATTTATGGCAATTCATCAAACTGGTGCTACTGTCATAATGTGAGCTAGCTGTTTCTTCATATACTGTTGTTTGTTTGTTTGTTTGTTTTTTTGCACCTTTGCTTTTAAATATCTATCTACTTCATGTTGAAATATTTACTTATCGAGCCGTAGTCATTTATCTCAAATGAAATACACTGGGGAACTATCTTTTTGCTGCTGTTTTCCTTTCGTGTTTATAGATAGAAACATACCTCAGCTTCTTTCTCAGCACGGTTCCTGTCGTGTGTCTGTTTCGTTGTGTCCCATCTCATATACAAATAAAATCAGATACTACTTTTTTTTTCCACTGTAAATAACTACCAAGCAGTAGATCAGAGATCATACTCTCTGATTTTTAAGGGGATGGACACCATGAAGTAGCTTGATTTGTATTGTGCATACAGGCATAGTGGAGTTGTGCGGTCGGTGTCATGGCTGTGGTATGTGCACTTTATGATTGTATTTATTTAACATGGTTTATTCACAAAACTACCACAGTTTTACAGTATTTCCTGTCTACTCCTTCTTTGTCCAGTTGTTTATGTAGAAATCATATTTTTACTTTGTAACCGATGGTTCACCCACACAGTTAATGTCTTATCAAGTGTATTAGTTCACTTCTTGCATGTCTTTATATTTTCACGTTTTATCTGCTATTATAGCTTCAATGCCATACATTGAGTTATACGTTTTTTTAACATGTTTTTTTATGAACTGTATGCTTAAGCTGTCACACCTCTAGCTGCATATTTATGCTACTGTAGATGCCTTTTCCACAAAGCAGTATTTTGCCTTCTGTGAAGGCCCATTAGTAATACACTACCTACCTTATGCTGCCTGAGTCAAAAACACTATTAGTACAACATAAGAGGTTTTTATTTGAACTTAATGAATGTATCGGTAACTGTCGTTGATCACAGAGTGTTATAAAAGGAGTCCTCACTGAGTTTTGACATTTTTAAATCCAGCATGTATTTGTGAAGTGTGAACACATCCATTAAAATGAAATAGTGTCTTAAATGGTGAGTTTGTTTCCTTTTGTTTATTTTGATACCTCATGAATTTATTTTAAGGTTTATAGTCACCAAAGACTTAAAATTAAATCTTACTTCCTTATTCTATATCATATTAGAATCAAATTTAACGTTTTATAACTGGTTGGCATTTTCAAATCACCACATATCTATATTTTTTGTCACTATTTTCATCTATTTTCAGTCTTCTTATGTGAATTTTAGTTTAAAGGGACTGACTTCATGAGCCTTTTTTAAAATTCCAGTGCGCTGAAACATCTTGAGCTATTTTTGGAGGGAATTTTACAGGCTGAACCTGTGTCTATTTAAACCTTAAACATACAAACGCACTCTTACTCCAGATGAAAGTACAGCTGATTCCAGGAGCCTAATAAAGAGCATCTGAGCGAGTCAGCGTGAGCAACACGGTTTATTCACCTGGGAAAATAAACAGAGTGTGTGGGACGACGATGATGTCTGGGGAGTGGGGTCTGGGCTCGCATATTTTGGGGGGAAAAAATGGGTATCAACAGTTTTTTCAGAGGTCAAAGGAAGGACTGAGGCATGAAACAAATGAAGGAAAATGCCAGTGAGAAGAAGCCAATTGAGCGGTTGAAGAGAGTAACGTGTACATTTCAATCTAAATATTCTCAAAATATGCCCTGAATTTAGGCCTGCTCAGTCCTTTTTAAGACACTAAGGTCTTATTTGACAAAACCCACAGGGTTAGTCAGGGATAAGTGCAGACTCAATGGGGGAGTACCATGAGAAATATGCATTTAATTGTACAGAAATACCAGAAAAGCAAGCTATACCACTAAAAAGCAGAGAAACCCAGCACTTGATCATGCACATGTGGTAGTTTGAGACTGTCATGGCCATAAAATTGTAAGGGCCGACAAAATAATTCACAGTTTTGTGTTGTTTTCATTTTTATACCATTTTGATTTATACTGTGGGCACTGCAGTTCCATGAAAGATGGATGATTGTCTTCCATGTAAGAAAACGTCAAATCTACCCAGTTCAGGCAGCTGCTGCAGAGTTTCTTCTTCTGAGAAAGTGTGCAGGAAGACAGAAGTGGAGGAAATATTTGCAGAATATTTGATTTGCTGAAAAAAGGACAAACTTGAAAGATTAGCTGAATTTAAGCCTCTGCTCATTACCTCCAACACCATGAAGACCTTCATATCCTTTGCTGTTTGTAATCTTGGATTTAACATTTTTAGTTGACATAAAATCAAAATACTTTCCACCCTGAGCTCAGATTAAGGACTAAAATCTATGTTTAGTCTGCTATTTGTTTATTTTCAGGTATCATTTTAACACATGTCAGGGTTTCATGTCAGGAAATGGTTTGTGGAGAGTTCTCAGATTCTCCCACCACAAACTAGAGAGAGTCAGGTTTAGTTAATAGTAATTTCACCATACATGAAAGTTGTTTGGCAAACAGGTGATACTCATTTCTTTCCCTTCTTTCAGACTTTTTTTTTTCAGAGATTTGCAGAAGCCTGAGGGTTGGAAGCTGAATGTGAGCTCTCACTCTATCCCTGGTCCAAGGCCCGGGTTGGAATGGTGAGAAATTCAATTTAGGAGGAGAAAAAAAAAAAAAAGCCTCCTAGAAGAACTGCCCCTCCACCACCTCACCTCACCCTTAAGTCCCCTCCATCTACATCTCCAGGGGCGATCTCGAGGAGCCAAACCAAAACCAGATGGACTTATTGGGCCTAAAGATAACAAATAGTGCCTGAGTTCCTGTCAGTTAGAGACCACCAGAGCAAAGAAGCTGAGGGTGGAAAAAAACAACAACTGACATGTCTACTTTTTGTTAGGCTACATACAATATTATTAATAATGACAGGTAATATTATACAGTATATGTGGATGAGAATGTAATACAGATTTTTGGGACCTGAGTCTGCTTTTTGGGGTCTGAATTTGGACTGTAAGAGGTGATGGCAGTCCAGTTTTGGTACTTCAACATGGTTGCCAGACCAGGTGCCATCCTAGCTTAGTGGAAAGTGGGCTGTCCATGGTGACCTGAATCTCTGGGTGGCATGCTCTCCATTTACCGCCCACACACAATTTGTGAAAAAAGAGGAAGGTGACCCCAGAACTACTTGTAACCTCCCTACAGATCGACTAAGAAAGTGTCCTTTGTAACCAGAGTTTCCTGTATGTAATTAAAAAATATTGGGCCCTCCTCAGACGGGAGTAGACTGGGCCTGAGGTTGGAGGAGGCTTCTTAAAGGGTAAGATTCCCTTCTTAATGGGAGAGCCCCGGTGCTGGCCCTGACGTTTGTCCAAACAAGAGGCGCTCTTTCTCTCTCAAAGGGGGTCCGGAGAGAGAGGAGCAGCCGGTTCTCAGGGCCGGGGGGCAGGTGGTTCTGATTTGCGAGGGGTGTGGTGGGGGGAAACAGACCACGTTTATGTTCAGTTAATGGCAGTACACGTGTCGTCACGTCCAGTGGTGGGAACACGCTGGGTGAATGATCTGTTTTTAAAGCTGCTGAGGTTTGCCACCAATAACAACACAATGTCCACTTATCCCTTTATAGTTTTTTCCTCAGAAGAAGAAGATTTAAGTATCGATGATGTACTTGATTGTTTCCTTCATTAGGTCGCAGTTATGTCTTTTTCTTTAGCTTTAGTTTAGGACATATGGGACAGCTGAAAACAGGCAAGAAAGGTTTAACCGCTGTGACGAAGACTGTCGCCCCTGAATATGAGGCGTGTGAGTTAACCGCTACACCAAACCTACATGCTGTAGTTGTGACCCTTAGAGACACTTGTGCATCCACTCTGATGATCACAAATACAACCCCAAATGTAATATTACCATTTACTTTTTATCATGAACTACATATGATTATGGAAGGGCTTCCAGCATTGATGGGTTTATCACAGAAGCTTTTTGTCCTCAAATGCCACCATCACCCCTTGAATTTCACCGACAGACCCGATGAGCAAGTGAGTGTTTCAAACTAGAATCTAGGGCTGCACGATATGGCTTCAAATCAATATCACGACATACTGAACAGTTCATCTCGATAACGATAAATGGATGATAACTACTCCACAAGCTGCTCACCCTCTTCCACATTAACTTAGTCTACTTCAGCTGCCGCTCCAGCTACCACAACTTTTGAACCGTCCTCCATCTCCTCACCTGTCTTTCCCTCTTTGTTATGGACTAGATGAGGTGGAGTCACGTCTCTGACATAGGACAGCATCTTAAAGGGACATGAAACCATAGCCTACCGACACACATCCAAAACCAACTATTATTTATTTAATTTTTTGACACAGAATATATTGACATGGGCAAAATGATGTCAATTATTGTCGTAAATTTCGGTATCAGTAAATTTTCAGTTTATCGCCCAGCCCGACTAAAATCTACCACTATATATCTTTGAATGTTCCCATTTCTACACACCTTAACTGTGATGTAAAAGATCAGTTTTTTAATGTTATTGTTGTTGTTTAAATCTAAAACCACTTGCTATTTTGGCACATCATAGTTAAGCTGCTGCAGCGTCTTCCTGCTTTCTGCTGCTACTGTGATAGAAAACTAGGACTCCACTGCACCTGGCTCAAGTCAAGACTATTGCGCACTTGTGTATAAAAAGAGGTTCAAATATCTCTTTGGTACTTTGAATTTCATGAGCCAAGTGTAAAGGCGCAGCTAATCAGACTGATGTCAGCAGGTGACAATGTTACTAAAACTGGCAGAGCGATATTTTGGAGTGTTTAAATCACCACAGACTACTGAATGAAACTAGACTGAAAAGGTGAACTACAGCGCTTGGACTGAAAATGTTAATTCACACATGTGCCATCATATGAGATTTTTTAATTCAGTATTAAAAGAAGGAAACAAATAAAATACAATAATGTCAACGTAAGTTAACTCAAATGTCAAATTTTCTGAATCTAAAATTTCTATGTGAATAGTCCGTGTCTGCTTTGACTCTGCAACCATGTTTTCAGTAACAGTCCAACATGACTTTGAAATGCAAACAGCCATCTCCCACCCACACACAGATTGATTTCCAGAGGAGGGGGGGAAACACAGCAGCTTGCTGGGCTCAGTGTTTTCAGTCAGTGGTTTAGACACTGATCAAATAGCTGTGCTGAAGCCTTTAATGATCTGAGAGCTTCCCTGCTGCTGGGTCATCTGCTCGGCTCCATATCACCTCCCAATTGGACCCTACTGCTGGTCAGGCGGTCCAGTATTGGGGCCCTTTCCATCAGCTTTGTATTTACTCGTCCCCCTGGCTCACCCCTTGGCCTGCACGGGGTCTCTGTTCAGTCTGCCAGCCCTGCTGAGAGGCCTCTATGTCCGAGAGAGCCCTAATCCATCAGGCCGCGGCGTGCGTACGTGCTTCACCCTTTTATGCTCTCGCTCTTGCTGAGGAGTCTTCAGTGATGGAACTAAATGGAGCCAAGCATTTTGTTCAAACAGGCGGAGGGAGCGTGTTCGAGTACGCAGGCGTGGGTGTATGAACATGCTTCTACTGTGCTTGTTGCATCACTTCAGACCTCTTCAGCCAGACAAATGAACTCCTTATCGACCCCATATCCACATAAATATCTACCTATCCGGCCCAACATACCCCTGTTGTGTTTTATTCGATCTACTCCCACTCACTTCCACATACGCACACACCATTGTCACACGTTACAGCAAACTTGACAAAAATGCAGTGCAAACAATTTCATATCGTACATCTCTTGGCGTTGCTCTCTTATCCCACCCACAGCGTCTGTCCTCCCTCACTGTGTGCAGTGATCGATGAGTCGAGCCCTGGCCTCCCTGCAGCCTGTACCGAGGGGGGAAAAACCCTCACCCATTCTCAGTCTAACTCCCAAAAACAGCTTTAATGGCCAACAAAAACACAGCATAAGGCACCCACTTGGCAACCGGTACGAACACTTCTATTGTAGTGTGAAACGTTTCCCACGATTTAAGACAGAAGAGAAAGATTTCTTTGATGACAAGTCCCTCAAACGGAGAGAGAAAGGTCAGAGCGAGGTGACGCGTAAGATGCGAAAGTTCATTTTCTTGCGGGTCAGTTTAGTCCTCGCTGAGATGTAAAAATGCAGCATTGTAGAAACAATGTGCGAAAATTTTGCAATGCTGCATTTTCCAAGACATTATAAAAACCACAGCAGCAAGAAAACCTCATTTGTGTTATTGTTCGGCAACATTAACATCGACTGGGGTTCTGATCATGGGAGGTAAGGTGAACCTTGAAGGCAAACACTGATATCTGACCATATTTCAGCTAAATATGCTTCTCTGGTTTATTCTTGGTTGGCAGTTTCATTTTGGGCCTGTCTTCATTTCAGTCCAGTCTGCTTTTAGACGAGGGAAACAGGAAAAGAGTCACAGCGCTGCGGTTCATTCTTCAGGCCATATTCACTTGACCACACAAAGAGCCCATTTTGAGGGAGACATTTTATGTGTTGTGTGGCAGGCAGCGCAGGCAAGAGAGATTTACTGCGTCTGTGTCTATTCAGGGGAGTTTTGGATGATGTTCACACTCTTACTGGCAGAGGCCGAGGATTTATGGCAGCTGGGAAATACTGTCAGGTAGATGTGTCTGAAAACAGAGACATTGTTATGGTGTAACATTTGGATGGTGAAAAATATGGGGCTCTGGTTTAGTTTAGCTCATATGGAAACTGCAGTCTTCATCGCAGCAGTGGCTGGTTGGACCTTTTGCTGCATGTCGTATATCCTGTCTGTCTGTCAGCTGTCTTGTCTAGTAAAGGCAACAATCCTCAAAAAATAACTGAGGATGTTTTTTTTTTTTTTTGGAAAAATCTTTAATTTTCAGTCAAAAAAGAATCAACCCTTTACTAATTTGAGACTTTAAAATTAATGTATTTTCACTCAGAAGTCTAATATCTTCATAAACACAAGTCAAATTATTTTATAAGGATAATCTATAATAAAAATATACACATTTTTTTTGAGAAATGCATAAAAATTTTAAATTTTAAAAAATCTGTTTATTTTTGCTTGAGTTAAGTAAGAAGTGATAAAAAAAAGCCGTCTTCTGAGTTGTGATCTTTTTAACTTTTCTGCATGGCTTTACTTTAAAAATGTCACTTTGGTTTCAATTGAGAAGACACTGATTTGTGCAGTAAATGTGAATTTAAAGCTCCTGTGTGGAACTTTTGTTTTGCGTCAGTGTTTGCGCCCCCTTTTAACAAAGCAGTCTTTGATAACCTTGTCCTAAAAAATCATACTTTGTTGACTTTTGACGGTCACATTTTTCATTAATTGTAAATATTTAATAAAGAGTTAAAAAAGGGCTGTTTCTTCAGCTGCTTATTATAAAGAGACATCCTATTGAATTACAGTTGATCCCATTAATGCCAAAAAAAACTTTTTATAGGAGCTTTAAATGTGCCCAATCAACAGAAAGATAAGGGACAACTTTTATCAAAAATCGAAAAAAGATTAAAAAAAAAAGAAAGATTACAGTTTGGGATGTCATTTTCCAGTTCTGAACAATAAGTCATAAACATATGGCAGTTAAAGTTGTGATTTATGTGTGAATACAGTGGTGTGTGTGTCTGTGCCTGAGTGGGCATGTAGGTGGATGGAAGCGGAGGAAGTTGTACCACTGAGGTAGCACTTGAAGGGACTAACAATGGCCCACACATATCCTGCTGCTGTCAAATCTCGGGACCCTACACAAACATTTTGGAGTCAGGGCCCGCAGACTCAAAATCCCCCCTTTTCCCCGCACTGTTCCAGCTTTTGTTTGAGATTCAGCAAGTTTTTGTAAAGACTTGAAAGCTGTCTTTCAAATTCCTCTCCGCTGGTAGGTGCTTAGTTTTTTTTTTTTTTTAGAAACATGCATTTTGTGAGAGCTTTCCTGTCTAGATTTTTGAGCAAACAGGTTATTTTAGGCTTCAGTTTGGAAGCCTCTTCTTTGGACACAAATTCAGGAATCTGTGCAGAACCTCACATCCTATTTTGACGTGTTGCCTGAGGATAGCTTACTTACTGAAAACACTCAAAAACAGTGTACGCAGGGAAACCTCTTTTCTAAATAACTCAGCCATGGCCTCAACCTTTCTCTTAAGTGCTGTCTCAGCAGACCCCCCTCCTCCTTCGTGTCTGAAAGTTAGCAGCCATCAACCTGCAGGCCCACAGACTTCACATCAGCACGGAAAAAAACACTGCTGATTGCCTCTAAATGGGAACCCACTTTCCAAAAACTCAGCAGAAAATAATTGCAGAGTGGCTGCATGTTGAGGCACAAACACCTGTATCCCCTCTCTTCCCCTCCCAGTCTCTCCATTCTTCCTCCAACTGGATGTCTGCCCCCCCAAAAGAAGTAGTCCATGGACACCTCATTTATAATGCTTCAAAAACCCAAACCAGTATTGCTTTTACTCCCTGTCATTTCACAATGGCAGCCGTCTCGCAGGGAATTCAATGTCCTGCCAGTTTAGAGAAAACCCTTCAATAGCTGTAAGCACAGTTTGGCTGGTGCTGTTTGCTTTGATGGGTCGCTGACAGACCGACTCAAGCAAAACTTCTCCCAACATGGCCAAAGTCAGGCCAGTGCTGTCGTTTCCACATTCAGATGAGCTCGCTGTCACTGAGTTCAAAAATGCAAAAGCGGGACCACCCATGCAAAAATAGATGTCATAATGGACCTTGCTGCGGTTGTTTTTGTGGTTTTGTGTTGTTCTGTGCAAACACGCCACTGCACTGCTGACTGGTAGAGGAAAGTCAATGTGGGGTTTGACCAGCAGAGGGAGACCAAAGCTGTGGAAAGAGTCTCAGATCCCACGTTATTATTATTAGGGCCAACATGACCTCCCTCCTGTTCTCTCAGAGTGTCAAAAATAACATCTCCTGTTACAGTCATGGCTATGTAGGAAATTTAAGTAGGATGGTATGAAGAGCTCCTGCCAGCCAGAGCTGAGACCAAATGTAATGGTAGACTCTGTAAGAAGAACCTGAAACCTAAAAGAAAAATTTGAAATTTGCTCAAAAACACTTTTTTAATTTTTATACGTAGCAGCCCTTTAAGAGATCACCTGGCCCACAATGCATCATCATTTCTATATATTCCAAATGTCAAGGCCTGGTTACATGTAATCATACCTTCAACCTCCTGGTCCAGTCCGCTGTGGCGTTCAAAAATCCCCACCACCAAAGCCGCCATCCGCACTGTCCCCCACCCTCTGCAGCACCTCTCTGCACCGTTCCCATGGTGAGGGTGCAGTCGCTGGCCAATCCGAGGAGGCCGCTGGCCCTTGGTGGTCTGGAGAGTCTCCGAGGTGGCACAGCCGCAGGGCTGCAGAGAGTAAACAGGACACTGAGGGGATGGATAGAGGGATGGAGGGATGGAGGGATGGAGGAAGAGTGTAGAGAGAGAGAGAGGGAGAGGAGGATGAGAATGTGGAGTCAGCAGCCTCTCTGCCCGGCCTGCCCGGGGAAGAGGAAAGCCTGTAAAACTCAAAGATTCAGAGCTCACACAAACAGCGGACCGCCCTGAGACTCAGCTCAGAGGATCAGGATTTAGCCAGACAGAGGGGGGAAACTGACAGATTAATTTTCCTGAGAGCAAAACTTGACTTTTTCCACTGGAAGATAATGAATTAGATTTCATTAGGTTTCATCAGAGACGTCTCTTATTGTGAAACGTAGTAGATTTCGATCCTTATCTTTGTTTGTTTGCTTCATGTCCCGACTAAGGAAATGTACTTTATTTGCTCAAGCACTGTACATGACTCAGTACTCAAACCCTTTGACTTCAGCTCCCCCACATTTATGTATATAGAAGTTTCACACACAAAACACTTGATAAAATCCACTGAAAATCAAAAGTTGTTCAGTTTGTGTCAACATCTGCTGATAGAAACAATCAGTTTAGATGCTCAGGCTTGTGTAGAAAAGACTAAAGAGTCTATCAGCACACAGTGAAATAAGACAGCAACATTTTCTGCCTTTTTGCACCATAAAGGATATTAAAAAAAACAGCAACTATGGCTCTGATAATGATATTATGGATGCTGCTGATAGATCAGATTGCCATAATGATGATGATGATGTGGTTCATGTTGATGCTGACAAAGATAAAATCAGAGTCACACACAAACATCACATGTATTGCCTTTAGCACTTCCTGTCAGCACCTGTGTTTGCTCTCACTCTTGTTCCCTCCTGTCTAGATCCTTTCTTTGTGTTGTTCTTACTCTCAGACCAAATTAAATTAAAGTGCTCTTACATTTGAGTGCAAAACTTGAAGAACTCTTGAAAGGACAAATTTGAGCTTTTTAAGGTCAAACACTGAGAATATCGTAGCTTGAATGACTAACCAAACAGCAATCCAATAATAACACTAGACATCCATTAGTAGTGGGTGTTGTCAAGCCTCTGTGTTTAACTGACTTATACTGGGACAATTATAAACATAGTACAAGTCATCTGAGCTCTTTAATACCACTACAAATCCAAGAATGATGGGTATTTCACATTTTAGCACCCACAAGGCTGATCTAATGCAGAGTACTTATATTTTTGATAATTTTACAATATTTAGATAAAATAAAGAGTATTTCTGCACTTGTGCTTGCGTAGCTAAAGGATCTGAATACTTTGTCCATGACCTAGACTAGACATTTTAACTCTGACACCTGCAATTTAAAGTTTACTCATAAATCCTCGAGTGGTCAAATTATTGGTGGATGGAAAAAAAAGACATCAAAATGTCTGCCAATTGGAGGTTAAAGATAATTCACAAAGAAGTGTGGAATTCAGCCATGCCCAGGTCTTCAGGGACAGTGAAGGAGCAGCCAACATCCACATGTTATACACGCCGCCTGTTTCCAATAATATTACCCTGGCGGGTGATGACAGTTTGAAAAGTGATTTACCTGAGCGAGCTTTTATTACAAATCTTTCTCGCACTGTTCCCTGTGCTACTTAAGGAATCAGCCTCGCTTCATTGTCGAAGTGAAACCCGGCACTAAATACCAAAGATGGCTTCCAACTGTTTTTTCACTCTCATGATAAAGATAGATGAGGTGAAACCGCTCGGAGGACTCGAAGCTGGCTCTGTCTGAGAAAAATGATTTACTTTGTTTGTAAGAGAGATGAAAGCTGAAGCCGAATTCTTGCGTACATAATAGAAGTTCTCTAAACATAAAGACAAAGGAATAAAACAAATAAAATCAACGGGAAAAAAAACGAAGAAAGAAATCTATCTTGGCATTGTAGCTCACCATGACAGCGAGCTGTGTCTTCTCAATTGAAATGTCCTCTGAGAAACTGTTTTTTTCCAGCGGTGGCTTTTTTGTTATTTTCTTTGAGAATCCACATCCAAAGCAGTGTACTTAGAGCATGTTTTCTTAGATTCAGAACCAGTCATCTGGGTTTTGTCTCTCTATTTAATGTGCCAAAGGGGGGAAAGCAGAGATTGAGGCTGTTCTAGCAGGAAATATAGGTATCTAATAGATCTACTCCCTGCTCTTATTTTGACAGCAACAGCAGGTCTGGTGAACTAATGGCATGCTTCTCTTTCTGCCAGAGGGGAGAAATAGACCGCCACAGGGGAAGCCACAATCCTAATAGGCAGCTGGAAAAAGAGAGGCAGACATAAACTACAGCCGAAGAAGAAGAAGAAAAAGAAGAAGAGTCCCTCCACGTAACAAATAACCTACACCGAATTAAGTCAGACTTTTATATGATTCATTTTATGTGCGAGGTTAAAATGAGGCAAAATATCCACAGATAATCTGAATTCGATCGTATTTCACTGAGACATGTGCTTCCCCTTTCCTGGATTACTGAGGCATGTAATAAAACACACACTGTTTGACTTGCTTCCTCTGAACCCTGGAGCCCTGAGGAATGGTGTTTAAGGTGATGTGAATGCTTATGAATTTCATATTAAGGAAAGGGAGTGAAGAGATGAAGAAGGCAGGTAAAAACAGAGTGAGAGATGAGAGGATTACAGAACTTTCTCACTGAAACCACCACTGTACAAAACGGAGACTTCATATTTTCTCTGACAGCATGGCACAATTTAAAGATACAGCCATGGCTTCAAACACTAAGTGAGATTTTACATTGTATATAAGCGCAAGTCAGACAGTAAAGAGTGCAAAACTTAAAATGGGTACTGCAATATCATTCAATCAAGTCATTTAAGTTTTATTTATATAGCGCCAATTCACAACAGTCATTATCCCAAGATGCTTTCCAAAAAAGAGCAGGTCTGGACCATGCTCATGATTTGATGAATTACCAAGACTCAACCTTGAAATCTCATCTAACATGGGTGAAAGTGGCAAGGAAAAACTTTAACAGGCAGAAACCTTGGGAAGGACCAGACTCATGACAGACTGCAATGGCTTTTGAAAATAATATGTCTCATAAAATCTCCTTCCTTATTACAAACAAACAAAAAAAATAGGGCATACAGTTCTCAGAATTACAAGTGAAGTTCTTTATATGTGCAGATGTGAGTAAAGATAATTAACTATGCATTATTTAAACAGTAAAAAGTGATTGAAGAAGTCAAGACTGAGACCAAATATGCAGAAACAGGTTACTACTAGATGATGCAGTGCGACAGCTGTGAAAGGATAATTTTCTAAAAGTTATGATTAGACACAGATGGTTTCAATGATTACCTGGGATTTTTTAATTATGACTAAAATTTCATTATTTTGCATTTCAAAACAAATTTTACATGCATATTAATAATGCAAAGCACTTTTTTTCTAATATCTTGATTTGGAAGTTTGATTTTTAGAATTTTTAGGGGGGAATATGATTTGTGACAACATGCCATGCCCCTCTTGGATACCTAGGGATGTCCCTCAGGCACCTAAAATGTGGACAGGCCTGCTGTCAGTTACCTGTTCTTATATCCCCTTAAGTTTCATCCACAAGCTTGTGTCAATCCAGAAATAGTGCTCTGCTAGTTTTTGTGATTTAAGTGCCCTCAGACATCAGTCCTCCACCTGCAAACTGAAACTTTGAGTACGTGAGGATAATCTAATTGTTTGAGACAAAGTGTATTTTACTTTTAACTTGTAAGCTGAGACATACAGGATTTCAAATGTGTGATATATTCACCATCACTACAGCAGGAAGCAAGAAGACACAGCAGCAACTTAACAACAGTGTGCAGAGAGGGACAAACTGCCTCTACTTAGAAAATAATATTGTGGACGTATTTCACACCTTCATGGCATCGCTATCACAACAGAGCAAATTGAAGATGAACACGAGTTGCTTTAAGAGACAATGTTCCTCAGCTGAATTTTTCCTTTAAATGTTAATCTGTCAACTTTGAATTTTTAATGTTGGCAATGACTATTTCCTTAAATGATCTTAATTTCTGACTGACAAGTGTAGTTCAGGTGCATACGAAGGTATTTTCCATGATTAACAGTCTCTTCAGTATAGTGTAAGCAAGGGAGAGATAAAAAAAGAGGGAAAAATGCAGCTGTGTTTCATAAGAGAAAGACCAGAATTTAAAGCATGCCTGATTTGAGAGGCCATGAATTACTTTTTTCTGCAGCGCATGCGTGTGTGTGTGTGTGTGTGTGTGTGTGTGTGTGTGTGTGTGTGTGTGTGTGTGTGTGTGTGTGTGTGTGTGTGTGTGTGTGGCCTCTCGTGTGCTTGAGTGCAGAGCATGAAATGGCTCTAAATTGGCTGTGTTTGCCCTCAGAGGAGCGCTCTTTTTCAGATCATATCCTAATCCCTGAGAGAGGAGCTCCGCAGGGTCGCTGCTTATTCAATTAGTTTGAAGCCGAGGCTCCAAACATGGAGGGGCAAGAAGGAGTGTGAGAAAATGTGGAGATAGAGGATGGTGGTCTGCGATGGTGTGGGGGGCCCGCTGGTGGAGCTGCTTGTTGACAGTATTAAACATTTAGACGCTCATTTTTATTGCACAGGACTGGAGATACTGGAGTTAAGAGAAAGTTCATAACAGACAAAATCATGTGATATCAAGTTGTTGTGAACTGTAGAGCAGGGCTCCTTCCAGAGGGTGGCGCCTGTATGACATCTCATATATAGGTGTAAATAGCTGTGTTTGATAGAAAGGGTGGCTCAGGGTGAGAGGTTGTGGTCTTGCACAGAGGAATCATCCTGTACCTGAATCTTCAATAGCACAACACGTGTGCCAAATCCAAGAGGTTTAGACTTCAATACTCAAGAAATGCACAATTTAGTTCTGCACATTAATCACACAGGTCAGTTTTTGGCTGAAATATATATATACATAACAAAATATGACAGCGCTGTGATAGGTTTGATACTTTTACATGATGAGAGGTA